TTATCCCATTATCGGCGTAAGCTCAGCAAATTATCGACGATCATTCTTGAGCTGAAAGTTACGTAGGTACTCACACGTTGATTAAGACTATTCTTAACATTATCAACATTAATACATTTTAATATTTTTGTTTTACGTTTTGTGTTGGTTTTGTAATGAATCAGGAAGTTAATTTACTTCTACTTGTTCCCGAACAATTGCATTATTTAATAATGCTTAGTTAAAAAGCACTCTAATGAAACTAACGCATTTAAAAAACGATAAAATTGACTTCGAGTCTCAGAGTTAATACAAAACGAAGTAATAAAATAGCAAAAAACAAAATAATCTGTTCGTACGTACGCATTACGTGAATTCTTTAATACAACGCGATTTTTTTCACTTTTAACTAGTTCCTGAGATGAATCAGTTCTTGTTGAAAGTTTTAAATTTACGAGTATCCGACGTCAATGATGCGAATACAAAGTACAAACATGATTGCGATTATTCAACACGTTTCAACATAAGAGAAGCATTAAAATCTAAATCAATGTTACAAATTAAACGCCAAAAACACAAAGAGATGCTAATTAATCAGAAACACTCTCGATATTATAGAAGTTTAATGGAATATTTTCATAAATTGCATTGTGTAGTGTAATTTTCATGAAATTAAATGTGATGTGGAATGTGCAGGCAAAGAAAATCAATTATTGCACTTTATTTTGAATTATAAAGCTCTGAGTGCGCATGCGTACTAATTTCACTTCGATGTAATACACTACTCATCGTATAGCAAATGTAATAAGTGTTTTACATATGCAATTAATGTTATTTTCACTTTGAGAGGGCAATAAGTACTTTCAAATGGAAATATTTTAGTTAGGAAGACATTTCCGCGTTTTAGAGTACTCTGTATTTTTATACAAAAGAAATTGCGATTATTTTCATTACTTTCCATGTTTTTAGTTTTTTGATACTTAAAAATCTTACTTTATTATTATTGTCTTTGAAAATGTTCAGTATATTGTTGATTGCAAATTTGTGTAGGCAAAACACATAAATAACGCAAAGCAAACAAAATTAACAAGTGAAATCGAAAAAGGGAATGGCCGGTCGAACGACAATCAGAGTGTAGTCGTAATCGATCTTGATATTCCCGATGATAATGCCTGGCAAGCTCAATTTACGTGACTACATGAGTAGAAAATAACGAATCACTACATCTACATTGTCCACACACTAATCAAACGGAATTAAATATTATTGTTTGCGATTTTGCACGCGTGTACAAATCTCCCCGGCAGTGTAATCAATTTAAGTAACGTGTCCATCACTTACAAGTAAAATATATATCACAGGTACACGTGTTTCTGATTTCAATGAATCGGCTTAGGCTTTTTATGAATCATAAAGGTAAGATGTGAAAATGTTGAGGCGATTTCGTGATTTCTCTACGAACGGACGACTTGCCGAGTTGATTAGATCGACATGTCCGACATCGAGTGATAGAAATATATTTACTCGGAATAAACGATGAATAAATAAATAATTATTGCTTCTGCCGCAAAATAGCGTGTAATTATATCGAATATCGAAGAAATCTTCTGCTATAAATGTTCCATTTGCATTTTGTAGAGAGGAGGATGTACATCAATGTATAAATGTAATGTTTTTTGAAAATTTACGTTGAGAATAAAATTAATTTGGAATTTAAAGCTTTCCATGAAACGAAAGTATCGAATTTTAATACAATGTTTAAAAATGCAATAGATTTTAATGTTTTCTTGTAAATTGCTCCAAAAAACAACAAAATGACAAGTCATTTCATTTCACTATCTTGGTTTATTGCTTTTATTTATTTATACTTTGCAGGTGCACAAATAACGCGTACATAATATCATCAAACACACAAAAACCGCACTTAAGTCTCTGATGACTTAATTATCGATTATTATAATTTCCTCTACTCACGAGGCGCAGTTAAACCCATATTCTTACTTTCTTCGCCCGGCGCGTGCAATCACACATTTGAATTGGCCAAAACATTAACATGAAATTACCAGCGATTATCTTGGCATTCACAACGCACATTTGCAATTATAACACCTTCACTTCTCGCATCTGTGGCGTTCGCGCCACGCAAGTATCGATTTATCGAGACACATTTCACAGCAGACAAAACGGAAGAATCGCGATAAATAACAACGCAGATTGAAAGTGTGATAATATTCAAAATGTCCAAATACGGTGTTTTGCTGCAAATGTTGAAAAATCATCAAGGAAGTAACATAGTGACTAAATCAATACAACATAACCTTTCTTTTATAACCTATAAAAATTATATATTAAAAAACATTTAACACATATTAAAATTTAATTTTCTTCTATACATTTGATCAGATTATAAACAATTTGTTTCATATATTATAATTTTATTGGTAGCAAACAATCGAGGCGGTTTTGATCAAGCATAGATAAAAGATTGAAACGATGACTTTAACTTTATTGAAAAATTGAAAAATTAATCTCTTAGACACATGAATGAAGATCGAAGCATGATAAATCCACACACAAGATGCCTTTTAACATAAACTTTCATACATATGTGTGGTTCAATGTAGTCTGTAACGTGTTGTACTATTTCACGCGCATGCACACTTGCCTTAAGTCAACATTAATAATTACCAATAGTAGCAATGACCATAAACCGCCACATATAAAATCATTTGCTTCGTTCTCACGCGCAAACCTACGAATTTGTAAGTTTATTACTTATTTACACGACATTGTGAGACAATTTTCCATTCAAGCATGATTTTATTACGTTCATAAAACGTTTAGAAGCTGTTTGTATTGCAGCTAATGGTTTAATTTCCGTTCGATAATAATTAGCATCCATTTAATACGAGAAAATCTCTTAATGTATTACCTGCTACAATACTGTAACTGCGATTTAAGAACGAGAAACCCCTTAATGACTTGAGTATTCTTCATTTCTACGTAGTCTTTTGTTTATCTAAGTTCTCGTTTTGTTCCACTTATGATCGCTTTGTTTGATGCATTTTTGACACTTGACAGTTTAATTTACACGTGTTACATGCTTAATTAATTGTTTTCTTATTACAATTGGAAGACTAACACGAAATAAAGTGAAAATAATCTACTTTCATATTAAAAGTGCGTCAAATAAAGTTATGTTGTAGTAGTAACAATCGTAATTAAAAATATAACCGATTATACAATAATCTCACAGTTCAAAGTAGTTTAATTTATAGAAATTTGTATTCGGTGTGTTCACGAAACTAAAAATATAAATTTTGTTTTGTTTTTATTGTGGACCACACCTTGAATGTTGAATATTATAAAACACGCTGTAATTATCAATTTGTGTAGGAATTAATCGCTTTTGCGTGTTAAACGCAAAGCTACAATTAAACCATCAAAATTATAAAAAGAACTAATCAGTGTTATGCCTTAAGTAATATATTTTCGATCACAAAATTCTTTCTTTTAAAAATATTAACCTTAGAATAACAAAAAAAAAATTAATTTAAAACAAATAATAACGAACAAATTATTGGAAATATATTATTTTCTGTTCACAAATGCTTGCCAGAACAAAGATCAGGAGGATTCAAGAATAAAAATATGTTAAATTTTCTTGATTTGGCGATTTTATTTCTTGTTATTCGAGGGTTAAGTTTCCTAAATCCTGTACCAAACTTTATAAAATGTTTAAAAAATGAGCAAATGTGTGTAACTAATTTAATAATGATTTTCTCTCTGCCGGTTTGTCTAGTTTGTTCCGCAGTCTTTCCTTCTGCCCATCTTTAGCAAATGGTAATAAATCAGAGCCAAGCACGTGCATTGACCAGCGAAGAGAAAGAAGCGAGCGATTTAAATTAGTTTTAATAATAGCCGGGAGTGTGGGCGTGTTACGACGCTCTTTGCCAGCGAAATAAATTTAATAGCGATTGAAACAAAAGCGATGCAGGCGATGAAATATGCGTATCATGTAGGAAGTGTGCGGAATTGTGAGCGAAACTTACATCTTTTGGCTTATCATTAGTGCGCCACAGCGGCTTCGCAACACATCAATGCAAAATATTTTCCTGCGAGGCAATTTTGCTTATTATCAGATTTTAATAAGGATATTTATTGGTGTTAATATTGTTCATCTTGTTTTACGGCTGTTCCGAAACGTTAAACATGTGTTCATATGCAGATACACAGAATACTCGTATATTGTGATCTAAGAATAAATCATGTTCAAAGAATAAGAGAAATAGAGTTTAGAAATGACTTATTTGTTAATAATGTTGAACGTTTATCATATTTTAATGTATTTGTATATTGGGTTGCCGTTTTTGATAGTCAATACATTTATTTACTACAGGATGACACTTAACCTCAAATGCATTTAGAAAATGTTGTTTTTTCAATATTTATTTAGATGAATTAGAAAGTATTGTAATTTTTTTCACACAAAATGTGTACTTTGAGATGTAGGTATTTAAATGTGAAGTTTTTCAAGTTCCTGCTCTATTAGTAGTTTAACTGCAATAACAAAAGAATACAATGTATGGACTCGAGCGTTTTTCATTTCCCGTTCAGAGCGTACAGTTTTCAACCGCTATTCATCGTTCTTCGTGCTCTTCGTTGCTTTCTTTGCGATCGCTTTGACGCGACGCATCCGATGATGTCAATCAACGCGCAAACGCCGCAAACAAACAAACAAAAAGCAAATGCAACAGAAAGGAAAATGTAAATTAATGCGACTGAAAAAGTGCGCGTAGAAAGAAAGTAATTTGTAGCAGTGAATCACCGGACAGAACTCAATCATCTCTGCGAAAGGAAGAAATCACGCAGCTGAATGAAAACGCTGAGAGTTTCGAGGAAGTGCGGATACAACGATTAAATACAATTTCCAGTTATTAAAACGCGTTCAGACTGTCGTACGCTCACAATTACTTACTTACGAACGACGAGTATTAAAGAAAAAGTCAAGCAAACGACGCTTTTTTGTGTTTAGTTTTCTTATTCGTAACATAATTGTAAAAAATGTCGTTATAAACTTATATTAAATTTACGATTTCACGCCTAATTTAAAGAATCAAGAATCGAATTCATTGAAAGGTGCATGCAATATGTACAATTTTTGTTTTTGCCTGCTTTTTATACACAATTCTAACACTAATTAATTCTTTGGGTTCGCGCTCAACATTAAACAAGAACAATTAACTTAATAAATGCTTAACATAGCCATTAATATAAACTTATCTAACATTATGTTATGCAACCGTAACAACGGTAACAATGGTTAATAATGATGACAATTGCTAACAATATGACATTGTTTTAACAAACAAAACAAAATAGAAATCAAAATGAAAACCAGAATTTAACACGCAAAAAGTTAATAGTCAGATAAGTCTGATGTCACATCAAAGCATATCTTTACTTAACTTTTCAAATTTTAGTTCTAAATAATAATTAACCCTTCGTGTACTGTGGTGTTCTGTACGTGTACACCGGCGGTGTATAACTCCCTTGTTGTGATTGAGTCAGATAATGTGGTTGGTGCTGATGATGTTGATGCTGTATAGTGGGTTGCTGCTCTTCACGCGATTCTGGTTTGAGGTTATTACTCTCTGTTTGAGTTGAACTTTGCGTTTCGCCTTGCGTTGAAGTGTAATCAGGTTCGGGTGATTGCACCTCAATCCGGAACTTGGTCTGGTATTCGGGATGATTCGCCTGCAGAGAATTGCTGTTGATCTGTGTAACACCTCCAAAATGACTGCTCAGTTGTTCTTTAATCTGTGCTTGTTGCTCGGGCGTGAAATTTTCAAGACCAGTAATGATTGGAGCTGCGGTTTTGATTGGAGTTTGAGTAGTGAAGGTTTGAGGTCCTTGACTGTAGTAATGCGAACTGTACTGCGGTTGAGCTTGTGTTTGGGATGCAGACGGAACATGCCCTTGAACCTGGACTTGTTGTAAATGATGCGTTGTGGGATGTTGGAACTGTGAGTGCAGTTGCGATGACACCTGATGTAATGTCTGCGCATGGGATGGTGTAAGTTGTTGACTGGGTACAAAAGGAGCATGCGAGGTCCCGGATTGATGCTGGGAACCAATTGGGGACTGACTTTGAGTTGGTGTTAGTTGAAGTTGAGCTTGGAGGTGAGTGTAAGTTGATGCTGGAATTTGATATTGCGGGGAATGATAACTAGGGGATGATTGAGAGTATTGATGTGGGATACCCAAGGTTTGAGGTTGAAGGTATGCATACTGTGGTGGTGCCAAATATTGATAGTTTTGGTAACCATGAGGAGCGGTAGTATAATACACTGGAGCTTGAGCAACAGCAGATTGTTGATGTTGTTGTGGGGCGCCATTTTGTTGTGGTTGATAGTTATACAAAAGTTGATACTTTGCAGACGGATTACTATGGAAGTAATTCAACAATTGCTGCGCATGTTGATTAGATGCTTGATTATAGACCAAATTATGCGGTAGCAATGCAGGTTGGGCAATGATCAACATAGTTTGAGGAACTCCTGCCCCTTGATGGGCAGTAAAGAGTGGTTTCTGAATCAACTGAACATAAGTTGGAGTACGCGCGGTGTAATATTGAGTTTTAGCTGGTGAAGGGGCGGCTGGTAACGAGTTTGGGGACTTGGTCTCTGATTTGGTACTTGTCTCAGTTGAGCCTGGCGATGTCGTCGAGGGATCTGCATAGGCCAACGAGAATGTAACACATAACAGGACCTAGAGATAAGAAAATCACAGAATTAAATCAAATCACTTATCACTGTATTAAATTATTATCCATTTGACTTGAGGTTATGTTGGATCACTTACAATGGTTTTCATTTTGATTGTGTATTCTCTAGTCATCACTAATGGCGAGTTGTTGTCACACTCACTTGATAAGCACGAATGTCTCCGATGGTAATGTGCCCCTTCACTTTTATAGCAACCGGACGGACGAGGCGGACGAAGCGCCGAAGCGGCACCACCTTTTTCCACCGAAAAGACGTCCTAGTTTTTAATAAAGGCGCACGTCTTAAGTTTCACTTGGCGCGCTTTGTGGATTGGCGCATGGACTTGGCAAAGAAGGAGTACTTTCGCTGAAGGTTATAACATATCATTATCATTCTGCGTCGGCTCGCGAGTGCAATGTCGTTCAACTCTCGTTTTGCACCGAGCATCGTTCTCGGAAGAGACGTCTATGGTAGCCATTGTTCACGTAATGCTCGACTGTTATGCGCATCATGTGTTGACTTCGTGTCGATTCCTGGTGTGTAAAGCGAGAAAATTGAAGCCAACTCACGTTGAAATAATACAATCGACACTTTTCTTTGCTTTTCTTGCCGTAGACAATCGTCGTTTATGATTGTACGCAAACATGCAGAGCACAATGAGGTTTTAATTGAGGTTATGTATGAATCGCACCACCTCACGCACCACACGTTTAGCATTTTTAAATGGGTGTAGGTGTTTGGTTATGTGATAACGTTGAATATTCAATGCAATGAGCTGTGTGTGAACGCATTCAATAAATCAAAATTAAGTAGGTACAAAACGTCAAATTCATCATCGGTTGAATAAACAACGAAGAGGCAATCGACACATTAAGAAGAGATTAAGCAGATACAAGAAATAGAATGCAATAAAAAGTGATGAATGTTGACGTGGTGCACGATGCTCACGTCAATAACCATAATGGAAGTAATGAATTTTTGATTTATCTACGTTTTTATTACTCGCGATCTCTTTGCATTCAGAAAAATGTATAAATACTAATCAATTTTTCTTCCGTATTAAGACAGATAATGTTAACTTTCAAGTCCCAAAAACTTTTAAACACTTAAAACTAAAGTATTAGAATGTTCTAGTCTAAACTTTTTAAATGTTGAATATTCAAACAACGCAAAAAGTATGCACATATAGGTGAAACAGTTTTTGCTTCCTATTCGATCGATTCAAGACCAATTTGAGACTCTATACGCACTTAAATTCGAAGCACATTGATTACATTGCAACCGCTGCTGGTAGAGTTCAGTCTGTAGCGTCTAAGAAATGGAAATGCCAGTTTGATATAAAGTAATAACACGCTTTTGTGCATCTGACCGTAACTTCAAGAGCAAGACCAAGTTCTCTCGTTCACCTCTCACATTTCGCATTTAATTTCGCGTCTCACCTAAACGTTAAGACATCGGAAACTTGATTCATTTGTTTCAAAGCCGAAATATTAATTACCGCACGTCTCAGGTGTTATTTACGTCGGTTTTCATTTGTTAATTATCGTTTAAAGGCAGAGATAGAATTTTTAGTGGCATGAATGGGAGTAAATCATGGTCTCGTTCACTTTTCTTTCATTACTGCTTCTTACATTCGATGTTTGATGTTGCCGGTGCTTATGGTGATGTTGGATGCTGGCATGGAATAAACTGTGAAGACTATTAAGCTGCTTACTGTTATAGTTTTAGAAGTTATTTCCTTTTACGAGCACTGTGATTACACTTATTTCGAAAGGCTTTCATTTGCTCATTAATTTCATTAATTCCAATTATTTTGCGTTCGAGGATTTCGCATTACTCTTTCAAAAGGAATTTATGGATAATTAAATAATTCCGAAAATAATTTGGTGTTTTTATGGATTAATTTTATATAAAACAAAAATTTACGCACTTCAAGGAATTAGCAAATTTTTATATAATTTTTAATCAATGTAAGTTATGTTTAATTAGATGATACATTCTGTGCCGATTAAAATCACAATACAGGAAAATTGAAAGCATGAAAAGCGAAAGGATTTCCACGCGGATGAACTGATTACTCGTTAGCTCGCGTGCTCACTTTAAAATACGACATTCGAATGTTGTTAAATGTTTTAGGTTTGCTCGAATATTGTTTTCCTCTATTTAATTAATTAGACTCGACGCCATTTAGTTGTGACAAAGAGGATGCAATATTTCATGTGTCACGAGTACGACGTGCGAGAAACAATTTCATTCTTTGCAAAATCCATTCATTAATGTAGCGACAAGAAACAAAAGAGGAAACACATTATCCGGACATTAAGAATATATGTAAAATATAATTAAAATTTTAAAGAAAACAGGAAGTTTCATCTTGTAAAACCTTATAGAAAGAAAAGTTAGTTAGTTGCTAATTAATTTCATATATTTATATTTTATTTTAATTTGATTCGTTCTTTTGCAACCAAATTTCTAGTGAAATCAGAATGCATAATATTTAATAACAAGTCGCATGTGCAGGATGTGCAGGCTTACACTAGAACAACAAATAAGTTAAACTCATAATGCGCGAAATAATTGTTCTGCCGATTGTTCTTCGTATTGCAACTGCAATTCACCTGTTTCGTTATTGAGCAGTCAACGGGCTTCAATAATTTACTACGTTTTCTTCGTATGTCAATTATGCACGCTTACTTGATATTTGTCGTTAAGCGAATGTGTAATTTGTCGTTTCTCGTTGATTGTTTTTCTGTGACGCAAATAATTTAATAACGTTGAATGCAATCAAGTTTCTACTACGAGCAAAACGAATTTTGACAGCACGCACCAAGTGAAATTGCTAATGATTTGTTCCAAAACTTGAGAGTTCTAACTATAACAGAACTGAAAACTAATAACATGATATTATTTGTTAAATTTATTATATTTGCAACATCAATATGTAATAATTTTATGTTTACTTCGATTGACAACTGGCACATGCATTACATGATTCAAAATGTTAGCATTGCACATGATACACACAAAAACAATAATACTATTGCTTGAATGAAATGAATTATTATTTTATCACGTTATTAGATTTCTTTGTTCGGTGCTGTCAACGCACTCGAAAGAAAAGTACTTCAGAGTGGTCTGCAATGAAGAGAAACTATAATAGTTCATCAATGAACGTTCGAAACACGCAATTATTGCTCTATTGTTGTCTACACATCACACTGGTCGATTTTGTTGTTTGTCGAATTGTTACTTATGCGCTGCGTGCTCCAAATTAGTTACGTTTTGATTGGACTTTTAATTAAACTCTCGCGCAGCTATTTGTTGGCACAAAAGAAGTGAATATGAAGCAAATTGGCGTGCATTTTAAGCCGCAATCGAACGGACACCGGCGATGGAGTAAAAACTATGGTTGAGATTGGAAATGATAAGATGAAAGAACTAAAGAAGTTTTGAGATTTAAACCATGGCATGGCGTGAAAGTAAAAAGTACTCAGTACCTTCACAACGGAACCATTGCATCAAGACATAAAACATAAAGCATGGTCTTGCATTTTAATCAGTTAAACTTTAGGTAAATTAAATACAATAGTTATGAAAACTTATCTGTTTTACGATTGCTGTGTGTCTTTGAATTGTTTGTGCATCTCTGCACTCTGCACTTACTCTTGAAGGGATATTTGAATGTTACTTTCAACCGGAATTGATCTCTGCGCTCATTCGTAACAGTTGTGTTTGTTTCCGTTTTACCGGTGGTAGTAAACAGAGCTGAAGTAATTGTTATTATTGCTTTTTGTTTTGATATTGATGAAAGGAGTGTTTAGCGCACGTGCGCATAACAATTGAAGAAGAATGCTTGAGCAGCAAGTGAATGGGTCGTGTTTGCATGTTTAATGTTCGTATTGGCAATCGAATCTTGCACAAATAATTTCCCTTTCGAATTGGCACAACTAGAAGCTATTTAATAAATTTATCAATGCATTTAGAATGGTTAGAAACAAAAAAAATTCTAAATGGATTTATTAATTTATTACATCGTGCATACTTTCATTTAGTTTCAGCAAGAGAAATGGATACCGGCTAAATTAAATTAATTGATGCGTAAAATGGTTAAAAGGAATGGTTTTTGACAGCGGTGGGATTCGAACCCACGCCCTTTCGGACTGGTGCCTAAAACCAGCGCCTTAGACCACTCGGCCACGCTGCCTTGAAAACCGCCATATTGGATGTCAATTTCTGCATAGTTAATGATTTTAACACTTAAATTCAAGTATTCTGTACTAATTTTCTATTATTTCGACATTTTCCAGCAAAACATTTATAAAATTCTACCAAATACTGTTAGCACTGCTTTTGCTGGGTTAATAGATAACTATATTTATTTGGGGGGTGATCTTTACCAAAATTTTGACAGCGGTGGGATTCGAACCCACGCCCTTTCGGACTGGTGCCTAAAACCAGCGCCTTAGACCGCTCGGCCACGCTGCCTTGCTTAGTCCACAACCCCTAGCAACCCAGTCCCAAATATTGGTCTCTTAGCAACAGAAAAACAAATATTTGTTTAATCGATAACTTCCCAGTCTGTTCAATCATTTCCAGTCAGCCATTTTCATCATTTACCTACTGTATCTCTTGCTTTTCCAGTTAATAAACGGCAAACAAAATGGTCGTGGTCCACATTAAAAACAATGACCAATCTCAGTTCCTCTACGAAACCACCTTAAAAACCAAAGTGGAAGATTTCATCCAAGCGGTAACAGCAATATACAATGGTCGTCTAAAAATTGACCGAGTCTGCTGCGAAATTGAAGAGCTCGCAAAATATGGCACTCTCTACCCGCCGGAAATACTTGGTTTAACCGAGGAGCAAGTCGAGGAGCTTAAGCTGGTCGATTACTATGGCGATAAATGCATTCCATCTGGTGGATTCACCCTAGTGAAAGACCCAGTGGGCCGTCGTAATGGCAAGCAACCCAAGAAAGAAATGCAGGACGTTCTTACAAAGACCGTTAAAGAAGCTAGAGAGATGATATCAAAGAATCTGATTAAGGAAAACAAGCCTATGACTTTGAAGATTGTTCAGCAGGCTTTAGATCTGCTTAAAGGCGCCGTTACCATTGTATACCCAATGAAACTTCCGCCGCACGATGTCATCCGGATGGAATTTGAAAACATCGAAGATCTGAGCGGAACTCAAGCATCGTTGCAGGTAATAGATCCGGTGACAGCTCAGGTGTGGTTCTGCGGCAAGGAGATGTACCGAGATAGAAAGATACTGGGCGATTATCTCGGCAAGATTGAAAATTGCAAGGTAATTTTACTCCTAACGATGATATCTTAGCTGTCAAGTTAATTTCGCACCTACAAGCGTTAATGTAAATGTAGTTAGATGTAGATATTTTCATAGACATTTTGCCATGAGGTAAACCTTTTACCGATGTTTGTTAACGACATCAGTAACGTTAAATGCGTACGAGTTGATCAAATTATCATACGCTCACCTAAAGCAGTTAATCGTTTACAAATCGCTTGATAAGTTCGTTTGAACAAGTCCGTAAGCGTGTTGAGATTAATGATGACAGTGGAAAGTAATTGTGTGAAATTGGAGAAGGTGAAAAGTTGGACAGGTCGGTTTTATCGTTTATATTTGCAATTCGCAGGTGATTGTGAAGCTGAGCAAGCGTGGACAAGGTGCGCCTGGTCGCGAACCTGTAATAAACGAAGAGGAACGCAAGCAGATGATGCTGCACGCGTACCGGAAGCAAGAGGAACTGAAGAAGTTGGATATGGATAATGATGACAACTATTTGAATGCTGCGTGGGCAGACAGCGGTAATTTAAAGCGGGCGTTTCAGGGAATTAATAATATTTCGTGGAGACCCGGCAAATAATCTGCAATTATGTAAATTATAATTAATTTTCGAATGTCTTTATTTTGGCATTATAATTTAAATTTGAATTGGTATATTTTACTTAATTTACTTGAAAGACTATTCTAACATCTTGAAAGAAGTACAAATTCTGTCATAACACAGAGTCAAACTAATTTCTAAAATTATTTTCTGCTAAAAGACAGTCGAACTACTTAAAAAAAATTGTAAAAAAACAGGGTCAAACTGTGTTCTAAAATTATTTTCTGCTGAAACACAGAGTCGAACTAATTTCTAAAATTATTTTCAATCGAAACACAGAGTCGATCTGATTTCTAAAATTATTTTCTATCGAAAGACAGGGTCGAACAGGCGTTGTGTTAGGGTAAATAGTTTTCAAGTAATTTAACTACTATTTTATTAATTACTAGTGTTACTAACAGTGTTAATCCTACACTAGGTGCAGGACTCCAAAAAATCACCCATACTAATAAAAGTATGATTACTTGAATAAACAATCAGTCTGATAACAAAATATTACTGAGATAAAGTATTCTTAATCACGGATTTTGCAATAAAAAGTTCACATTTTCAGTTTTTACACCATGTTGGAAAATTTCGTGAAAATACAAGTGGTGGTTCAATTTGCTTTTTACCAGTTATTTGGGAAATAATGGTGCTAGTAAAAAACTGACTGGATATCTTTCATCCTCTTGCAATTCTCTATCGAATGGAGTTTTCCATTTTTCTCTAGCTTAAAAAATAACTAATAATAATAGTTTAACTCTTAACTGTTTTCGAGTGGATTTTGGTCAATTTTTCATAATCAAAAAATAAATTTGCCATTTTATAGATTTTTGTTAGGGCATGAAAAATATGCAAAAAGATTGTCTGTAACTTTTATAATTTCTGAGACAATTGCGTTGCAAAATCATTTTTCACTAGTCTAAAAATACAAAATTTGAAAGCTTAATACATGTAGAATTATTTGATGAATGCTATGCAGTTTTCCGGTCTGGCTTATCTTTATCAGTCCTTGAGATATTCGGTATTTAAGTTGTGCTACAAGTACACTTTAGATTTAAGAATATCAACAAGGTAAACAAACAAAACTATTGAGTAACAAGTTTAGTAAATTAGGTTATTAATAGCTTATCTATATAATGATTTTATTATGTTTTAAAAATAATTTAAACCACTTGCTAAAATGACCTGCGCCTCCGCCACATTTTAGTTAATTATTTGCATATTCATAAAAAAATGAAAAAATAAGTTTTTGAAACTGATTATAAAAGAGGACAATTATACGAATGTAATATTTTAGTATATTATTTAAATTTCTCTTTTTGTAGGTTTAGGAGATATACGTTAAATTTTGTTCATATACAATTTTATTAATTATTTGTCTTAAATAATGATGGCTGAACAAAAGTTTACTAAAACATTTGATTTCCAATTTATAAGTTTAATTTATGGCATAAAAAGCATTAAACCGTGAAAAGATTTCGGCATAAAAAAGGTCAAACTTTTTCACTTTTTTATCGATTTTGGATTCTAAATTCTAATTAACTTATTTAAGAATAAGAATAAGAAATAAGAATAAGCAAATAAATGTTTAAATTATGAACTTAGAATTTTTAGATTAATTTATAATGTACAACTAAATTAAAAACTAAAATATATGCCCTTAAATCAATAAAAGTATGAAAAGTTCTATACTGATTTGAAACTTTGTATAAATGTATGTTTGGTTGTCTACACTAGAAAATATTTGTTTTTGTAGTCATAATCTTCAGCATACATGTAATAAAACCTCAACTAAATGAAAAAAACTGTGATATAAGACTATGAATCGCTTTGAATATTGTGAACCTGCCCTAGGGCCCAACGAATATTTTTTAGTGCAAGACAAGAACGTACGTTTATACGATGGCAACCAAAAAGTAATTCTAACCCTTAAAAACTTATTTAAAAGTAAAATTTACATTACATTACAAATATTTGAACTTTTGCAGACAAATTTCGAGGGTGGCGAATTGACCGTAACATCACATCGTATTTTTTGGGCTCAACCAGGCCACTTTTCCAATGGTCAAATATGCCTAGCACTGCCACTAAGTTTGGTCACTGCATTCAATGAAGAGTCACCAGGAGCATTTAGCTTTAGCCGCAATCAAAAAATAGTTTTATATTTACATGAGCCGTCACCAGATAGAAATGAAGGGCCTCAGCTTAATAGTCTGTATAATTATATTAAACTGTCATTCAGAGAAGGTTTTGGTGCACATACCCTTGATGCCATTAACAATGCAATAACACAAAAACAATGGTTGCTTGATGTGCAGCAGCAGCAAGAAATTGCTCAAGGCAGTAGTGCACCTAAGAAATTACCTGAAATTAAGTTAAGAACTGGTATTGTGGGCATTGAGAGATTTTTACAAGAGAAGCAAAAGGCTACAGATGAAAGTATTTCAGTTGCTTTCCAAGATTTAAGCAAGTTGATGCTGATGGCAAAGGATATGGTCAGGCTATCACAAAATATCTCAACAAAAATTAGAGTAAGTTAACAAACGATTCCGTTTATATGAATAAAATGATTACATCCACAGGAAAAACAAGGTGATATCACTGAAGATGAAACCGTCCGCTTCAAATCGTATCTGATGAGTCTAGGTATTGACGATCCTGTCACAAGAGACGGTTTCAAATCAGACAATGCATACCACAAGAGCCTAGCGAAGCAAATAAGCGATAATTTGGTAACACCCATTGAAGAAGTTGGCGGCATGATGGTACTTACCGATGTTTTCTGTCGTGTGAATCGAGCTAGAGGCCTAGAATTGTTATCCCCTGAAGACGTTTTAAACGCTTGTCGGTACATGGAGAAGCTGGAATTGCCACTGAAGTTATTCCGGTTTGATTCAGGCGTATTGGTATTACAGCTTGTGAGTTTAGATGGTGAATCTGTTGCTTACGCCACTGAAGAACTTGTAAGTGCAAATATTTCGGCCTTAAATATTATTATTAACTATATATCTTATAGATTACTGAAAGAGGATCACTGAGTGCAGAAGAATTAGCACAATATCTTGGAATATCGGTGGTTCTCGCTAAGGAAAGGCTAAAGACAGCTGAAAATTATGGACGGTGTTGTCGTGATGATTCCATGCAAGGTTTACGCTTTTATCCTAATTTATTTTTGACCAGGGACGACTAAGACGTATTTAATTGATGATAGGAAAGGTAATGTTGCTTTTTAAATAATGTTTGTATATAATTCATAATTATATACATTTAGAATATGCTCATTTCATTTTTGTGCAGGAATTTTATTTTTAAGTCGTCACATGTATTTTTGTCTTTAAAATTCTATCCACTATTTATTATGTACGCATAAAAACTATCATCGCAAGTAAGAAAACGTGATACAACACAGGCAGTAATCTAAATTTGAACATTTAAAATCAAATGCATATATACTCCACCAAAGTAAAAAGAAAAATAAGACGCATTATTAAATAGAAATTGTTCAGCTGGCTCATTAGAGATTCTCTTGAGAATCTAATCATCCTTCTTGTCTTTCTCTTCAATGTCCATTTTATCAGACTTGTCCTCGGTGGTAGAGGATGGGGCTCCTTCATGGCCACCTTCATTAGGCCCTCCACCGGGTGCATCTCCGCGTTCTTCAGGCGGAGGTTGCGATCCGTACGGTCCTTGCATTCCGTGATCTGGTGGACCTTGCCCTTCGGGTACACCTGGATGTCCATAGGGATGATGCGGACGCGGCATGTGCGGCGGATATTGCGAATAGGGTTGATTATAGTACCCATGCGGCGGATATTGGGGATATGGTTGGTGATATCCTTGCTGTTGCGGATATGGGTACGAAGGATGTGGAGGACGTGGTGGAAGTGGTACAGATTGAGGATTTCCGGGTCCATATTGACCATGCTGATAAGGGTATTGACCGGATGGCATCATTGAGCCCGGTGGAGGTGCGGGACCACCTGGATGAGATGTTAATGGTGCATTGGAGTGAATTGGAGGCGTGGATGAATGAGGCGGGCCTTGTGGATGAGTCGAAGGAGCTCCTGGATGTGTTGGAACACCAGGGTGGGAGGTTGGTGATGGAGCATTAGGATGCGACGTTGGTATACCGGGATGAGATGCGATACCTGGATGAGGTGGAGTTGAACTTGGATGTGATGATGGTACTCCAGGATGGGGTTGAGATGGCGGTGGGCCATTAGAATGAGGATGACCGTTAGGTGGCCCTTGTGGGTGGGAGTGGAGTGGTTGAGAGTGAGGTGGGCCGCCTTGATGCGGGGAACCCTGACCATGGGGTGGGCCTTGCGCATGCGGAGGACCCTGTGAATGTGGTGGACCTTGGCCATGAAGAGGACCTTGTTGATGCGGAGGATGTGGTCCTTGTTGATGTGGAGGACCTTGACCATGCGGCGGATGAGGACCCTGTTGATGTGGTGGACCTTGAGAATGAGGTGGTCCTTGCTGCTGATGGGGAGGACCCTGTTGATGAGGAGGGCCTTGTTGATGTGGGGGACCCTGTGGATGCGGTGGGCCTTGTTGTGGCGGCTGTCCTTGCGGATGCGGCGAATGGGGAGGAGCCTGCATATGCGGCGGCATTTGTCCCTGTGGCCCAGGCCCAGGAGAATGAGAACCTGGTGGTCCCCCTGGTCCTGGTGGACCACTTTGACCATGCATCGGGTGTTGTTGGTGTGGTGGTGGCCCATGTGGCCCTGGTCCACTGCTGGGATGAGACGGCGACATTGTCGAATGCGGCGGGGTGCCAGGTGTTGAATGCGGTGGAGCTGTATGTGGGGGCATTCCAAGATGCGGCTGCATGTGCGGAGGTGGACCACCATGTGGATGCATGCCTGGCTGTGGAGGATGCTGCATACTTGGCATACCTGGATGAGGCGGCACATGGTGCGGCGATGGTGGGTGTCCCGGGTGCATACTGGGACTATGCGGTTGATGCAATGTTGGTGCAGAAGTATGCGGCGGTGCCTGTTGCGGAGGAAGTTGTGGCTGAGGAGGGACAGGAGAATGAGCCATTGGCAGCGGTTGATGTTGCTGCTGTGGTGGAGGCTGGGACTGCGGTGGTACAGCCGACAACTGAACTGGCGCTTGTGATGGCGGTGGTTCGTCCACTTGCATCTTTTCTTCTTTAACTTCAGGAGGAGCATAATTACCATTCGGCACAGGGGTTGGCTCCTTGGGTGGCTCAACCGGAGATGGCTGCGGTGGAGTTTTTGGCATCTCGGGCTGGGGCGACTCCTGCTTGACAGGCTATAAACAAATGCAATTAATCACCCCGAGCAATTCATAGCGATACATTCAGATGACTAGGTACTAAACAGCGTGCAGTAAGGCTTTTCACAATAACATAGGTAGTGGTGGAGTTACCTGGATGTAATGTAGTACTATGCCCTGTTGTTAATGTTAATTTGCAAAGAGAATGTCACAGCATTATACATTTACACAAATAATTACACAAAAACAACGTTTCACACGCAAGTTGGTTGAAAGAAGCAGTTGTTGAAAATTTATTTTGAGAGTTAAACTCTGACAGTGGGAAGGTTGTTTTGTCGGACGAAAGACAACGCTTGTAAGCAACACAGATAAAATGCGGAGTGCACCATGTGACTCGTGAAGATTGTTCTACCTTACCAGGAGAAAAGTTAACCGACGCCCCTTTTATTGCCGACTCCGATCCGAGATAACATCATTTAAGAGGAAGATATATTGTTCTATAAAATTTCGATTGCTTTAGTGATGAAAAATATATCATACGGGTGAACTTGATGAAAATGTGAATTGTGATTGATGTAACAGAATGACGAAAAATGATGAACAGAACAAATCAGAGTTAAGTTTTCCCCTAGTAAATACAACGTCACCTCAGTTGGTTTCCTTCTACTCATATGTACATCACACTGTTCAGTGAGGGGCACAAGTACACTTACTTCTTGTTGTGGCTGCGCCTCGTCCGAGGGTAGTGAATTGGTCGGCTGGGGACCACTAGCGGCAGCATTCGGCTGCACCGGTTCGCTACTCGCGGCTGGAGGGCCATTTGAAGCAGCTGCTTCTTCTTGTTTGATTTTCTGTTCGTCCTGACCCTTCAATCGCTCTTTGCGAAGAGTTTCGTATTGACGTTCGACCAACTTTTGGAATGTTTCATCGTCTACAGCTGGTTTGCAATGCTAAAACATTATTTATAAATAAATTATTTTAGTTATTTTAAAATTTAGGCCAACCTTTTTCAATTCCTCTTGGAATTGTTCACTGCTCTCAATAAATTTGCGTTTTTTAGCGTCAAACTTCTCTTCGATCTGCTGCAACTCCGCTTCGAGTTTCTTCTGATGCATGGTGAGCGACTGCACTTGACGTTTCAACACTTGCATTCTACCAGTTGTCACAACCGATCGCACATCGGGAACCACCGTATCCGAAAATATTTCGTTAATAAGACGATGATTGCGCAAATATCGAGCGTATGCAATATGTTTAACGGAATAACCATCATCTTGATCTGAATAACAACCTTAATTATTACAAGTCCGCAATAGTTTTTATTTAATTATTACCTTCTTCATCTTCTGCTGGTTGAATATCAATTCGACGATCAGCAGCCTGTTGCTGCTTATTACTATCACGACTTCTCTCGTGAGTGTCGCGCTCTTCAACACCAGAAGCCGCACGGTTTTTCGCCGCAACAAACGCCAAATACGCCGGCGAATTCTGATAAGTCTTGAGATTCTTATCATATTCGACCTTTTCTACTTCATATTCTTCAACGTACTCGTTCTTCTCATCTTCAGGCAAGTCACGCCACATTTGGCCAATTATCTTGCCGATTTCCCACAGTTTAAGTTCAGGATTTTGTGCTTTGACTGTGTCCCAAACCTTACGACTGTATCGCATGTACGGCATGAGAGGCTTCTCCGGTGGCTTAGGTGGTTTGGGAGTCTTCGAATCATTCTAAGCAATTTAATTATTGATTAGCACATGATGGCGTGATGAAATTAGATTAATAATAATGCTGTGCTTACTTGAGGTGTGTTTTTTCCAACTTTTTGTGGTAAAAATGATGAATTGCCACTAGGAGTAGTAATAAATGGATTTGTCTCCTTCTAAAAATTGTTGACCAAATATATAAAATTTCAAATAAACGAAATATAGGAATTATTACCCCAGATCCTTGGCTAACTCCTCCGGAGGCTCTTAACCGCTCTATAATTAGAAAATAAGGTATTAAAAGACTAGTTGCCCTTGTGTTTATGCATCTATCATCTAAATTTAATAACTGGATCCACAAATGTTCAAAAATGCAATTATAAACACACATAGAACTTACCAAAAAAAGTGCATAACACATTGAACGATTTAAAACCGTCGCATTAATAAAATTCTGTTTTAGATCGACCAATATGTCTCACAAATGTATCAATGTTTGTTTGTTGCTAAGGTTGGTTGCTCGTGAGCAAGTGTACGCTTTCGTTAACGTTGAAGCAAAAAGCATGAGCAAATTCTAATCGCAAATTATTAATAAAGCGGTACGAGTACAATGAAGACGGTCGAAAAACAAATGATGTTAATATAATATGAATGAGTCAATTTTAGCGGATTTGTTTTAGAGTTCTAATTGAGTGAGAGAGATAATCGTTTTTTACCTTTCAAAATGTTGAAAGTCATCGGAGAACCTGTGAACAGCAAATCTGAACAACAAACACAAACAAAGCAAAATCATTGCCACTAAATCTACTCACACAAGCATGATGCAAACTGCCCTTCAATAATATTATCATAACAGTTTGCAGAATGCTTGTGCATGCTTACATCACTAATATTTACTTGTTTACTAATAGTCATGCAATTAATCAGAGGTAAGTTGAAGTCGGCCATATATAAGGTACATTTAAAAGAGATAGACATGGTATTTCTTCTAATAGGTCGGTACGTTCGTAATTATTTCGAAATATACTTCCATGAGGAGAAAACATAATACACATGCGAGCAAAGTAGGCAACAAGCCATCATTAAATGCGTACTTTAATCGCCTTCGTCGGACACAACGAGAACCGTCAACGCAAAACATGTAATACCCACGTCGACAGGGCACAATCGTCAAAAATGTTACAACAGTAAGATTGTAATGCTTTTGTTCTTACGGTTTGGCGTCTGCGGTCCTCCCATCGGCGAAGAGACTTGTTTATAGTTGCCAGGTAAAGCCATCATAGATTCTTAAATGGAAAACCTGATAAGGTTACTGTTATTCCGATGTGTATGGGATGCAATCTACCTTGATTAAAACAATTAAATTGGAGTAATTATTGTGAACTTCTTATATTTCAGGCAAGTATTCACCGGAGTTTATACGCTTGCACGCCAAGCTTTGCTTACAACGCAGCCATGACGTGCGATCGACGCGACGCCAGTGGAATATTTTTTAAAGTAGAAGCAGTTTAAAAAGTGCGACCAGGTCACATCTTTGTTTATAGTGGATAACTTGAATAGCAACACTTGAAATTATCCTGGTTAAATTTGATGCTAAATAATTTATGCTTGTGCAATTTGCTTGACTGCATAAAATTACTGCGCCAGTGCGGTGTGCTAATAAGTTTAAACTTGTTTATTACAGCGGCACATGAAAAATATAATAGTCAAAATAAATAAGTAAGTATTTCTGAATTATATAATTAAAAATATTACATTCTAAAGTAAATGCATACACAATTTTAAAAGCATAATTTTTAGGCTTTAATCGTATTTAAAAAAATAATAAAAAATATTTGGGACCATATTAGGTACATATGCACGATTTAAAACACTTTCCCAAAAATAGTCAACATCCCCATTGGTAAATTATTATTTATATAAGAGGTGCGCATGCGCTGATGTACATACCAAGCATACATTTGCCTTTTTAGTTAGATGCAAGGCTTTTCATGCATCATGGGCCATAAATAAATAAGTATAAACACAAGGAAATAAATGTTGTTGATGAACAATTAACAAAAAGTCCTCTCCGGCGGGGAATCGAACCCCGGTCTCCCGCGTGACATTTACATTACATACATAAATGATACTTTTTCTATGTAATCAACAATCATTTCCGATACAGTTTTGATTGAATCTTTGAATTCTTGTCCGTCCATTTTCTAGTGCTGTGTGTTCATAAACTATAGTGTAAAATTAATATTCAATTGTTATTGTTTTACCTTTTATAGTCGTAAACAGTTGATTGCAAAATGTCACATGTCTATTCATGTCATTAACATTGAGGCATTTTGTACGACCATGTAAATTCAACGTTTGTCATTTCCATGTAATTTTGTTAAATGAAAATATGGTTAAACCAATTTTAAATGCATAGACTTTATGCAAAAATCTCAATTTTCTGAATAATTTGTTGTTGTGGAAAATACGCCATTGTTAACATTTTTGCAACAGTTTAACCATAATATAACTGCGTAATTGGTTTTTTAGATTGTATGATAAATACTAAAAACATTATACGAGGTATTTAAAAGTTGTTGGTGGCTAATATATAGAAATACTTAATAACAAATTATTGATACAATTTTCTATTTACTTTAAAAATATTTATTTATTAATAGCCCTGAGGGCCTCTTCATAAACAGTTTATGCCCTCAGGGCGAATCATATCAACTCAATATATAAAATGTAAATCCAGAAGAAATCACGTATAACTATTAATAAATAAATATTTTTAAACTATACAATGGATTACGTATTCAGCAACGAAAGTAATAAAATTTCAATTTAATATTTACACATTAAAGTGTATGTTTTCTGCTAAAAGCTTAAAATTTTACTGATGTTAACACAATTCTTCGGTAGTATATTCATTTATTGGAAGTAGAAACGACAACCGCTCAACCCGTTTTCAAAGAAACATACATAAAATAAATTCAGTAAAGTTTTCAAGTAATAACAATAAACAATATGTCGGTAAAGAAAAGCATTTGGTGTTAAAACAAAAACAACTTAAGTATCAAGTGGCTAAACGGGGATTTTAGTCACGAGATTGATTGAGAGTGAGTGTAGCGAGCGTTTAAACAATCGAGTGTTAAACAACGTTTACTTACGTGATGCTTACGCTATTTTATCTCCTTCCCCTCGCTTTCCTCGTTTTGGTTTTTGGATTTGAACTGTTGTATTTTTAATCTTTAAAATTCGCTCGCTAACTACTGGGAAATGTAAGGTTATAAACGCCGAGCCGCGCCACCATGAGCAGCAGCAGCGTCTGATTTGACTTATTTGGCTGGCGGCGCATGGCATTTCATATGGCGTGGTGCGCAAGTTTCGCGTCATCAATAAATCCCATGAGTAAAGTACTTTACTCATGACCATGGACTGGAAAAACTGGCGCTTTAAAGGTGGAAGTAGAAAAACAATATAATTTGCCAAGTTTAACATTACATATAAGTTAGTGGGTATCGCAAGTTATTGGCTAAACATTGCACACATGTATTTACTTGCATATACTTGCAATGGTTTAGTAAAAATATCGTTTTGGCGATATTGTGAGGGTATAGCGTACAGTAAGTGTTTACTTAACTTTACTTAGCTTATACTCACCCTCTCGTACTACCAATGTATTTCAACACATGTATTTGTTTGGGCTTTCATTGTTCTTCATGAGTTCTCTAGCTGTCGGGCGAGAATCGTGGATGATTGCGTGGGCTAACAACGTAGGACAACCTTACGATATGCGCAGTCGCGCAGTCGCTATGCTACACGAAACTGTATAAGTGTAGAAATTGAATACAGGGCAAGTCGGATGATTTCTAATAAGAAAAATTTAGCGTCTCAAACAGGCAGAGCGCTTAGCCCGAGCCCCGCTCAAAATTGGCTTACCAAAAAGCGAGCTGTGCATCCAATAAATATTACAAAGCTCTAACAAGCAAGTAAAACATCGGCGGTTGATACAATGGGCATTTCTAAAGTGGCGCCCAAATGCGAAGGCGCAACGGGGGAGGTGAAATCCAATCCGAAGACTAATTTAAACATCTGCGAAAAATAACTCTGTATTTTTCTAAAACTTCCAAATGTTACTACCTAAGTGTCGAGGCTCGTTGCTCACGCAAAATATCAGTACGGACCGTTTTTCTTAACACACCATAACTGTTCGCTATTATGTCTACTGCACATTCAAGCATTTATTGACAATGTCGCCACCGAAGAAGAACTGAGGACACAGGGATTCATTATAAGTAACTTGTGGCAAACAAATGCGAAAGAGCCACGAGGGAGGTGAATTCCCATTTGAAGACTAATTTAAACATCTGCGAGTAATAACTCGGTGTTTTTCCAAAACTTCCAAATGTTACTACCTAAGTGTTGAGGCTCGTGGCTCACGCATCATATCAGTACGAACCGTTTTGCTGAACACACAATAACTTTTCGCAATCTTCTTCACGGACAAGCATCATTGACAGTGTCGCCACCGAAGAAGAGCTGCGGGCACAGTATTGCATCGCAACGCACTTCTTTCATCAGATGTTAACGATCTTGCGCAGTTCCTTCGACTGCACAACGCGCTGGTTCGCGTGTGCCTTTGTCGTGAGATAAATATAGCTGGACGGCTTCGTTTGCCAATGTCGAATCTGCGGTTCCTGCTTCGAGGATAAGGCTCCCGCTCCTCACCACATTATTTGTTCTGGGGTATTGGACTTTGAGTAAGGTAAGGTATTGACTTGGTTTGGTGTATCTTTTGCGTGTGGGCGTGGGGTGTGGGGAAGGGAAAGATGATACGATTTGATACGAACCAATTCACTTTCAGCCATGTAGTCCCCGGAACCACCGTGATCCGTCCTACGTTGTTGCGCCGATTGCGTGCATACGCTGTACGTGCTCTTTCGTATAATAGCGTTAATGTTGTTGTCGGTTAGACCTATGTCATTCATCGTTACTTTAAAATGTTCATATTCTTTCGTACGCACCACTTCTCCAAAAGAACCTATTGTGAAAATCGCTAAATTTACATTGCATCTGTGTCTCATTTCATTAAATAGATTGGTGTCCCGCACGATGCTGTTGTAATTTTCTTTTTATTTAATTTTGCCTGAGTCTCTTGTGTATTTCACCCATTTAATTTGTTCCTGCATGGGCATGATAAGAAATAACTTCGAATATGGTTTCTAATTCAAAATCACTATTTTATTCACTAATTATACAATGTCTATGCGTTTCACAATCTCAACTTCTCCCCTTTTACACTGTCGTTTCTCTGCCGCGTCTCTACTCGACTTCCCTCTGGCCTGTCTTCTCTCGCACTCCCTGAGTATCCTTCTCCCTTCACTCACAGCGCTTGCGCGCAGTCCAGCCGACTACGCCACTAGGCCATACTTAACCGGCAGGTTTTTCAGGTGTGGCGCCAACACTTGTTTAAGATGTATTTTGCTTACCGAGTTTCGCTCCCCCTCAACCATAAGTCGGATGATGGAGTTTCTTTTTGGTAAGAATTGATTGTTTGAAGGGTGTATTTGGTACCGCGTCGGTGCTGAATTGAGTGTTGACAGTTGCGTGTGTATGTGACTAAACTCCTCCTAAACGGCTGGATCTATTTTGATGAAGTTTTTTGTGTATGTTCAGGTGGGTTTGAGAATAGTTTAGATTAACAATTCGGTCTACTGGGAAATGATCCAGTTCCAGTTTTTTTACCCAAAAGTTAAAAAAAAATGCCTGAATTTAATTAACAGATAGAAAGTCATTTCTTGACAATAATTATAAAATTGAATTTATCAAATTTGAAACAGAATCGGTGAATTATAATGATGGATGTGGCACATATAGCTAAAGAAGTCTTTTAAGAATATCGATAATATTCAAGAAAGAATAGTCGAGACAAAGTTCGGCAGGGCAGCTAGTAGTTTCTAAAAATATCATTATCATCTCAAAAAGAGAAACAGAAAGAGAGAAGAAAGAGCTGCCAAGAGACCTGATGAACGTCTCCCTACTTTGTTCTCTGCGCGCTACTATGTTATACCTACGCCCAACCCTCAATAAAGGGAGGGGGTAGGTAAGTCGGAAAGAGCTGCAAACGCATCAAGGTTACAAACTGTAAATACATGAGGGTATTCTTCTGATTTCACTTCTACTGGGGGGAAACAAGAATTGGAGTCAAGTAGTGCGCAACTTGGTACAGGTGAGTCGGATAAAGATGGCCTTTGCTAGCGGGTTTGCGCCCCCGCCTTCCCACCAAATAGAACAAAATAATGGGGGGAGTTTATATAAATAATTAAAAATTAAATAAAGAACAAAAAGTCCTCCCCGGCGGGGAATCGAACCCCGGTCTCCCGCGTGACAGGCGGGGATACTGACCACTATACTACCGAGGACCTGCAGGAGGGGTAAAAATTTAAAATTTTCAGCAGGACGTTAATCGGTTTACCTTCTGTTAGTCACCGTTGTGAGTGATATCGGCCTAAACTAATATATTTTCGAAAAAATTAAAAATTGCAATACTAAATACATGGTTTGTGATAAGTTGAGGGGATAAAGTCTGAAATTTTAAGTAAGAAGGAAGTCCTCGGTAGTATAAATCATTTATTTGGAACTTGAACGCTGAGTCGAAACGACGACCGTTCAACCAGTTTACAAATGAACCTACATAGAATACATTCTGTCAAGGGATACAATTACGACAATAAAACATTACGGCAGTTAGGAGCATAAATATCATTGGGTTCACGGAGTCCCCTTGTTATTCTCCGCGGTTTACTGTTATTGGTTTGGCTTTTTGGTCGACGTCTCCCGCTAGTTTGATGTTCCATAGTCGTCTAGTCTAGTGTTGTTGTATAGACGTTTCAATTCGTCTTCAATTGGTAGCTTTGGCGTGGTTCTCCGGGTAAAATGCCTTCCTAAAGTCATACCATGTTGTAACTAGAGATCGACGGTTTTGGTTTCGGCCAGTTTCGGCCAAGGAATCTAATTTCGGCTTCTGTTTTGGTGTCGGCCAAAAATGGGCCGAAACTTTAGGCCGTAACGAAACTCAGTGTTCGTGAATTTTATTCTAGTTTTATTTTAAAGTGACACACGATAGAGGTTTGAGGGAATCCTCAACCAAACATATGTTCAAAAAATTCCCAAAATCAAAAATTTTCAATCTATCTTCAATTACTTCACTTTATTGCTTAATACTGTTGTAAATAATTTTATTGCACCATTCCTTAAATCGTTAAATCTTGAAACTTAAATTAAACATATTTTTATGTAAATTACGGTTTCAGCTTCGGTTTCAGCCGAAAATTTCGGTTTCGGTTTCAGTTTCGGTCGGACTCTAGTTGATACGTGTCCAGTTCGGTTCATTATTGAGGAGAGCACATCTGCTTTATCCAGTAGGTGGTAAGCAGTTGCATGGTGGCAACTTCACTCGCAATGTAACCGGCGAGCAGTGCGGCCGGTTGACCGCGAGCTCTGCATAGCAACAAAGCAAGTCAAGACATTTCGCCACAAGCAAACTCAAACTCAAGTGCAACCGTCTTAGACACAATCGACCCAAAGTTCTATACATTTACTCGAGGCGGAAAGAAAGAACAAGAAAGATTGTCACACGTAGAACAAGAAGAAGAGGCAATCGACGAGAGTATCCCGCAGAGTAACGTAGATGAACAGCACCGAGTTCATCTCTCACTCCAATAGAGGAACATGACCATGCGCAACAGCCGGAACCCGTAAATAGCGACAACAAAGAACTCAGGCAAGTACTTTCAAACTTATCAAAGAAAAGTAACTTACTGAGGTTCTATATTCCCAAGAAACAACACAAAAAGATTACAAAAGTGGACAACATGCTCGCCGAAACAATACAATCCATCTTAGCAAATTCAAAGAGACCAGGACGGCGACATCGCCTAGTGAAGAAAGCCATCTTAGCCGCCGGCTACCTGCTTTGGAAGGAAGTAACCGGCTACATGGGTAAACCAAAAACAGCACCACCTTTCACTCAAACAAAAAACAAGATCCGTCGGCTGGAGACGAGGGTGAAAAGAGCAGAGGCAGTGAGGGAAAGGGAAAAGACCAAGTTGGGCAAAAATCTCATCGAGGATGACACCATCTCAATTCATAAGTTGTTAGTTAGTTAGTTGAGGAACTAACGACCGAATCCAATTACTGAGACGTGATCTCCTGGAGCAGATCGAAAAGCATAGCATAATGCAAATGCGCCAGAGATGCGAACAGGAGCCGTCGATGAAAGTATTAAAAGTAGGTCGGAAGAACTTCGCGAAGCCAGATATGAGCAAAGCAGAAGTTTTCTTCCAAAAACTTTACCAGGACCACGTACCATCCAAGGAAACCCCAAAGCCAATCCTCAACAAATGGCTTGACAAAGTGGCCAAATCAGTACCAACAAATAACACAATAGAATACGGGACCCTGATCGATCGCGCTATTCGCGACAGCGCGAACTGGAAGGCACCAGGAGAAGACAGGGTCCCAAATATCCTATATAAAATATTCCCAGCAGCGCAAAAGTACATCAAGCAACACGTTCTGGATTGTATCAAAGGCAATTACGTCTTCAATCCCCAGGACGTGTCAGCTCAAAGTGTCCTAATACACAAAAAAGGCCCAACAGACGACCCTAACAACTACCGACTCATCTCCCTTCAGAACACTGACTATAAAACAACAACCAAAGTACTGACAATGGCCATTCAAAAGCAAGTAGGCAACTGCCTGCCTCCGCAACAGTTGGCACGACCAAGCACTTGGGGGACGCTGCACGGCTTCCTGCTGGATAAAGCAGAGGTGCTCTCCTCAAAAATGAGCCGTTCAAGCCATGTCTCAACATGGTACGACTTTAGGAAGGCATTCGACACGGTGGACCACGCCGCAATCAATGCCCTAATAGAGAAGTTACCAATTGATGACAACTTGAAAAAGGTATACATGAATACCAAACGGCTCTGGAACATCAAGCTGAGGAGAGACGACAACGAGAGAGCCAAACCGATCAAGATTAACCGCGGCGTATATCAAGGGGACTCCGTGAGTCCATTGATTTTCACCCTATTGACCGCAGGGCTCATTGACCATCTAACGAACGCACCGGAAATCTTGAAAATGACACGCGGCACCCAGCAGGTAATAGCGTACGTCGACGACATCAAGTGCCACACGAGATCGCCGACGCACGCGAACCTGATAACCGAACACCTGGTTAAAGGTGCCGCAGAGATCGGTCTTACGCTCAACCGGGAAAAGTGTGCTACACACAATCCCGGGGAAGCAAATTCCCACGGCCAATTCGTACCGCAACTGAGGAAGGCGTACGAATACCTGGGCATAGAACAGACTGACCTAGACATCCCCAACTACGACCGCCTCGAAGAGAAACTGGCCACTAAAACCAGCGATCTCCTCGGCTCTAAGCTGACGACAACACAGAAAAGGAGAATATACAACAACACTATTATCCCCGCCGCCACATACGTCATGGGTAACATCCGCCCCCAGGAGAGAGTGACATCCACGCTGAAAGCGTGCCGCGACCTAGACGGGAAGCTCCGCAAACTAGCAGTGGCAAACAACATCAAGACGAGACCAACATCAAACCAACGGATGTATCTGTCAACAAAGTCTGGAGGTTTAGGCTTCAACACCATCGAAGTCGAAACCGAAATCCAGTTCGTCCGAAGGTACTCGTACTTCGGGTAAGGTGATAGGCAACAACAACTTTGACAGCGTCCTGAGGGCGCAACCCTATTGGATGAAATGAGACTAAGGCACAGATGCAATGTGAACTTTGCGATTTTCACAATAGGTAGCTTTGGGGAAGTCGTGCGCTCCGAAGAACACCAACACTTCAGAGAGACGCTGAAACAAATGGGCCTGGCCGATAGCAACATTAATGCAATCATCTGTAAGAGCGCCTACAGCGTATGCACGCAATCGGCATCGATTCTCGCTCGACACCTAGAGAACCCATGAACAGTATGAACACGTTTTAACGACTAATCATTTACTTTTACTGACATATTATTTATAGTTATTTTTGACTGAAAGTATTTTATGTATATTTCTTTGCCGTTCCAGTTCCAAATAAATGATTTATACTACCGAGGACTTCCTTCTTACTTAAAATTTCAAACTTTACCCCCTCAACTTATCACAAACCATGTATTTAGTATTGCAATTTTTAATTTTTTCGAAAATATATTTGTTTAGGCCGATATCACTCACGACGGCGACTAACAGAAGGTAAACCAATTAGCGTCCTGCTGAAAATTTTTAAATTTTTACTCCTCCTGCAGGTCCTCGGTAGTATAGTGGTCAGTATCCCCGCCTGTCACGCGGGAGACCGGGGTTCGATTCCCCGCCGGGGAGGACTTTTTGTTCTTTATACATTTTTAATTATTTATATAAACTCCCCCCCCATTATTTTGTTCTATTTGGTGGGAAGGCGGGGGCGCAAACCCGGCTAACAAGGTATCTTTATCCGACTCACCGCTACCAAGTTGCGCTACCGACTCAATTCTTGTTTCCCCAGTAGAGTAGAAATCAGAAAGAATACCCTCATGTATTTTACAGTTTGTAACCTTGATGCGTTTTGCAGCTCTTTCCGACTTACCTACCCCTCCCTTTGTGGGGTTGGGCGTAGGTATAACATAATAGCGCGCAGAGAACAAAATGGGGAGACGTTTATCAAGGTCTCTTGGCAGCTCTTTCTCTTCTCTCTTTCTGTTTCTCTTTTTGAGATGATAATGATATTTTAGAAACTACTAGCTGCCTGCCGAACTTTGTCTCGACTATTCTTTCATGAATAATATCGATATTCTTAAAAGACTTCTTTTAGCTATATGTACCCACATCCATTATTATAATTCACCGATTCTGTTTCAAATTTGATAAATTCAATTTTATAATTATTGTCAAGATACGGCTTTCTATCTGTTAATTAAATTTAGGCATTTTTTTTTTAACTTTTGGAAAAGAAACTGGAACTGGATCATTTCCCAGTAGACCGAATTGTGAATCTAAACCATTCTCGAACCCACCTGAACTCACACAAAAAACTACTTCAAAATAGATCCAGCCGTTTAGGAGGAGTTTAGTCACATACACGCAACTGTCAGCACTCAATTCAGCACGCGGTACCAAATACACCCTTCAATCAATCAATTCTTGCAAAAAGAAACTCCATCATCCGACTTATGGTTGAGGGGGAGCGAAACTCGGTAAGCAAAATACATCTTAAACAAGTGTTGGTGCCACACCTGAAAAACCTGCCTGTTAAGTATGGCTTAGTGGCGTAGTCGGCTGGACTGCGCGCAAGCGCTGCGAGTGAAGGGAGAAGGATACTCAGGGAGTGCGAGAGAAGACAGGCCAGAGGGAAGTCGAGTACAGACGCGGCAGAGAAACGACAGTGTAAAAGGGGAGAAGTTGAGATCGTGATTAAACGCTTAACTTAAGTTGTTTTTGTTTTAACGGCAAATGATTTACTTTACTGGCATATTGATGTTATTTCTTGCAAACTTTAATGTTTAAATTGTAAATAGAAAATTGTATCAATAATTTATTATCAAGTATTTCTACACGTATTTGTAGCAATCAACTACTTTTAAATACCTCGTATAATGTTTTTAGTATTTATCATCCAATCTAGAAAACCAATTACGCAGTTATATTATTGTTAAACTGTTGCAAAAATGTTAACAATGGCGTATTTTGCACAACAACAAATTATTCCGAAAATTGGGATTTTCGCATAAAGTCTATGCATTTAAAATTGGTTTAACCATATTTTCATTTAGCAAAATTACATGGAAATGACAAACGTTGAATTACATTGACGTACAAAATGCCACAATGATAATGACATGAATAAACGTGTGACATTTTGCAATCAACTGTTTACGACTATAAAAGGTAAAACAATAACAATTGAATATTAATTTTAAACCGTAGTTTATGTACATACAACACTAGAAAATGGACGGACAAGAATTCAAAGATTCAACCAAAACTGTATCAGAAATGATTGTTGATTACATGGAAAAAGTACCATTTATGTAAGTATTTCATTTAAAACGTGTCCCTAATATATTAAAAACAATCAATTACAGGAGTTTAGCAAATAAAGTAAGACCAGGATTTCTTGAAAACGAATTGGAAGATGAGTGTCCTAGCGAGGGCAGCCATTTTGTTACGATCAAGCGAGATTTCGAACAGAAAATTTTGAATGGCATTTCACATCGCGTTTCTCCCCATTTTCACTCAGATATTCCGATGGGCAATAGCTATGCATCAATGGTAGCCGAAATATTGATTGCTGGATTAAATAATGTGAGTCTCAACTGGGAGGCGAGTCCCGCAGCGACTGAATTAGAAGTTATTGTGTTAAACTGGCTGGTAGAGATGTTAAATCTTCCGAAATATTTTAAAATTGCAACAGGGAATTCCGGAGGTGGCGTTTTACAGGTAAATAATAAGTGTTTTGCTGTTTACAATCAATACTTCAACATTTTGGTGATTTTTAAGAATACTGGAACTGAATCCATTTTGTTATCGCTCTTATCTGCTAGAACGCGTGCAATTGACAATTATCGGAATACAAATGATAAAGATATTATTACAGACGATGCTATCATAAAAAATTAGTATTTTATTCATCAAATCTGGCGAAAACAACGTGTGACCTTGTAAGTAAGATCACCACTATTAAAGTTCGCCATCTTGTCGCGGACGCCGATGGTAAAATCAATGCATCTACGCTAAAAATGGCTTTCGAAGAAGATGTTAGCAATGATTTAATACCATTAATGTACGTGTCATCAATGGACACTAATACCTTGATATGTTTTGATGATCTCGCGCAAATAGGTCCTATATGTCAAAAATTTAATGTTTGGTTGCATATAGACGCTGAAAACTCTGGAATGGCATTGATTTGCCCTGAAATGCGTTCGATAAGCAAAGGAGTCGAGTATGCTGATTCAATTGCAGTTGGTTTGCATAATTTATTAATGTCACAAGATGTCGTTGCTTACTGGATCAAAGAGGGAGTCTATTTAACTTCTGCATTGAATATGGATCCGTTATATCTTAGACACAAACATGTCGGCAATATTCATGACTACATGAATTGGCAAATTGGTACTGGACGAAAGTTCAAAGCATTGAAAGTTTGGATAACACTGAAATCATTCGGATTGGAAGGGATGCAAGTTCAGGTTAGGAAACAGATAAAAATGGCAATGAAAATGGAAGAATTGGTACAGAAAGATAATCGGTTTGATTTGGTTGCACGTAATTTAGGAGTAGTTTCATTTCGATTAAAAAGTGAACAAGAAAATGATTCGCAAAAGTTACTTGAACGAATTAATCAAAACGGAAAGATTTCGTTAGGTTCACGTGAAAATGAAGCAAATTTTTGTATACAGTTTATTGTCAATCAAAACATGACTGACGAAGATGTTACATTTGCTTGGGAAGAAATCATAGCCCACCTTTAAGGTTAGAATTTCAATTTTGCATTTTACGCTTGTATTCTTTCAATCTGATTGCTTGAATATTGATGAATCCTGTAGCATCCTGTGGGCTGAAGTCATCATGTTTATCCATTGATACCAAGTTTTCATTATAAGTCGAAAAATTTGATTTCCGCCCCAACACAATGACTAAATTGTTAAAGTAAATTATTAATTATTATTAAAAAAACAATTTCTTCTTGTTACTAACCCGATCCTGGGATAATTTCAATGTTTACACTTCCAGTTACATTTTTTGCCGCCATTTTAAGGCATTCGCCTACATAGTTACCCTCCGGCGAGAACCAGAAACCGTTGTAAACGTAGTCGGCCATTTTGAGCATCAATTGATGTTTTACCCTAAACACTTCTTTATCCAGACAGAACACCTCGAGGTCTTGCTGAGCCACATGCAGTATATATCCGGCGGGCGTCTCATAAACACCACGAGATTTCAAACCAACGTAACGATTCTCAACAATATCAATTCGTCCAATACCATATTGTCCCCCGAGTCGATTCAATTCCAAAAACATCTCCAAGGGATCAGTGATTGTTTTATCAAAGGAAAACTGAAGTGACTTTGGACATCCGCTGTCAAACTCAATGGTAAATCTCATCGGATGTAACAATTTATTCTTGACAGGACTCTGTGTCATCATGAACAAGTCCTGCGGTGGTTCAGTGTTGGGGTTTTCAAGGATGCCGGACTCATAACTGATATGCATAAGGTTGGCATCCATGCTCCATGGGGCTTTAGGTGTGACCGAAACAGGTATACCATGCTTTGAAGCGTATTCCAGCAAATCCTGACGACCTTGGAATTTGGCGCAGAATTCTGCATCACGCCATGGTGCAATTACACGAATTTCAGGACAGAGGTAATACGCTGACAGTTCGAAACGGATTTGATCGTTGCCTTTACCTGTAGCGCCGTGGGAAATGTATTTAGCTGCGTGTTTTTTGGCGCAAGCGATAAGACCAACTGCAATACAGGGACGAGCAAGAGATGTGCCTAAAAGGTAGCGATTTTCATAGATTAAACCAGCGCGGATAGCTGGCCAAACGTATTCTTCAACGAATTGCTTCCGCAAGTCATCAATCACAATCTAAAAAATTAAATTGTAGTTCAAACAAGTAATTGTTTTGTGTTTTTGTTTCTCTTACGTCTGTAGCACCAAGTTTTTTAGCTTTCTGTCGCGCTGCTTCAAAATCTTCGTCTTGGCCAATGTTAGCCATGTAACAAATTACTTCGTAGTTCTTTTCCAGGAGCCATTTTAAAATGCAGCTGGTGTCTAAGCCACCAGAGTAAGCTAGAATTACTTTGTCTTTACTCATTGCGATTGACGCTTGCAACTACAAACTGCTCCCTAATCGCACATGATGTTAATAATAAATGGTCATTAATTGACCTTTTTGGGAATTATCAGTAGAAAATTAAGCAATGGCAATAATTACATAACAAGTCAATAATTGTAATCGACTGAGTGTTATACATGGGCATTCATTTCAAATAATATACCAAAATAATATATTTTATATTTTATACCAAGAATCGAAAAAAAGCATTTTTAGTAAAAAAAAAGAAATATTATAATATTTATTTTTGTGGAAAATTATTAAGTTTCCTGGAATGTTCTGAACAAATGGGAAAATAATTTCTATTAGTCATTTGTGATAGTTGAAAAAGTATTCCGTATTTCAAATGTAAAAACTGGAATTTCAAACATGGATGTTGATTTGGCGCATGCGCGTTAATATAGTCATTCTCGTAGCCACTCTCATATAAATTCAAGTTCATTTCGTCTCGTTACATTCGTTACGCATTTTGGCGCGTCTAATTTTGAGACCAGAATTCGCTAAGCAACGCAGAAATGTCGTCGACATCTCAAAAACATCGCAACTTCGTCGCCGAGCCAATGGGCGACAAAGTAGTAACGGATCTGGCTGGCGTTGGCGATGTACTCGGCAAGCGGCTCGTCGAAAAAGGCTTCGATAAGGTTAGATTCCAAAAAATTTACTGCACAATCATAATTTCCCCGCGTAATATTACGAAATCAGCTAACAGGTGTTTCTCTTATTGTAGGCGCACGTCGTGCTTGGTCAGTACCTGGTGCTGAAGAAGAATAAGGAACTGTTTCAAGAATGGATGAAGGATACCTGCCAAGCAAATGCGAAACAGTCAGGAGACTGCTATCAATGTCTCAACGATTGGTGTGAAGAGTTCTTGTAAATAGAATTTTATATGTTGGACAGGTCCGGTTGCATTTTGGAGATTTTCTAAGAATTACTATACTTTTGTATTTAATAAGATATGAAAAGCAAGTGATATTGTATTAATGATGAGTGGCACTGCTTGCACCAATGCTTGATGCAAACACATTTATATTGTAAAGTTAAATTTAACTGGATTGCAAGTGTGAGTAAAAATGATTTTTAATAAATATATATTCTTATAAGTCAGAATTTTGGGTGAGTTTTTGATTTGTGTCATTTTTGTTTAGGTTATTCATTTAAAACATTAAAATATGTAATTTGTACATTGGTGAAAATTCATGTGAATCAAATTTTCCTGTGGATTTCAAGGCTATGGAAGGTAGTCTAACAACGTTTTTAATTACTGATTATTCCTCAACTATTTCTGAATTAATTATTATATACACACATAATTCTATAAATTAAGACTGATACTGTAAAGTTTCAATTAAAAAATACTCAAAATGATAGAATATAGTCAAATAAACGTTGATATCAATATATTTTAATGTATATTTAAACAAAGTACAATTTTCATGCTTAAATCTGCGTTTTAAAGCACTTTCGTTCTTTTCTAACGTGCGTAATCTAAACTTATACTTATAATTTTCAGTATATATTATTCTGTGAATGTTATTTTAAACGGAGTGATAAATCAGCTAACAAAACGGAAACTTCGCTTGAAAAAAGCAAAACCACAATACACGCTAGCGCCAGATCGATGTTCTCGAACGATTGTCCTCAATTTCCGGAATTGCCATCACGCGTCAGCTTTTCTCGTCGAAATAAAGTATGAATTCGCTTAGGACATGTCACAGAGTCACGCAAATCATGCCCGACACGCAAGTTGCGCGCCTCTCGTTTATCCAAATCAATCTAATTTTATGCATGCCCCAAATATCAACTTGAGCGACATCGTTATTTTTATGAATTATGTCTTGGAAAGTCATAAAGGCAGTAAAGATTAAAAGATGAGCATTTGCGTTCGCTATGTCTGCCAGTGCAGATGTAAACTACGATGGTACATGCCAAACTACTCTAAAATTTTTAATTTTTTACTTTTCTTTGCTTTTCTGTAGATTTTGCGTATGTTATTCGGAAATTTCCACCGGCGCGCATTTGTTTCGGGTCTGGAGCACCGAGAAAAGTGGTTGTGACTCATGACAAACCTTCCAATAACCTTGGACCGGCGTATTACGATGGCGTTTATCATTATGAGAAGGTAATATTTTAATGTTAGAATCTAATGGGTTTTCCTTTAATCACTTTATTTTTTAGATTCGTAGTAAACGAGGAATTCCCGGATTGGCCAACACAGCTGAACGAGTCACACTAGATACGTCGCAGATGATTATTCCGGATCCATGCAAATATTCCATAGTTAAACCTATTGATTTTGTTCAAAATTGTGTGCCATTCAATGTTGGCAACAAGAGATTGAAGCGCTTTATAAATAACAATCCTGGGTACAAACACGTAAAATTGTTACATCTTTCAAAATAGTGGCTGAACAAATTTTCTCTTGTTTTTAGACCTTCTACTTACAAACCGTCGAGAATACAATGCAAACGTACGCGTGTGGATTATAACTTTGGTCGTCCATGTGTGGTGCCTGCCGTCGAAATGATCTGCATTAATTATCCCAATAAAAAGTGTGAAAAGTGCGGCGAGCCGTTTGAGTATGGCGATTTTTGGCATCGCAATTATCAGGATTATTTATGTACGCAATGCATGGAAGAAGAACATCATCTGCATGAGATGTACCAAGAAAAAGAACTCTGCTCTTTCAAGGTATATTGAATAAAGTTTTTGTTTACTACCTTACATATTGTTATATTGTATTACAGAAAATTCGAACATGCACATTCATCCATAGACACGAAGGAACTTCAGCCGCCATACGATTAATGCCAAAGAACAAAATCGCGAAAAGATTCCGCATAGAAAACTACCTCTCGCTTTACAGCAAGTGTTATTGCACAAAAAGTTATACGGAACTTACAATTCCACTCAACGATCGATTATGATCGAAATAATTAATTTTCTTTCATGTTTTACATTTTTAGAATAAATAATCACCAATCGAGCATCGTCGTTTGTTTTCGTTCGGGTTCGGCACTGTTCGGCATTCACTTCGTGTCGTTGCAATTGTGTTAGTAGTAACTCGTATGTGAGTGTTTTTAGATTGATGTTTTGTGTTCGAGCGCCGGTATTCTATAAATAGCGACGACGCGTAATCCAGGTGAGAACTAAATTAGTATTTTTTGTATTGATTACACCTATAACAATGTAATAATATAAACGAATCGTCTTCAAACGCGTTCATCGACTTCGTACTCATCCAGAGATGAACGTCGATTGTTTGTTGTCGAGGTCGTAAACATGTCAACTCGGAGATTGTGCAACTGTCAGTTATTTTGACATTTCGTTGTTTGGCGTCCGTTTGCGCCACTCGCATGTTATTTTTAAACAATTTCCAAGTGTTTTGTTGTGTTCTTTTGTGTTACTTACAAATGTTTCGTGACAATGTTCGGATTAGATCAATTTGGTTATAAAAGTAGGGAAAACGAAGAGAATCTGCTCGATCAGGCTTTGCGTCAAGGTGAAGCCTTACGCGCTGCAATCATGCAAACAATTATTCGAAACGAACCGTTTTACACGGAAAATTCAACACCAGAAACAGAAAAACCCATAGAAATAAGTTTGCATGAAAAGCACGCTTGTTTAGCATACATGAACGGTGATCCTATGTCAAGGGACGAAGAGCGGCAAGCGTTAAACACATTTCGATCATTGTCTGGTAGCGATATTTGCGACTTAACTTCGCGTTCTTTTACAACAACGCAAAGCAAATGTAAATGTGAGACTTGCCGAGCTTACTGCAAGCTCAGTTATAATATTCCACCATTGAATTTGAAACAATCTTTGGCTTCCAGTACAATAGTCTCGAAAAATCTAGAAAAACACGACCATTTTCAATTGTTTCAATATGTAAATTCGTTAAAAGTTGTTTTATATAGTTTTACAATATCAAACGAAGGTAAAACCAAAGTTTGTAGTAATAATCACGTGCAAAAATGCAAGTTTGATGATTTAAGTGTTATATATTTTATTGAGTATGAAATTCCAGTTGGAATTTCAAAATACCACAGTAGGAAACAATCACGAGTTGATAGTGGTCTGAATAGCGTTAATTTCGTTAAGAAATGTTCAAAGAATTTAGTCGATGACGGTAATTTTAATTTCATTCTCTTTATACTTTTTTATGTTGCTTTTAAATTTTTTTAGTTGTTTATTTTAAGCAAGTAATAATTCACGATGTGGAAAACTTGAACGTTGTTAATTTGGAAGAAGTTGATGTGGTTTTTAATATCACAGCGAGAACTTTGCGCCAAAAGAAGTCGATTATACTCGGTGCAGCAAAGTTTAATTTGATTGAGGTTTGCAATTCACCGTTTTTGAGTTGTCTGCAAGAAGTTCCTGTATTTTTGACCGGAGATTCACCTATCGTCGTTGGTATTATAAGAATTCAATTGCAACTTGGTTGTGATCGTATATACTTCGGGAAAGAATTCATAGGTATTAAAAAAACTGATTTTTTACGATATTATGGAAAAAATGAAAATATTTTTAGAATGCTTGCAAAATAAAGAAAATCATACGAAAATTAATTTGGAATCAAACGAGAACCTTGATGAAACTTTTACGTTGGGTAGTGAGCTTAAATCTACAAAGAAACCCAAAGAACCACTGAAAAATCTCGTTATTTCTCCGAGTAAAGTTACACTTAAAGATAAACCTAGAAGGAAAGTAATTATTGACCAAAAAGTGATTAAAAATGATGACAAAATTAAGCCCAAGCGACTAAAACCGCAAGAAACTATAAAAGACGACGATCTGTCAAAACATGTTGCGCCTAACCTCAATTCCCAACTATTAAGTGAAGTAATTTCTTTTAAAATTTAATATTTTTCTGTATATTACAATATTTCGTGTTTATTTATTTCAGAAAATCATTCTTTTTGGTTTTATATTCGTCTCTGATGTGGAATATCACCTCCCGCACACACAAACTTACTTCACGTGTCAGCCATTTTGCCAACAGGACTACGTCTGCAGTAATGTAACGCAAGGCGGTTGCTTTAACTATCATCAATTGATTCCGTACATCTACGATGAAGACTTTCTTTTCAACTTGCGTGAAAACCATATGATCATTGAGTTCTTCTCGACGCAATCAGCATCAAGAGACGAGGTGATTGGCATTTGTAAAGTACCATTGCACCAATATTACCTAGCTTTTCGTAATCCAGTGATTGTTAAATACTTGGAACGGAATAACTTGCCTGTAATCGGAACCGATTGGTATGAGCCTATTAAAGATGTCGTCAGTAGTAACGCAGTGGGCTATGCGAAGATTTTAGTTGCACTTGGATCTGAAGAGCAGGTGAAGAATTTACAAAAAGAGCGAGGGTTCATGGATGATATTGTAAAACGAAATAAGAGTATAGTTAAAACTACAAGAGAAAAGGTAGTGATTAATAAGGAAAAGGAAATTGTTACACGAAAAAGTGTTAAAAATGTTAATGTTAAACTGCAGGATAAAAAAACACAATCGACTAATCTCACGGATGATTTAGTAGTTGTAACGCCACGTGGTAAAGTTGATAAAAGTACTGCTGTAACACCAACACTTGCACTTGAGTTTAATTTGCCTACTGCTCAAAACAAAATGGCGGATTCAGATAAATCAAGCATTACAATGGTTGACGATCGCTTGCAGACTATTCAAGAGTATCTGCATCAATTGGTTGAGCTAAAAACAACTTCACAAACTCAAAGTACAGTAACTAATCAGATGGAAGCAGAAAATGACACAAATCTTGCAGAAAGTCAAAGTTCAACTGCTCAAAACCGTGATGTGAATGAATTGAATAACGTTAATATAAGCGCTGTACAAAATGGTGGCACAATTCCACCAAAAACAACTGCCGGTCTGCTTGCAACTTTACAAGGTGTGATGAAACCTGATCACACTGCCAAATTAAGTTTCAAAGCACAGATTATCGTAGAATCAGCACTGCATTTGCCTGCGCGGAAAAAGTGTCGCGCTAGAAAAGTTAAAGGGAAAATAATTCGAGAAGAATTGCAACCGAGTACATATGTCAGTTATGAGATTAAAGATGGCGCCGTGAAGACTTCACAAGTTGTGCAGAAGAGTACCAGTCCTGAATGGTACATGAAACATGATATTTCCATACCAGTTGATTATTTAACAAATGTAAGTTAAGAACACCTAGTAATAATATATAATAACTTATTTATTGTTTTGATATTAACAGAGTAATCGTCGATTGTTATTCAAAGTCTGGCGTAAGAGTAACAATGGCTCGACGATTCCCAACATGCAAATTGATACAATCATAGGTTTCGCTACTGTAGATTTGACAGTATTGCTTGCAGGATTGCCTACAATCGAAGGATGGTTCAATATTATGGACTTTTCCAATAAGTGCAATGGTCAAATCAAAGTAAGATATTTTTTAAAATGCTATTAGATAAAATTAAATAAAATTCGTTTGTTTCTAGATAAACATTATACCGTTAGAAGATATAACAAAATATAATAACTTACCGAGTACAACAAATACATCGTATACTACCACGCCTGCTTCAACAAAGGACACGCCTTTAATAGAAGGCACCTCCTCTCCAGATGAAACTTTTAATAGAGCGTTAAAAAGAAAATTTATCGAATTGGAAGAAATCTCACAGCGATTAAAGGCACGACTCAATCATGTTACAGAAGATATTCCGCCTGTGGATGATCAGGAGGTGAATGATGAAAGTGCTGATGAGTTCGAAAATGACATCAATACTTTATGCGTCGAAGAAGATTATGAGTTGTTGGATTTTGCGAAAGAGGCGCAGGATATGAACATGCGCAGAGTGTCCACTAGTTTACACGAATGGCAGCAAGGCAATTCGAATACAACAGAGTTGATGATTACAACAAATCAAGATAATGATGATAATTCCAATGTTGAAGAAAATTGCATAAAACCACAGTTTGCGCTCCAAGTAGTGCATAAAAACGAAAATGATGCAGTCGTAAATATTACGGAGAATATGAAAACTTTCGTCCCGGAAGTTGCAACTCATGCGGAGTCCGCCATTTTGACAAACTCATCTTCAAGTAGTTCGTCTACATTGGATAGGCAACTTCACGAGGGCAAAGAACGTATTGATCATCTTTTGCAGAGATTAACTTCGTTGTCAATGGCACAAAAGAATCCAGTTGAGACTGAAGTGGCAGGTTTTGACAGTCGGTATGTGAGTGGGTGCTCTACGAGTCAGGATCCAGTGGTAAATTCTGGAAATCTTAACTTGGAGGAAGATATCTTTAGTGAGTTGGGTATTGAAAGCGATTTTGATGTCCGGAAACTGTTCAATGCTTCCATGGGCAATTTTAATGGTAATTTAGAAGCACTTGTAGATGGGAGTTTTAGAGACGAGCCGGATGGCGAAGGAAATACGACAGAATCAAGCAGCGACGATAAACTAAACTGAGATTAATTTATTGTATATGTAGTTTGTAAGCATGAGAACAATGAGGCGTATTATAAGTCGGTTTTATTAAAGACATTGTATGAAAGAAGCAAATTTTACTGTTTGTGAATATAAACTTACTCTGCTGCAGGCATGGTTGCCTATAGTTGTGATTTCATTCGTATGATTTGTATTCATGTTTCTGTCGAGTATATCCGAATGCATCCGATGATTTTATGATGTTTCGCTTTCATCAACCTAACATTATCAGCTGATACTAGGAAAACGAAGCAGATTTGCAGCAGGAAAAGGTGCGACTGCAATGATTCGTTCAGAAATGTGCGGTGATTGCCGTCGCGAGTGCTGTGAACTAAAATTATTGTGAGTTTCGCCACTATATTCATTACTGACACGAGATGGAAGTGACGATGGAAAAGCCCCGGGCAAAGACCGTGAGTCGATTGTTTTTGTTGTTAAACAATTGTGCGTCGTTGTCGATTGCACAATATTTATTCGGTTATTTTAAGACGACTTTAGTTTAATAAGTCATTTGCTAGTTGTTTTCTTTTGAAATTTACAGCGTAAAAAACGTGATAAAGAAAGATCGAATTTAATTAATACAAATAACACATCTGTTGAGGGGGTTGCCGGAACTTCTTCTATTCGAGAAAATGTTGTAAATCCCCAATCTGATGAAATAAGTGACACAAAGGAAATACAAAATGATTTACAAGATTCCAAACCTTCCGAAGAAATTCTTGAGGAGTCTAACGCGTCAGAACTTTCAAAAATAACAGAAGTCACAGAAAAGACTTCGGAAATTTCCCTACAAAGCGAAGAAATCGAGACAGAAAAAATGGCGGAGTCGGCTCCACCAGCGGAGGTACCAGAGGCCGCCATCTTGCCATTACAAACCACAAAAAGCGAATCAACGCAATCTGTATTGCAACAAACACCGCGTGAGAAACACCAGCAAGAGATCACATTTCAACAGTTGAATCATCAGTTTGAGCGAGAGAAACATCTCATGTTGAAGCAACTCGAAGCCGCCGAGAAGGCACACACGCAAGAGAATCGCGTGCGATTGCGTGCGTTTACCGAAAGTCAGCTCGGAGCATTGTACGCCAACGGCGAACTCAAAATGCTCGAATCGTTTGTTGCAGATTTCGTCGCTGCAGAACTGAAGGGCACCGCATTGAAGCAGCATCCATTATACGAACTATTAGTCACCTATTTACAAGCGCGTAAAAATGTCAAAATGTCCGCGAATGAAGTGGAAGAACTACGACGCAACTGCGACGCGTTACAAAAGGAACTTTGGAAGGTGGAGAACGTGGTCGTACGCAAACAGGGCATTTGTTCAGACGATAACACTGTGTACGCTAGTTATAGCCACAACTTCGCCACATTTAATCACAACACTTTTAAGCGTGTAAATCGAGATAAAAACAAAATTCAGGAGACGATCAGTCAGAATTATGCGTTCTATAGCTACATGGTACAGGTTTCTAAACTACAGATAGAATGTTTTATTCAAAACGTCATTAATTCTGTGATATCCGTGACGCATCTAAGACCAAATACGGATGTAACACTCCTAATGCAGAACCTGCCTGCGCAAGTGCAGCCATTCATCAGCGATCTGCGTCTGTGCGTCTCGATTCTCTTTCAGTTTCAGCGTAAATACATCGCGGATCCAGAGTTTGTCAAAGAGGCACGCACATGGCTGGATCAACTCGTTGCTGTTTTATTGCGATTCTCTACGTGGCAGGACCACTTGTTTCTGTTGAATCACATCTTAAGATGTCCGCCAGGTGTCGCCACATGGGCGTCACACTTTATTCAGTTACCGATTGATGACAAATGCGAGTCGCCATTTGCAAATTATGAAGTTAACCATGTTCTCACTCTATTGGGGAATATTTTATTACCAATTGATAAAAGAGAACTGTTTCTTGAAGAAGTAATTAATTTATTATTAATATTGTGACTTTGTATTCATTTTTTTGTGTTTAAAGCTTTCTCAACAGCCTGATGTCGTTGAAGCGCTTTGGGTTGTGGTTGATTCCGATGGAGAGGAAGACGATGAAACTGCGGGGACTGCTCTCAAGGAAAATGATCTTGTTAGCATGCTTAATCAACTACCATTGGAAAAGTTTTTCAAGAAAATTCTACGGTTTGATGAGCGGAATGTTGAAGGCATTCTTACACAGAATCATATTCTTCAACTTTTCTCATTCCTTACAGTTGTTTTAAAAACCTTACAAAATGGCCTCACTACTTATAACCAAGTGAGGTATTTGCAACTTTGTAAGAGATTGAGTAGATTTATAAGACATGTCGTGCAATATGCTACTGATCAACTGGAAATATTCTTTGCGAGTTCTGAAGCGCGTTTTTCCACTATGTCAGAACGTTTACAAGTGGAATATGATGCGTTATTCTTACGTGCTTTTTATTACCTCTACGTGTCTGAAAAGTTAGGCGCTTGGCAGTTTCTTGCTGTTTTGCCTTTCGACGCCATTACGAATTCTACTCTGTGGAAGATTTTTTATTTTCTGCATGATTTTGACAATACTTCCAATTCATTACTCGGTAGGTAGTATTATTTCATGTAAAGATAGAATTTAATGTGTAGATTTCACACAGAGTCTACCGATAGTTTTAACTACCAATCAAAAATCTGGACGCCATCATTCCGCATGCCTTTTGAGGAGCATCTCAGCAATATGGCGGAAGATGAGTGTTATTACTTGTTGAGTACAATTGCTAACATGGCGCTGAATCGTAAACATGACGAAATGGAGTTCATCAAATGTGCTACACTTGATATTTTACATGTAAGTTCTTATAACACGCAATATTTAAGGGAAGAAAACATTTTTATTGTTTATGTACTACGTAGATTGGTTTCGTGAGCGAAGCCACTCAAGAATCCTGCTCGAAGAACTCACGCATACTTTTAACACATATCACATCCAAATATCCAAGTCTCTTGTCTGATGTCTTTAAAACTGTGCATGAAAATATCGCAAGAGTTGGTAAACTCGCGTTGTATTTGTACGAAGAATTACCTATTTCTGTATGGCAAATCAGCGATGAAGATCTTTCTTGTATAGAAAATTGGTTGTTACACAAAGCACCAACCACGAATGAAAGTAAACTATCAAGAATGATTATTTCTCGATTGAATTGGGATCTTACATATACCGAAAACGACAGTCAGTTGTTTTTGCCCTATGAAGTGCACTGCAAGATGGCGTCTCTTATAGTCAAAGCTACCGATATTGACCCGTCTTATTTAAACTGGGCTTGGCAAACAGCGGTTCGACTGAGATTACACATGACAGACAAAGGAGTGAAGAGTTTCAATCAAGTCAGAGATATTGATTTTTATGTTATTATTGATAAAGGAGTTAGGGACCAGCAACCATTGGCCGCTTTCATATCAGTGTTAATATCTTCATGGGGACATTTAATTCCATTAATTTGCACAAAAGGATTCGATCAACTTCTATTTCTGCAGTTGCATCAAAAGCACGAAGCGGTTTTGTTTGCGCTTAATTTGATTGTACCGTTGTTTTTGAACTGTCAGGAAAATGTGATCAATCTTGACCGGTTTCAAATGGTACTCATGGGATTATTAAACGCGGACAGGACTTATATCAACATGGCTAAGAGTCTTGTAGTAAGCCAGAACACTATTCTAGAACAGTTTGGTAATATGATAATTGCTCAGATTGCAAACTATAAATTATATGGTCTTGATACACCGCGATGTGTTGTACGACTTTGGATTGACTCATTGGTATCAGTCACAAATTGGAACCGAGATCATGGCGTGATGTACTTATTGGATGTGATTATACAATCAGCTTTTTCTTATAAAGATTCGATGGAGGTGATTTATAACACTTTACGGGATCTTCTACAGGCGTCAACACCACAGGAATCTTCTAATTCTCTATCGTCGCTTTTCAAATGGGCGGCCGCAGGGTCCAATCAAAGTAATCTCCTTATCAACACATCGTTGTCAAGTTATCCATACCTAGCAGTGGTAATGATTGATTTGGAGCATGAGGAACGCGAAAAGTCAACAAATCTCTGGACAGAGATACTGCAAACTTTATACGCGCAAAAAGGGAAGGTTAATGTTGATGCGGCCATTAAAAAAGCAGCTAATAAATTGAAACTGCCTGCGTTTGCGTCAGGTTCACTTTGTTTGTTCCGATGGGCGCAGCAAGCATTAGACACACCTGTAGATCATCCGATTGCAGTGTTATTCTGGCAGAAATTTTTCTGTTTGTATCTCTATCATGTACGCATCCCGCCTAATCAAACCGTCTGCGTGGGGGAGAAGTTTTTTGAAGGTGTGATAAATTTTAACTTCCTCAAACGCATGAAGAAAAAATTACAAGAAACTGTTGAATATTACACTGGACAAACAACCGATGCTGATTTCAAACATCATGATCCAAAGACGCAGTTGTATTTAATGTCGACAATGAAGACTTTTAACGCATTCTGTTTATGGTTGGAAGAACCACGTTTACAGGAGCCAACTTTATATGTTCAAGGATTACCGCCGCAATATGAACCCCCCTTGTTGAATATGGTGTTTCAATGCACGAATGAATTATGGATGGAATATGTGAACTATAATGCTATTCAAGAAGCGCGATTAAATTGTATTAAAACGTGGAATCAAGCGAATTATCGCGAGAAGAAGAATATTAATAAACCACGAAGTGTTAGCTTAAGCGCAGAAGCGACAAATCCATGGGAACGGATTAAACATCGCCTTAAATCTTACGATACACCAAAACCAGCGTCTGATGTGATATTAAAAGATCCTTTATTGCCACCATTGGATATTAATGATAAAAAGACTCTCTCCCGAATAGTTAGTGAACAATTGGACAAACTTACAGCGTGTGCACAGTATGTAAAAATAATGTTTACTTTTTGAAATATTAATAACACGTATGTTCGTTTACAGTAATTTTTATATTGAATCTTCGACACATACAGCGATGAATCGTGAATATGAAAATCTCATTATTAAGTTGTATATTTCCAAGTCAACTTCCAAAGTTCTAACTGCATATTGCACTAAGAACAACAGTGTGCAATGTTCAGGACCAGCAAAAATTGCGATTAGCACGGTGGAGTCGAAGATTAACGAAACTGTGGCTAGTCGATTGGATGAGTTTAATGCAGGGTTTGACGCTTTTGTCACTGGGAGATTGCAAGCCGCTCCCGTGAATTTGTGTTACTCATCTGTGTTTCTACAACATATAATTGGGTAAGTTATAATATATCTGCTTATTGTGTTGGTTTTGACGTTTTATGATATTAGTCTGCTAGAAAACCAAAAACTTTACAAGCGTGAATCAAACCAATATGGCGTCGATTTCTTCTATCATGTCCTATCGTTGATTAACGAAGAAACTTCTAATTTTTATCCGACCAAAAAACTCTTCACTGAATGTTTGGAACGTCTGGGACAGTCTCACATTCATGGTGAAGAAGAAGAAACGCCTAAACTTCTTGATAAAATATTACATGACCCTAACATGGGCACTTATCTTGCCCCACATTTTTCGCCGGTACATGTAGGTACCGCTAATTTTATTATGATGTACTCGATGATCACCAAAGGACTTCGGGAGAATCCCGATTTGTTATATTCGTTAATTTCAAAGGTAAAGTAATATTTTTAACATTTATGTAATTTTACTATCTACTTCTTCTACACCTATTTCTACTTCTACTTCTTTATTATTAGTTCGACGTTAATAAGTGGTTGCAAAACAACAATCCAAAACTAAGCCAAAGATCACAATTTATTGAACTGGTTATCAAAGCCCTGGTTGAAATGGGACCTGAACCGAAAGTAGAGAAGCATCCTCTACATGAATTATACAGGAAACACTTGGTACACATTTTTCAATATCAGTTCCCCGAACATTACGGGGAGATTTTAATGCACGTCTTGAAAGGTAGCACCGGCGCAGTATCCGATTGTATTACTGTAAGTGTATGGTTGGACATTCTGAGCACTCTTGCGTATCCTCAGCAGATTAAATTAACTACGCATATGCGTGATCAGTTGAGGTATTACGCACAGAATCAGAACGTGCTAAGTTATCAAGTACTGATGGACACAACGCGAATGCTCGCGCAGCATTACACTGCCGAACGTTTACAGTATGGTTTGTATGGATTATATCCGAAGACAAGCAATTATGTCGAGGTGATATCTTTGTTTCTTGGCATGACTGGACATAGTTTTGTTATTAGTGCCTTGAATACACACCAGGGAGTTTTAGGTAAGTTAATATTTATAGTCATTATGAAGTTGTGCAATTTACAAGTTTAATTTGTTCATTTTACGCTAGGTGAAAAGGTTTGTGAAATAATTTGGCCATTTTTGCGTGACATGTTTGCCCCTTGGATTCTTCCTTACTGGGCGAACAATATGAAGGACATGGCGACGTGGATTCAACAATTGACTGACGATCGTGCCGTAATTTTGCCGTGGATTCCAGCAAACGCACCTTATGCCCAAAAAATGGTTAATATGTTCTTTGAATGTATTTTGTTCATCATTCAAACACTCCCAGCATGTAATAACATTATGAGTTTCTTTTGGAACTGGTATGTTACAAACTTTGCGCATCCTGCTGTTAAGGATCATGTATTCAACGTAATACACCAGGCGTTTATACCACTGCCGTGGGCCAAGTTTTGGCCGACTGTGCAGGATGTTGAAATGATGCTTAAAGTCGCCGAGCAATACCTACCCGAGTCACATACGTTCCTGGGACATATTTTCATGGAGATACAATGGCATTCTTGGGTGTTTCATCTGGGAAAGAACGCCACTCAGCCGGTGAAGACAAGAATACACCATTGTTTACTTAGTTTGATCATTAAACTCTGTAATGAGCCGAATGTGCGTCGGAACTGCGCCAGTAAAGCGATCAACTTGTTGAATCAAGCCGAACACTATGAATGGCAACTGCTCGAACCGCAATCGGTGCAGCAGGCGATGGATTGGTACATTATGAGCTGTGATCCCATTGTAATACTTAAGACTGATCCTGCCAATTTGGACGTAAGAGTTTTAAAGTATGTATATACCTTGTTTTCATACTTAAACTTATTGAAACCACTATTATTTTAAGCTTCATAAGTATTGTTTGCTGTTATAATCAACCATACGAAGGCAGCGATGTAAACATCCTTCTGAAACGGCACATATTCGTAAAAACGTTCGTTAAATTAGTATCGGTGTTTATCAGCAAACATAAAAATGTTATACATAATAAGGAAAAGGATTTAGTTGCTCTCTTTGCTTCGCAATTAACGCACCTCGAGAATGTGGCGAGAACACAGCAAGAAGTAAACGTTCTGCTCGGGGAATTACTAGTCGTGGTAAACCAAAATGGCGTCAAAGATGGCGTCCTTAAGTATTTCGTGCAATGGCTTAGCGATAAGGAAGGTAACGGAATGATGGTGAAAGCCATTCTACAATCGACTGGAAACTACGTGAGTGATATTTCTACAGTTGGCATGTTGTATGAAACAGCTATAACGACATATTTTATTAAAAATGGTAAGTTATAGTAGAAAGATAATATTTGAGTACTGTTCAAAAATTTATAATATTTTTTTCTTAGTGAATGACTTGGAAAATGTCTCGTGGAAAACAATAGCGGGAGAATTAAAACCCTACATTATAAAATACAATTCTCTGGTGTCATCGCTAATAGAAAATGGTAACTTTTTAAGCCTCCATGCTCTGTTATTAAACAAAATGGCCACTTCTGAAGATAAACCCGCTTTGTTGAATCTTTGCCTCACATGGTTCAATGACATTAAAGTGAAGTAAGTCATCAATACAAATTCAAACTATAAATTTTGTATTCCACGATGTTAATGTTTGATTTTAAGCGATACGAACGAATTTAAATTGCCTTTGCTATGGAATGACTTCCTCTCAATTGTTACGGACTACATTCAGAAAGACGAAGCAACTGCCGGTGAATTCCTATACAAGTTCGCCCAACATCTGTGTCAACTATCCGATCAGAAGGAGAATGCAAAGTGGGGAGGCCTTCTCGGTGCTATCGGAATCGGCAAGCAAGCACCTGATAATCTAAACTTTCGTTTTATTTGTCGTGCACTCGGAGGATATGTAATGTCGCAACTCCCTGAAGCTAAAGGGAATCCACAACGTTTAAGAACTGCTGATTCTTCTCCATGTGCTGTAGGCCAACCAGGCGGTAACACGGAAGTGTGCAAGATCTTGATGAAGATGGATTTTGGTCAGAACCAGGGTAAAATTAAGGAATGTGCTGAAAAGGCCTTGAAGCAAGTAAGTTTCTTAAATTATCACAACCACATATGTTGTATACGAATCAAATTGGCGTGTTTCAGATTCAGGACCCTAAAAATTCGTTCCACAACGTGAACGCATTCTTGCGAAGAAATCTAACACTTGAGTTTTCATTTTTCAAAGAATAATTTGTTGTTTTTATATGGAATATAAAATTTTAAATTCAACACAACCCCAAATTATTCCATAACACATCACATTGGATATTTCAAGGTAAATGAAAACAGATTTGATAAAACATTTAAAAAATCTTCTTTCGTACGCGTTGTCTGTACAAACACATCAATGAATAAGTGACAAAAATGAATTACAAATGGCTTAACAATGCTTTGTACATAAATTAATTAATTAATCAATATTAATGAAAATAATACTCGTGCGTCCTCGAACGCCGGAGTGTGCGTATGTGAATATGTACAAAATGATATAATTCTGATCTCAGTCGCCGGCTGCCAGGATTAGTCACTTGTTTTCGCCACCAAGTAACGTCTGAATGTGCTCCTCTAGCAAACCGGCGAGGTACTGCCGTTTAAATCGTAGTGATTCCTTGATCACTAGCTGCAGCACACTCACTTGCACTTCGACGTCGCCTTTCAGTGTCTTTAGTTTCTCGAACAGTTCCGTAAAGTTTTTACCCGGCCGCCGAACAAGTCTGTTTAGCGTTTTACGCACTTCAAAGTTCGCACTATCGATTTCCTGCTTCGATTCGGTCACTTCCACCTAAGATAAACAATATTTTAAATTATTTTTATCATTAGAAAACGTTCGAGAAAATTTACCTTAATTTCTTGTTTAATCTCATTAGTTGCAATTCCGTTATTGATGTTATTTTGCACATTGTTATTATTCACCGTGTTATTAGCCTCCTTGAGGATTTGAGAGATCTGCTTATCGTCTTGCGTGAAATTAAAATAATCGTTGTGCTCTGGCGTGGGTGGAAATACCCGCGCCGGTGTGGAATTAGCCACTGATTCGGGTGGTGTAATATTAAACGGCAGCAATGGTATCATTGTGGGTGATGGCGGTCGTGGAGGTTCCACATGCGCAACGGTGTCGATTCCGTTCGTCGTGATGTGATTGACAACAATCGGAGGTGGTTCTTCCAGGGGTGGTACCCGTTCAGGGTAGAGCCAAGGTATAGGGGACGGTAGCGGTGAATGAACAGGACTGGCCGGTGGGGTAATGTCCATACTAGGTCGGCGCACGATTAAATCGCGCGGTAGCGGACCTGGTTTTCTCTTGCTCGGTATTCGCGCCGACGCGTCCATACCGCTGTTATTCGCACGCTTTGCTGCTCGATTTGTACCACCAGGTGAGGATGAGCCAAAGTCAATATCGGCTTCATCAACCATCATTCGTTTGTCAATCTTGAATGGATTGCCAAACATGTGTTGCCTCACTGGTGCGGATTCCAGCTCGCGTAGCTGCGGCGTTTGGCGTTTAAGGTACTCTTGATAGTTGCCCATTTGTGATATTGGTAGTGCATGAGCGCTATCTTGATCTTGCACTACCCAATCACATTGCAGGAAGTTGTTTCGCATTAGTGCCACCTGTGATAGATGGATTTTTAGTATTTAAACATCAAAAGTATAACAAATCGCAAAATATTCATACCTGTTGCATTAATCGACTTCTAGGAATATCAAATGGATTTCTAAAGTTAATCGTATTGCCTTCTTTGTCCATGGTGCCAATGTACATAGTCCCAAGATTAACCAATTGGTCAACCAAAATATCAACCTTGTGGCCGTTGAACTTATCAGCTAATAGAGGATGACTGATCAAATCCTTTTTGACTAAGACTTTCGGTAGGACGCGAATTTGCTCCGGTGTATTAAACGTATTTTTCAAAACGTTCATCTGAAGTAAAATTAAGTTTTTAGATGATATAAATATAGAATATTTAATTTACTTACACCAGATTGCCTTTGAATAATATCATTGCACAATTTATCGTGCTCGGCTTTCGCCATATTCTTCAATTTCTTTAAATAGTTCATCACCGAGTAGCTCAGACAATTTTCCACATTCTCTGGAATTAACGACTGCGCCAATTGCAAAGGTTGTCCCATTCTAGTTAATGCCCTTCGAAGGGGATTCGCGTAATACGCCGGAAGTGTACGCATATAATTTTGGAATTGATTTCGCCATTCGTTCGATGGTTTCCATCGATGAATCTATAAAAATCAAAGGCTTGTTAAATAGTTACCCATGGATATAATTAAATTACTTACTTTCATTAAATCGTCTAGTAGTGGAAGTAAAACCGGATAGTTATAAGGCATCACGAATAAATTAACACAGTTCAAGTTCGTGCTGGCTTTGAGATAGCCGAATGGATGACCGACTTCTGTATTTTTATAACTATTCGGAACGAATACCTGCCAGCAAACCATCGGTTGCTTTCTCGCCAAAATGTACTGCGTCAATGGCGATGGTTCCAGTTCATATTTATCAAATGGAAGGTTCTCAATCACCATTGGATCGGAACTAGTGCAAGTAAACTTTACGTTTGGATGCGCTGTTCGGGGTGGTAGAACGTTTGCAGTGGCCTCGGGCCAGAAACTCTCCGGAATAGGCCAGAATCCAACCGGATACCCCTTCTGCGTTGCATTTTTCGGTACATAGATCATTTTTCGACATTGATACCACTGTGGTGTCCCGGATTGCATTCTATCTTCAGCATATTCACCGCTTTCTAAACCCATAGCATCCTCCTCGCCTTTTTCGTTCACCAGCGGTGGATCTGGCCCAATTTTTTCAAAATTAATAACAACTCCGTTTTGTACTTTCTGCACTAGGCTGTCTATGCATTGATTGAGCATTCTTTGTGATGTGATCGAGTAGGAACGACCGCCGGTGACTTCACACATTGCGTCGATTGGACTGTGGTCCGTTGGTACGATACCGGCATCTCTTTCGACTGCCGGTGTGCCTGCTAAGCGTAATACAAGCGCGAATAATCGCTGATCCCATCTGAAAGGCTCGCGCGTCATTTCCGAGCCTGGAATGTGATTGTTCATGGGCAGGTTGAAGTCTTCATGCACTCCATTGACCGTGGAGAGTTTGCCGCCGTCGGTTATAACTACAATCACAGCAGTTTCCAGAAAGAACGGACATCTGCCTTGGCCATAAGTGTCAATTCCAGAAGTCATACGATTAATATTGAGAATATCAAAAGCCTGTTTCACTGCAACACCCATTGTAGTCATAGAGTAGCATTGAAGATTTTTCAATTCATTCATAAAGGTTGCCAGGTTTTCCTTCCATCCTGAAATAATTAAAAAGAAACATTTTGATTACATTTCTCCATAGAAAAACTTTTTATAAAAGTTTTAAAAGTTATTGATAAAACAAACTTCTTTTGTTGTCGCCTGAGTGATAGGCAACCTAAAGTACGCAACAAATATTTTGTGCGATTTTATCTTGTACTGAACGGATTTAATCCGGTTTTCTCACCTGCTTTAATATTGTTCGGTGGCTCTTCGAAGGTGAGCAGCATGTAGCGGTCGATGCGGCTGTCGGGACTTCGCTGGCGTAATTTCACAAAATATTCCACCGCCGACTTAGCGACATCTAGTATTGTCGTCCGGCCGTTGACGTACGTCCTGCAAGCAAACGCGCGTTTGGTCAACAATACATAACCTGCGAACGCGACACCCAGGACTATGAAAGGATATCTGTTCGATGTCGACCCACCTTTGAAACATCGACGCCGACGTATCAATCAGGAACACGATGATGGTCATCTTCGCCTCGGATGGGCGCACGCCCGTCGCCTTCCGGTGCTGGGAGCGCAATGCGAGCGGGTCGCCTAGCGCTGCCTCACATCGGGATAGTAAACATCGGGCATTGCGATCGCGCTGACAGCGAACGCCGCGCGGCCATTTTACGAGTTTATCTTCTGCTGGGCTTGGTGGTGCTGCGCCACCAGCGCCTATTTCAAATATGAACAAAAAATACGCTCGACGAGTTTATTCTCTAACAAAACTTGCAACATACATTAACGAAGCTTAAGTAGTATTAAAATTTATTTATTTACAACGAAAACAAAACAATTTTTGTTGGCATGCGTTATATCGGTGGAATTTGCATCTAAACGGTAGTATAATTTGTTTCTGATTGTTAATATTTTGCAGACGTGGCAGATTCGGGCATAAATCGAATACATTTTATGGAAATTGATGACGTCATGTTAGTGCAAGTACACGTCGGTGTGTTCTGAGTGGTTCATTGCGCTTTTCACGCACTGCATTGCGAAAAAGCAGCCTCAGTACGGCCGTACCACGAGTAGTAACAGATTTCATAGCTAGTACAGGTATCGGGTAGTGGCATTAGTGGCATTGTGATTAGTCAGGTGGTCGCACTCACGTTGCCGTCGTTGCCAGCGGTAGCGATTGGCGCGCGTTGCTTATTACCACATTTTCTAACATAATACACACTACATACATAGCAGCGCGGTAGTAACCTTCTTTGTTCGTACTGTTTTTACGTTTCGACGTTGCACCGAACCGCCAGTTGGTTATTTCTCGCTAGCCTGGCTCCAGTCCGACTCGAATCCTCGCGGCTCGCGCAACCCACGAGCGATTGTGACGGTTGTGACTCGTTTCGGTGATCCGCTCGCTCGCTGCGCGATGTTTGTTTTCATCTGCACGCGATAATCACAATCGTATTTTTCGTCCGGCAGATGCGTAAAGATGCATCCCAACGGATGATCAATTATTACAATAAAATGATTATTACACGCACGATATCGACGAGAATTTAAAATTTTGCGGCGAGTTTAAATCGGCGAGTGACGGTTGGTTAATAATAAAGCGTGTGTGTGGTGTAACAACGCACACACTGTAAAAAAATCGCAATAATTTTCGTGTTTTCGTTGTGCCTTGGATGAAGGAGTCGAGAATTTCATGATTTAAGTGATAATAATAAGAGATAACAATGACAGTCACCTATACTGGCGAAGTTGCTACTTGTCGAGGATTGGGATGTTTTTTGAAATTACTTAGAAGGTAAAGAAACCTATTTAATATTTTATTGAAAATAATTTTATTCGAATTTAATTTAATCATTATTATACTTCTTTAAATGTAATTATTTTCACTTGCGTTCTATGTTTTATGTATAAATGGATTTTAACAGAGAATTGTTTCGCCGGTGAGGGCAGACTAAAAATTCTCTCAGTTAAAATCCATTTACAAGTTAAAATGTTGCACAAAATTATCACCCCAACCCAAGTATTCTTGTTTTATGTAGTTAATTTTATTCTGTTTGTGTGCTTGTCTAATTTAACCGGAAGTATGACCAGACGCAAAATTATCACATGAATCATTATTACAAGTATAATTCACACTCAAAGTTGCGCCGAAAATATGAGTGTTCTCTAGAAGTAGTCGTTTTTTACACTCTTTCCAGACATTCTAAAAAATACCCAAAAAAATACTCAGGTAAAAATTCCCCTATGAATCATTATTTTCTTTGAAACTAATTATTACACTATATTGTATGTTGATAAAAAACGCAAATTGTTGAGTATATACAAAGCTTTATAACGCTAATACTAATTTTCTCAGGATTTACTCGTATTGGAAGAAAATACAAATAATATATTTTTATTTATTTATTTTAACACTCAGTATATTTATAAATATGTAACCCGCTTGTAGGAGGTGCCAGCAGACATTAACTTTTTTTGTCCCTACTGCACGAGGTGTGCTTTAATTTTATTACCTCTGTTTGATTGCTTGTTTTGTTACTTTAATTGTTTAATGTGTGGTATTTGATATGCTTATCATGCTTATACACTTATCATGGGATTTCGGTAAAACCATTGAGAATAAAATGCTTGTTATATAATTTATTGAACAAACATCGCATAATGCACATAACATTTTAGTTTTACAACAATTTCGTATAATATTTTAATGTTTGTTAGGTGAACATCTATTTAACTTCACGAAAACATAAAAAATAAACCGGAAGTGGTTATTATTCATTATTTCAAGTAGTGCTACTCCATTATTTGCCTATGGAATCAATCACTGCAACTATACTGAGTGTTTCCATCCATTTTCTAATCTAAAATTAAATCGTGAGTTTTATCTTTTCAATATATGCATATATGAATAATGACTTTGCATATCGCACACGATAATTACAGTAAATTACAACTTGCATTCAGCTATTATTTGCGTCAATGTAGACATGGCGTATTGCATATTTTAATTTTGGTTTCTAGTTTGCCGTCTTACGAGTTACTCATAACACTATGTACTCGTAGGTTTTCAGAATTGACAAATTCTACTTTAAAGTATGTATTCAACCAGGTAGAACTTGTGACAACGACAACAAAGTCCATCAAGAAAATGGTCAATTTATTGTTCAATCAAACTTAATCATTATATTATTCTCCGTCATTCTACACGCGCGCTTTTTTATGTTTGTGTACTTGTGTACTTATTTGTTAATATACTAGTGATAGTTTGCGTGTTCTACATCATTAACTATTGACGAATTCAACGATTTTTCAGTTGCTTGTAAATTTTAAACTTATTTTGGTGGTGCTCTAAGAGTTTGGCATGAATTTATTTTGAAAATATTTATTTCACGTGAAAATGAAGAGTTAATCAAGCAAATTGCACAAATAAATTAATCTAATTGCATTATCAAGCGAGGGAGACATTTTCCTTTCAATTTTCTCGATTTTCTCGAGTTTGTCCTACTTCCAAAGACCTAGATCGAGTTTCCTACATTAACCGATATCGCATGATATCGTAATGGCAATGCAATGGCGATATTTGCTTTGTAATTTAAGTTAAAAAATTCAATCACAAATGTATAGTAGCCCACTTTGAAAACATCCTTTTTTAAACGCTAATAGTAGTAATTTATGGACTCGAACGTAAAATAGGTTACTATTTTAGAATTCATTCACGTTATCAGTAAATAAGAATACTTAAACGTTTTATTTTTGTAAAATTTAAAAAAAAGTAATGTGCAAAACTTATTATTGCCCTATGAAAAAATGAATGGAATTCTCATTGTAATTGCGAAATATCGAGCAAATCGACTTGTAATGCGTGGAATTGAAACTTGCGCTATATAATTATTGTTCAAGGACTTAATAGCGCAAGTCGTGACACCACTAAGCCGGTTATTAAATAACTAGCTACTAATACGGGTAATGGCTAATAGCAGAAGCAAAAAACTGATAGGCAGATGTTTCTCATTTATATAACGTGGTCATAATAATTATCTTATGAATAGGTTTTTGTTCAAGACCAGATTGGTCTTTGGTATTATGACGCTTGTAGCCAACTTTTTGAATTTTTAACAAAATATTACAAAAAAGGGGAAAATACCGTTCAGGAAATTATTTCTTAAGCTATAAATAAATCAATGTGAAGGTGAAAGGTCATTACACCGAATTCCCTTACGCATAACAAGCAAAATGATTGATTTTTGTCAAAAAAAAACCGGAAAAACAGAAACAATTTGCGCTTTCCTCGTGTTTATACTTTATTATACAATTTTGTGTTTTCCGCAATCATCTGCCATCTATAAAAATCACATAACTCGTGCTTATCGACCCGTTTCATTCATAAAATTCAAGGACAACTCACACTTTTATACCTAGTGTTTTCATGCTCTTCTTACCTCACAATTCTCACGACTCTATGAATAGAAATTACTTTGATTTCACATTTCTGATAAAGTTCAATGGAATTCACGATGACACATTATATGCGTGCAGGGTAATCATTCAAGGACACGTGAAAGCGTAGGCTTGAACATATTGCATGATTATTTTATTTTGTTGTCCTGCACGTGTGAATATCACGAATAGAATGCAAGTGATTATCTCGTGCGAGAGCAATGCGTGACTAAACGTAATGGATAATTGTAATTATAGATTTTTTACTGTATGTATTTCAATGTCACGTTGCGAACTACGCGAACAATGTCAGTGTTTCATTTTATGCCCAGGACATTGTGCGTTGCTATTTTTATGCTCATAATGAGGAAGCATTAAAAATAATTGGTTTATTTGTCGCATATTATATAGTTTTATTGTTGGCATTAGTGTTTGGATTAATATAAACGATCTTAATGTTGATAACGTAATATGACTAATGTTCGAATTTAAATCAGCGATTAAAGTTCATTGAACCGTGGAAATGAACGCTAAAAACTGGAAATTTGTATTGGAAAACCATCAGGTAACAAATCGAGTAAATATTGAAGACATTATACCGCCCGCTTTAATTTTTTGTACTTATATTTATTGAATAATCGATTTTTATGTTGATTCACTAGAGAAAAATGTAAATTATTAGTTTTTTCGTATTCCAAGAAAATAAATAGTTAAAAGTTTATGGTTTAATGCACAAATGAACGCGGAAATGTTTAAAATAATAGATTAACTTGACTTATGGGTGTTTTAAAAATAAATTTTTGTATTTTTTGTGTTTTAGATGGCGAGGAAGCATTTACAAATTGGTTTGGCGCGATCTTCTCTTGTTTTTAATTATTTTCTACGCACTGAACCTGACCTACAGATTTTTATTAAATCCTCATCAAAAAACGTAAGTAAAAAATAAAACAAAATTAATATTTTAATTTAAATTTTGTGTTTTTTTTTTCAGTGTATTTGAAAATATAGTTAAATATTGCTACGACTACAGCGACTTAATTCCATTATCATTCGTGCTTGGTTTCTACGTATCCATCGTAATGACAAGATGGTGGGGTCAGTACACAACTATTCCATTCCCCGACCCAATTGCCGTATTTGTCAGCTCTACCATTCATGGACAGGTAACTAATAACTTAATTAGTATAATTTCATACTTTGGAATCATCACTCTTCTTTTGTATGTTTAGGACGAACGTGGAAGAGTTATGCGACGCACAATCATGCGTTACGTCTGTCTTAGCGTGACGATGATGTTCACGATGATCTCACCACGTGTGAAAAAGCGTTTCCCCACGCTGGACCATTTCGTAGAGGCGGGTCTTCTACAAACCAGCGAAAAGGAAATCATCTCTGTGTTAGACAACAAATTTCCCAAATATTCTAAGCATTGGTTAGTACATCTTATCTCTCCACGTTTAATTATTTATTTAGACATCAGGGATCAAAGTATACAATAGTAGGTATTACTACAGTAAAGTAAAGTACGGAAATAGAAACTGGGCATGATGTTGCAACCGCAATTCGTTATGATTGACGAAAAACCTTGGGCAGAGTTAACAACGCGCACACATAAATAGCCTTAAGTTAATCAATGTGTATATGGAGCATGTGCGAAAGTTTCTTCAATGTTTTATGATTGTGTTACATGCGCAGGTTGCCGATCGTGTGGGCAGCGAGTATAATAACGCGCGCGCGGAAAGAAGGTCGGATTCGGGATGACTTCGCCGTGAAGACTTTGATCGACGAGTTGAACAAATTCCGAGGACAATGCGGACTGCTATTGAGTTATGATACCATCAGTGTTCCGCTTGTTTACACACAAGTAAGTGTATACTAATTAGTAATTATCAATTAGAGGTAACTTGATAAAATTGCGTCATTTATGATAATTTGTCTTTGTTTGTTTGTTAGACGGTTACCCTGGCTGTGTACAGCTACTTTATGACCACATTAATGGGTCATCAATGGATTGAGAACTCCAAGTACAAGTTTGATTTGTACTTTCCTGTTTTTACCCTGCTGCAATTTTTCTTCTATATGGGATGGCTAAAAGTGGCTGAGACTCTCATTAATCCTTTCGGGGATGATGACGATGACTTTGAAATCAATTGGATGATTGATCGAAATTTACAAGTAAATAATACTGAAATTCTATGTGTAGTTTTGGTTTTTATTTATGGAATTGTGTTTAAAAGGTTTCCTATCTCATTGTTGATGAAATGCATCATGATCATCCTGAGCTAGTGAAAGATCAGTATTGGGACGAAGTATTCCCACCGGATCTACCTCATACTTTAGCTTCGGAACCATTTAAAGAACAACATCCATTGCCATCAACGGCAAACATTGCTGTTTCTACACCCGGGCAGGAAATTATAGCACCACCTTCAGCTGTGAAAGTTGATGGTTTTGGTGATATGCAAAGTGGAATTGTTTTCACTGCCAAACCCAGCAGTGCTACCCTCAAGGCTTCAGGCGCGTCGCAGGCGTCCAACTTGGGGAGCACCGTTCCGGGTAATACGCGAAAAAGTAAATTATTTTTGTTTTGCTTTCTACGTTGTTCTGTTTTGCGAGTTTTATAGTGGTTTTATTTGCGCAGATAGAAAATTTGATTCTTTATTGATTTTTGGGCTTTAACTTTGTAGATTCAATGCAACGAGTGGCTAGTGTTACTAGTATGTTGAAGAAAATCTTCAATCGTGAAGATAGTCGTACGGATAGTAGAATGGCGGACAGTCGACGTGGATCTGCAGTGGAGTTGAATAATTTGGTACCACCCAAGACCCCAACCGCTTTGAAAGATCAAGTCATTGAAGAGGTGGATGAACAGATGACGATCACTTCGATGAAGGACGGAAATGATCATCCTAGTGTGATTGGCTTCTTTCCAACTGGGCCACCACCACCTTCGGATCCAGTGCCTGTTCCTAAAAGGTCTTCTAACGAAAACAACTCTGTTTAGAAATGTAGATGATAGACTTTGTGTATTCGTCCTCTTCAACTTCTTCTACTTTTTCTTCTTACCCTTTTGTTTGTTTTACGTATTATTTTCTGTAATTCATATTTTCGGGATTTTCTAGATCTGCGGCATCAAGTAGCCATAGCCATAGTCTTCATAGCCAAGGCCACGGCCGTTTTGAATCTCGTCCATCATCACTGTCAAAATCAGCGCCCATCAGCGAGGTGGACAACATCAGCCTAGGCTCGGAAACTGAATCGGAAAACGATGACGAATTTTCACGTCTCAAACAACTCCGACAAGAGGAACGACGTAGTCGACTGATGCTCAATCTCGCTAGATCTATTAGTATCAATCATGGCGAAGGCGATTTAGAGATGTTACTCGCCGGCAGGTCCGGCGAAGTATCACCTGAAGTTGTACGTCTTGATAGTCGCGCATTGGCGCGTTCGCTAAGCAATCACGGACATCTCACAGATAACGCCAATCAGTCTGATAGCGCAACGCGGCGGAACACCGAACCCAAGACTGAATCCACGCAAACGGACAACTCGAATAAAGAGACAGATTAGGTATTAAGATTATTCTCATGAAGCACGAACTAAAAAGCGCAAAAACTTAAGTTACTACGTCGATGTTACTATATTGTGCTTTTTTGCCTTGATCATCCGCCTTCGTAGACCATGTTTTACGTCTACAGATTACAGATAAGTATTTTTTGGAACGTTCAGTATAAGTTTTGTGATATGTACACGATAAGCATTGTGGAAACAAACCGTAATAAGGTTGTGAAGATTTGCATACAGGAAAAAACAACCAGTAAATGAACGAGTTAGTTAAGTTTTTAGAATTTACTTAGTACAGTTATAAGAATGTTGTAAATATATTTATTACTTTATCCTTAACGTAAACCACTGCGTGTTTTGTACAGCCAAAATATAAAGACAGTGAAAAACAGGTAGAAATTGTCCTAAGTGAAGAAACGAGAAAGCGTCGTCTTATTGACTCAGATTAAAAGTGAAACTTTTCACGGTCGTGCTACTGCAACGGAACAACGAATCAGTAGCAAAGTAGTGTTTGTGCCTCAGGCAAGTAAGAATTCCTCCAAATTTTATTTAAATTTTTGCGAGTAAGTAGCAAACTGCCGCTGTCTATACCTTGCCTTTGTTTGACTTGTGTAAAGATTAGATTACGTTAAATATTCAGCATGTTCTAATCAAAATCTATACGCGACGCGCGGTAATCGATCAGTATCGATTGAGGATCAAAGATGACAGTTACCTATACAAACGAAGTCGTCACATCGAGACGATTCAGTGTCTTTTTAAAACTTTTACTCAGGTAAATAATAAATTATTTCGATTTTTCTTAAATTAAAATTATTTTCTGAATGTGTAGATGGAGAGGATCAATTTACAAACTAATATGGCGCGATGTACTGTTCTATCTAGGAATGTACTACATTATTTATTTCTCATACCGATATGGTATGGACGACACACATAAAAAGTAAAAACAAAGAATTTGGCAATACAATCCTTTATTTTAATCTTTTTGATTGTTATTTTTAGAAATTTCAAAATATTTGTGGACTATTGTCAAGCATATCACAATTTTATACCGTTGTCCTTTGTTTTGGGCTTTTATGTCACGTTAGTGATGGACCGATGGTGGTCACAATACACTTCAATTCCGTTTCCGGATAATATCGCTTTACTTTTAAGCGCAAGTATTCATCAACAGGTAAATTTAATTAAATATTATAGTTACGTATACATTAATGTTTGGAATTTACTATTAAAAAGGACGAACATGGCCGTCTTGTTCGTCGCAGCATTTCACGCTACATTTGTCTCACTTTTGCGATGACAATGACAATGATGTGCCCTCGAGTGAAAAAACGTTTCCCTACACTGGACCATTTCGTCGATGGCGGGCTAATGCTCCCTGATGAAAAGAAAATATTCGAAGACTTAGAACGAGATTATCCTGGTTATACAAAATACTGGCTTCCTGTGGCATGGGCAGCAAATGTTATTAGTAAATCTAGACAAGATGGCCTCATCACCACAGATGTCTCCATGCGTAATTTATACGAGGAATTGTTCACATTCCGTAGTAAATGTGGCGGACTATTAGACTATGACTGGATTAGCATACCGCTAGTTTACACACAGGTAATTATTAACAAATAATCTATTAATATCTGTCATTAATATAAAATTTTCAGGTGGTTACCATTGCAGTCCATGCATTTATCCTGACAGGAGTATTCGCGCAGCAATTCACAGATCCAGAAAAAGATCTATACTTTCCGTTTTTATTAATCCTAGAATATTTCTTTTATATGGGATGGCTGAAAGTAGCGGAAACATTGATTAATCCATTCGGCGAGGACGATGATGATTTTGAAGTAAATTGGATGATCGACAGACACATGATGGTCACAATGCTAATTGTTGATAAAATGCACAACGAGCATCCTAAATTAATGAAGGATCAATATTGGGATAGTGTGGTACCGCATCATCTTCCATACACTGTTGCTTCTGAACAATGCATGAGAGAAGAGGCTGTAGAATCAACTAAGAACGTTAATGTAAAGTCATTTGATGGTGATATTTTAATTGAATCATCAAAGCTCACCAACAGAGTAAGTTAAACATGTTAATAATTTAAGTTAGTTTAAAGTTAAATCTATTTTGTTGTAGAAAACTCGCGAGAATGTTGATAGTCGTCAAGGTAGGTATTTATAATTGGTGCTAATGGAGGTGCAAATGACATATTGTGTAACAATAACGGATTCGTTATTATTGTTACGCCCCATTACTTTGTGTGTTTTTATCGCGACTCAGGCGTTCTGCTCTGTTTCCAGGTTGGTTTAAAAAGATTACGACGCCGAAAATGTCCCGCCATCGGCCAGTTGGTAGGTCAAAGAGTCAAAGCTTTGAGATTGAGGTATGTACGACATATATTTACTGTCCGTCATTAACACAATACTAATCATTTAAGATGGAAAGTACATTATTGCGCATACCAGAGTCGTCAACCCCCGAAACATCTCCGCGATCGTCAGATTTAAGCGACTTTGATAAACTGAAAAAAGAACGACAAGATAAACGCTCGGAAAAACTAAAAAAATACCTCCAACTACTAAAAAGGTCCGATATGAACGTTTCCGACGAGGAGAAACTTATAAGTGATATAATTCATGAGTCAGCTAGCAGAGAATAACAAATTAAATTTATGCTCTATAATAATTTTATTTAAATCTTTAATTTAATGTGAAAATAAAGTTCTGCATATAATTGATTGCATTTTATAGGAAATAGTTGATAGCTTCAGCTGCCTCATTGGATGTATCAGATTGACATGGAATTTTATGTTGTCTTAAGATATTCACATGCTTTTCCAGTCTTCTTGATCAGTTCCAACACCTCCTCAGAAGTCATTGTTGTTTTCACTGTGACTGTCTGCTCTTTCAAGTCACAAACTACATTTTCAATTCCCTTATCTAAGCAAACAGTGAATGTCATGTTTGATTATTGTTGATTATCAATATCTTTGTTGATCATGCAGTTTACCTTTGTGTTTGTTCAGAACACGCTCCACAGCCCCCGAACAACCATCGCAACTCATTGCGACCTTAAATTCGTGTGTTTGAGCCTTAAATTGAACAAATATTGCACATTTATTGCAAAGTAAATATCGGTAATAGGTACAAATACAAACACATAACCTCTGGATTAACTTACCATTTTAAAAAGTGAATTTCAAGGTAAAGAGACGGTTTAATTATAGATTGTGAGCCGAAATTGTCTAGTGCACTATAAATTTAAAGCCACAGGTAAATATTACACGCATTCAATGCGAATTTGTTGGATAAAAATGGAAAATCTTCATACCACTACTTGCCACATTTGCTAGTGAGTGAAGTGGCACAAAGTGGCAGACATAAACTGGCAGTTGCACTAAAATGGAATTTGTATTGTGAGTGGGAACTGCCGACGGCAAATGTACATATTTATCATAGATAAGCAACATTGAGAGGCAATTGTTAAACATGATAACAATTTTACACTTTGCTATGAGCCATGTTATAAATATTGAATGTTTTAAAATCATGACAAGTCATGGCCAGTAGAAATTCAGACTGTAAGTTTTTTTTATTTAGAAAATAATTATAAATATATAAACAGTAGATATTATTCATTCAGATAGCTTAAGCATCGCGTGTTCAATTTTCTGTCTTGCCTCTTTATACAATGCTTGAATCGCCTCTTCCATTTCTCTATCTTTCACCGCCGCGCCATCAACTTTTTCCTTGACTAACGCAAGCATTCTATTCGTATAATTCTTCATTTTAGCCATTGTTTCCTCAGTGGTCGCTTTGTGTGCCTTTACAGCTTCAACTGTTAATTTGTATTTTTCATTTGTCACTTTGTAGAGATCATTCAGTTGCTTAATTTTTCCCTGCTCTTCATCAATCATTTTCATCGTGGCGGCGATTTCTGCCTTCGTCTCATTTAGCATCATTGCTCTCTCTGCATGTTTCTTTTTAGCGTCTTCAGCAGCCAGCGTTTCCTCAGCTAATTCTGTCTCGCACGCCAATAACTTGTTAGTTTCATCATTTAAGACGACACGATATTCTTCATTAGTTCTAGCACCTTGTTCCTTCAAATACACAACTTGTTTCATCACCTGCGATATTTGCACCGGTTTTATTTCGTCTTCATTTAGTCTCAAGCTTCTTTTTTGACTCTCCGGCAGGTTACTCATTGCGATTTTATTATTAAATGCAAATATTAAATCCATCGCTTGCATTTCGACTTGTGTGTTCTGATCCTGCACAGCACGACATTGCATTTGATATTCTTTATTACGATTTTGTAATAGTTGAAGGTAATGACTGCGACGCTCAATTTCCCTATCCAAAGCTTCGACTTCTTCGGGAGTATGACCAATCAAGTTATTTTTCTCTTTGATGACTTCCAGCTTCGAAATTGAAATTTGTTTATCAGTTTGCATTCGCTCCAATCGCTTTTTGTTATAAATATGTTGTTCATCCGATGTTTTGATCGCTTTGTTCACCTCATTGATCTTTTCGACCGTTTCGGCGTGTTTCTGTGTTAGTTGGTTGCGTTTTTGTCGTTTACATTCTAGTGCAGTCTGTGCCGTTTCGATATCTTTACTTATCATAGCTTTTTGTGCAAGTAGAGCTTTCTTTTCATTAGCAATCTGTTCCATTCTATTATCATAATCCTGTTCTGTCAAGCCATAAGAAGAATACATTGATTCAATTAACTCAACACATACTTGCGGCCCATTGTCATCCATTGTTTTCTTAACATAATCAAATGCCATGCTTGAAATCATATCCAGAGGCTCAGGTTCTTCAGTGATTACATCTACCCAGTCCATTAAAAACGCCCAAATAGAAATAACATTTTGAAAATGTTGAGGAGTGTTTGCTACACAAAGAAAAACATGTAATGTTCACTTTTCTATTATTTATCGGTAAATAACTTACGTGTTTTAAGAAAAGATTGATTTATAGTGATGGGATAGTTGAGTGTCTTCATTATTTTGGGCATTTCAACCTTGTAGTTTTTCAGAGTTAGCTCTGGACTACATTTGCATAATACATTGAAATATAATTGTGTAATACCAATAAAATCATTCAATTTCATTGGTTTTTGTACTTCAAATTCAGCACCTTGTTCTGCTATAAATGCTTCAATCTACAATTTAGATAGTTTAAATATGTAGTGTTCTTTTAGTTAAATAAAACAATTACCCTGGGTACATATTCTTTCTCATTCACATTCGTGAACTGCAATTTCAATCGCTGTGGTGATTTACATACCACGCGAGCCAATGGTGTAGATAACTTTGACAATCGTCCTACACTTCCCAATGGTGTAGTTAGACCTGATTTGCCTCGAATCAATTGCCGTGAAATTCTCGGCGTAGTGGATAATGCGCTGCTACTTCGCTTCAGCACTGGAATTGAACATCGTGATTCCGTGCTTGTAGAACGTCGTCCCCTTGCATTGGGAACGCGATTTGAGTTCATTTCTATAAAGTATAACAATAATTAATGCTGAGCAATTAAATCACGACAAAAACATTTTATTTAATCGACTTATTGAAAGCAGATGAGGAAGTACTACGTTTAGCAGCAACAACGGTTTTATCGGCTTCTTTTTAAACTCTGCGCATGCGCTGTGGATAGGCCACTATAACCTATACGACTACAATGATTCAAAACAAAAACGTGGTGTTGGGAAGTCTGGAGTGAATTTATAAAAATTTAAACTATGGCAACGCATATCAGGTATTTTGTTTATAATGTTCTTTATAAGTTTTTACTTATCATGTAGTTGTTTATATCTAGATTCAATGATGATGATGATGATGTAAATGAATATAATCCAACAGACTCTGAAGATGAGCTCCCAGCAAAAGAAAAAGAACTATTGAAAAAAGCCAGAAGTAAGGGTGCTAAATATTCAGACAGTGAGGTATATAAATAAAACACTCTTTAAATTCCAAAATTGTATTAATAATTTCTTCTTAGGATGAAGTGTTTGGTGTATATGAAGAATCTGAAGAGTCAGATTCAGATAAAAGTGACTTGGCACTTAGTGATGTTGAAGGACAAGGTGAAGATGATGATGGCATACCAGACTCTAAAGCTTGGGGCAAGAACAAGAAGCATTACTATTCCACTGATTATGTGGATCAAGATTATGGTGGTTTTCAAGGAACAGATGGCACTTTAGCAGAATTAGAAGAGCAAGAAGCAAAGAATTTGCAAAGTGAACTTGCAAAAAATCTGGATGATGATGATTTTGCTTTGGATTTCGCACCCAAGGAGCTGGAAGAGGAAGAGGAAATCAAGGAAAGGAGTAATGTTATTAAAACTGATGTTTCCCAGCTGAGCAAGAGGCAAAAACTGCAACTGTTGATGAAAGAATCACCAGAGTTGTTTGGCTTGATAGATGATTATAAAAATAGAATGACAATTGTTACAGAGGAACTAGATCCAGTCGTAAAGTTTTATAAAGAAGGGAAAATCAAGAAGAGTGAAGCTATGGATTTTGTTAATTCATATTGTCAGCTTATATTAAAGTAAGTTATAGAAATAATAATAAATTGTGTATTAACTTTTATTTTTTGAATTTCAGTTATACAATTAACATCAGCATGTATTTATTATTGAAAGCAAAGAAGACTTCAGTGAAAAATCATCCAATAATTAAAAGATTGTATCAATATCGCAAGTTGCTCGCACAAATGGATCCGGTGTTTGAAGACCAAATTAAACCTCAGTTTAATTTACTCCTTGAAAAAGCAGAGGTAAATAAAATTATGGAAATCTTATTTTTATTCTCAATATCAATTTAATTTGTAGAATCAACCTGCCATCACTGCTCCAACAAGTGAAAATAAAAAGAAACTTCTAAACATTTTAAAATCTGCTAAAGACGGCACTACTTCAACATCCAACAAACGTAAACGTGGCGAAAAAGAAGCTAAATCAATTCTTAAACACCAAACAACAGAGAATGAACCACATTCAGACAAACACATTACTTTTGCTCCGGAAGACGGAATCCAAAATGATTCAGAGTCGGGTTCTGAGACAGAAAAACTTCCTGCTGATATGAATGAACTAGCAGTGGACGATGAAAATGAAGAAAATGATGAAGTTGAAGGTGATGTGAATTCCAAGCGAGGTATTACGTACCAAATAGCAAAGAATAAGGGTTTGATGCCCTCGCGTAAGAAGGAGCAGCGTAATCCACGTGTCAAACATCGAAATAAGTTCCGCAAGGCAAAGATACGAAGGAAGGGTGCGGTGAGTCAAAATATACTGACAAATTTTGTCATTTTTCATGTCATTGCAAAATTATCCGTGTTTTTTTTTTTCATTTTTGTTTCATTTTGGTGTTTTTCTTAGGTTCGCGAAGTGCGACACGAACTTTCACGTTACGGAGGCGAAATTTCCGGCATCAAGGCTTCTGTTTCGAAGAGTATCAAATTAAAGTCATAAAAATTATAATACATGAGTTTAAACGAAATTTATTTGGAATATTATTATGTTCTTCCTTAAGGCCTGCGTAATCATGGCGGCTGCAAATACCTGTTCCTGTGTCCGAAATGGTATGTAGTTTGAGATTTTATGATCTACAACATATGCAACCAAATTTACATGCACACTATGCCCACTACTTTTACTACCACAACTAAACAAGTTATGCTCGCGCATGATTAGGGAGGAGCCGCGTGACCGCCGTAAATTGCAATCAAAGGTCAAATAAGTCGTATCAGAGTGTCATAGTAAATAAATGTTTCAAAATTAGTTATATCATTACGTGGCTTGTCCTCTGCGCCCTAAAGACGTCTAAATTTTGTTAAACTTGTAAGTTTTCTTGTTGTGTCCTTGTACAATGTATTTTTTATTAACACAATTCGATTTTGTTTCTATTTGTTATGATGACTATAAATACCGGTCATAACATAGCTAGCACCATGGCACGCAAATTCATCGTCGGCGGAAACTGGAAGATGAATGGAAACACCGCCAGCATCGGTGAAATCGTCAAATTTCTCACGGCTGGCAATCTGGATCCAAATACTGAAGTTGTTGTTGGTGTTCCAGCCATTTATCTAAAAGACGTACGTGCTCAGCTGCCGTGTAGCATTGGCGTCGCCGCACAGAACTGCTACAAGGTGCCCAGTGGCGCGTTCACAGGTAAGTGCACGTTCGTCTACGTTTTATTTATTTTTTGCAAATGCATTCCATACATAGCGTGCACAACAAGTGTTTATCGGCTTTTCGCGATGAGTTTGCGCTGGTTTGACCTGTCCTAAGGTCGTTTGCAGTTCGGTTGGTTTTGCCATTAGACAAATGGTGGCGTTTGATGAATACAATGGAAAATTTTCAAAACAAATATAATTGAACACAACATTTGTCGAGCAAAGGTTTAATATTTAATATTTACTCAAATTATATAAGACTTTAATATATTTCATTGAAATTCTTGGAAATGAGACAGTATTTTTTTAAATATTTCTTCTATTCGTCATTAGACGGCACTAGTAGTTCGTTTTCAACATGAATTCAACAGGTTTATTCATCAGCAGAATTTAACTTTAATGTATTCATCATTAGATGTTGATAAATCGGTTTTCTTTGAATAAATTACTCGATTGTATCCTTTTAATGCTTTGTCTTCTCCAGTCGTGTCTAAAGCAAGTCATAACTTTGGTGTTAGTAATTGTTTTGCATTCTTTTAATAACCTTGAGCGGACTAGAAAATTATGCCAAGTGAATGCCCAGAAAGGTGATGCAAGAACACGGTGTCATTGTTTGTGCAACACAAGATGAATGCATTATTACTCATCAGAACTGCATCATTATGATAATTTCATAATTTTTAACGTTTTTATGATCTTCTTTGGCATTTGGATTTCCCGGAAACGTTTAATTATTTAAATATTACGACGATGGGAAAGCTTGTCTTTAGCTAGATTACTAATAATTATGTGTAAGATAATTACACGTTGAAGCAATTTAGAATGATCGGTAAAACATTTTCCGCTTTATTTGCGTATTCAACTCATTTGTAAAGTGAGAAACCTAAATATTTTTGTTATTTTATGGTGATTTTCTGGAGCTGATTTAAATAAAAAACCCGAAAATGGTGAAAGGGGTGAAGGGGAACCCGACACCCTTGCGACTGTATTGCTGGATGACTTATGCATGACTGAGCGTGATTCGCACGGCGCGCTCGCATTTTATGTGGGCGACCCGCAAAAAGTTGTGGGAGACATTGGGCCTGCAAAAGTGACCTGTGCGCGAAACGCCGAAACACGGCCTTCGGGCGGAAGCAATTTCTTCCCTCCACCACTTTTAGCTCATTTGTCCTTAAGTGGACCAGCAGTCCAGCCGTAGCTCTCTAAGTTTTTATGACCCACAAAAAGTGATGGGGGAAACCTGGCCCTACGCTGTTGGTAGCTCGGTATCGTGAAAGGTGCTGCTGCCGGCATTACCTGATGATAGGAGAGGGGGTAAGATGTGCTCTGTCGTGGATGTAATGGTAATCGCTGAGTAAAATGAAATTTATTATGTAATATAAACTGGATGCACACGTCTAAACTAAGGCATTCGTAAACATATCTAAAGAATAAACTTGATGATTCGTTTCGTCGATTTGTTAACAACGATCGTAAATATCACACGTGCTCGTCCATCTCGTACGAGTTGTTTTGATGTGCATGCAGCGCATTCGAGTTACCGTTGCGTGTCGGCGTGGAATTCGCGTTTGAGTTGCCGTCTTTCATCTTCAGCAGCTCTTTTTTACTCATATGATCGACGATACCAGCGCCGAATGCATCGCCTAAGACATTAATTGTCGTACGCAGACGATCCCTAAAGAAAAACACGAAAATATGTATTATTCGGAGGACTTAGATTTTAACTGCTTACAATATCCAATCGATGGCAAGCACTAAGGTGACATCTTCAGCTGGTAAGCCCACCGTATCTAAGACCATTACCAGCGTGACCAAACCGGCTTGCGGTATGCCGGCGGCACCGATGCTTGCCGCTGTCGCGGTGATGCTCACAGCGATGATGCTACCGATGCTCAGGTCGACTCGGCGCACCTGGGCGATAAACAACGCGGCGACGGCTTCGTACAACGCTGTGCCGTCCATGTTTATCGTTGCTCCGATGGGCAACGCAAAGCGAGAGACTCGCACATCAACGTTGTTATTATTTTCCAGGCATGCCATTGTTACCGGCAATGTTGCAGCGCTAATTATTTTATAAATAATCATAATCAATGTTAAAAATTTAAAAAAAAAACAGATTTTGACAGTTTATACCTTGATGCGGTACCGAAAGCTGTCGCAAGGGCTTGTCCCATATTTGAAATAAACTTGATCGGATTCTTGCGCGTCATAATGAAGTAAATTGTCGGCAAGAAAATAAATCCTTGGATTATTATTCCGATGAATACCGTGGCGAAATACATGCCCATTTGACTCATTGTTTGGCCGAAATCATCCATTTCCACGATCTTACTGGCGACTAGGAAGAAAATGCCCACCTATGGATATAATTACACTCATTAATTGGCGGCAACGTTTGTTTTTATGCAGTTATTTAGTCATGTTAAGCATTACGAATGCAAATCATGTGGTTTTATGCGGTTTTTTACGTGCGGATGCATAATACTAACCGGAGATAACCATATCACCCACGTGGTTATGGTCATCATGGCAGACATCATCGCCTGGAAAAAGTTCGTCATCGGGCGGCCTTCTTCGCCTATCTTTGCGAGTGTGATTCCCAGCACGGCGGAAAACACAACCAGACCTAGGATATTCGTGCCGTCCACTGACTCTGATCGAATTAACCATTTTGATAAGTCACGTTCTGAAAATTTAACATTTTTATATATAGAAATATATATTTTAGTGAATTATTTCATCTTGTACTACTTTCGACATAATGTTTTCTTATCATAATCTTGATTAACACGTGTTTATTGCGTGTACTTTAACAATTAAAGCGATTTTAATGCGTTTAATGCTCAATTATGAGTGTAAATTAATCGTAAATTCCAATGTCTTACCATTTGGATTAGTTTTCGGTGGTATCAACAAGGTCCTGTGCTGTTTAATGCATGCTTCGACTAAATTCGGCGGGAACATACTGCGCACCAAATCTAACAACGTATCATCCGTCGTAATATTTCTTAGATTTCCCGGCGCCATCTTGGATCCGCCGGTGCTATTATCACCGGGTCGTATGAGTGTTACAAGGATAATTCCGAGGACTACCGCGAGGAATGTTGTAGTTAAATAGTAAATAATTGCTCTGGCGGCTATTTTTCCTGTTTAAACGAATTAAAGAAATAGTAACAGTAATAGTTTATTGTTTCTAATCTTACCAGACAATGAAAGATCTAAATTAGCGATGGCTGAGACCAAGGACGATAAAATAAGCGGCAGGATGAGTGCTTTTAACATTCGCAGGAAAATATCGCCGAGAAAATTCACGTACATTATTTGTCGTTCGGTCCAGTTATCTTTTCCTGCTCTTAGGCAGAAACCAAGCACTCCGCCGAGTACAACCCCTGCGATTGTAAGGATTGTGAGTAGATTCGAACGCATACATCCGACGCATTTGTTTGGTCTGTTTAGAGATGATGTTGAAGTTGTTAGCGTTGCGACATTATAGTGCCGCTTATCGGAGTCGGTGTCTTCCATTATTGCACCTGAATGATAGACAGATTAAGGTCGCACATATTGCATATTTTGCAACAACTTGTTTGTGGATTTTGGTATGTTACGAAATCAATTAATTAATGAATGTGATGATGAATTAGGCAATGTTATTGACCTTTCGAAGACGATGTTTGGGGCTTTCGTGTCGCATGCAATCGACGCCAATCGATTCGTCTCTTCATCTAGTTGCAACCAGTTTGAATTGGACGCCATGCAAAGGCGCCGATCAATTAAACAATTTAAGACAATCAAACTTTTACGCGCTAGATTTCAATTAGATATTAAGCGATTAATATGTATCGACACGATTAGCATGCAACGCGCGACTGGTTTTTGATGTTTTCGGTTTGGAGTTATGTGTAGCAGCGAGGAAAAGTACGCGAAAAATGTGCGCGGCATTATTTCGAACGCGCAGCGCACATTTCGGTTTTTCCAATGTGAATAGTGAATTGTTAAAATTTTGCACCGAAAAGTCTGGAAATACTCGTTACGAGTCGGCGCGGATGTTTGAGTCGAAACTTGAGACTGCTATGGAGTACATAGCTGGTTGCAATCATGGCGGCGACGCTGCGTTTGAATTCATAATATTCTCGCGGCGCGTCGAGGTCATCAAGATGCGGCAGGTGAAGACCACGCGAAGATTTACATGCGACGTGACCGAATGTCGCTACGCAATCAAATGCGTACTATTATTGTATGGCATGTATATCGGTTCATTTTGTTTACGTATAGTACTTTAATTTAAAAAAAATATATTTTCTTGTTATTATTACGAGTATTAGGGTAAAAATTCTATTTTTGTGGAAAACTTTGATTTTTTTGGATTTATAATACGTGATTAATATTTTTCCAACCAAGGTTTACGTTTTATGTTATTTTAACGAAATTTTCAAGCTTCAATTTGAATACTTTGTTAGCATTTTTTGCTTGATAAAGACTTAAAATATACGCAACTTAAAATCCTCATCCATCATGTCGGTTTATTACTAAATTATGGCAATAATTATGTCTTACATAACACGTTTTGTATTGGAATTTCGAAAATTTGTTTTGATAACAAATTACATACCACTAATTTCCGTAATTTTCTCGTAATTGAGACCAAAAGAGTAAAGTGTCTATTAATTCTTTATCTATTTGCCTAATGATTTATTTATTTTTAGTATGTTAAAATGAATATAATATATTTTGTGACGTCTTTTTGAAATAATTAATATTTATTAGTTGTTGTTGTTTGTCAGGTTGTGATTAATGATTCTCCAAATCATAAATTGCACCAATTTTAATCCGTCAGATCTCATCACGCGCTAAGCTAAATTCCAGTGGCATTGTGTGTGCCATGAACGGTAATTAGTCGGGTGCGACTTTACCTAATTTGCGTTAATTTATTTCGCCAACAATACGATTAATTGCTGAATGCCGCATGAGTACTGCACGCCAATCTCGGCAATTATTAAGTGACAATGTAGCAAACAATGCATTTTCAGCGCTATTTTCAAAACTTTTTTTTTACCTGTTTTAGTCTCCGACTTGTTTGTCAATTGTTGTTAAATTAGAATTTCCTTCTTTGTCGCACGTGATTAATAGATAAACTTCATTTAAGGCACTTTTACGCGCATATTATGGAAAGAGTTTAACCTTTTTTTGTCTTTTTTGTTGTCGATACACTTTTTTGTTTCGAATTTGAGCCGGACACTGAGCGCACGTCTTGCTCGGACGCTGCACGCGCTTTGTATGCTTTCGCGTTCGTTTTCGCGGTTGCAAACAGGCTGAAACAAATGAATCGTGTGTGTCGCGGTTGGCAAGTGGAGTGCGCGTTCTCTTCGACGTCATTATGAACCAATGATACCGCTGATGACGCTGCTAATCACTCAATAATGTAGAATCATATTCGATTATACACTTTAAATACGTCAAAAATTAGTCATTTTTATGCAATTTTTCACAATTCAAAATTAATAAGGATTACTCGTACTTCAATATGATTTTATTGCATGGGCATTGAAATAAAAGTTTCATATGAAAAACATGTTAAATTTATTGTTTAAAGTCAAGAACATAAAATTTCTGTCTGAGACTGAGTCAATATTTTCGTTTATTCATTCATAAAACTCAACTTTTAACTTTCATTCCAGGTGTGACCGCAATGACAGCGATTTTTTATTCTCTGAAATTGTCAGCTTTTTTATATCATGTGATGTGATGAGTGCATGCGTAATTCGATCTCTTTGTGATCGCAATGATGATCATACACGCAATGAATTTTCCGTATTGTTTTGTGTCATTATTTCTCTAGAATCTAGAAAGTCTACTTTGTGTTGTCTTGGTTTTGTTGTATTTATAGCGTGGTTTTTCTTCTTGCAGGCGAAATATCGCCGGCGATGATCAAAGACGTTTCATGCGACTGGGTCATTCTCGGCCACTCGGAGCGCCGCACCGTCTTCGGCGAAAGCGACGAGTTGATCGCTGAGAAAGTTGCGCATGCGCTCGACTGCGGCCTGCGTGTGATTGCCTGCATCGGCGAGAAGCTGGAGGAGCGCGAGGCGGGAAAAACCGAAGAAGTTGTGTTCCGTCAGACTAAAGCCCTTGCATGTCAAATTAAAGACTGGTTAGTTATAAATATTCAAAAAAATTGTTTAAAATTAATTTTGTGAATATATTTTAGGTCTAATGTTGTGTTGGCTTATGAGCCAGTCTGGGCCATTGGAACTGGTAAAACTGCCACCCCTGAGCAGGCTCAGGATGTCCACGATGCTCTTCGTCAATGGTTGTGTAAGAATGTGAGCAAGGAAGTGGCGGATTCTGTGCGAATTCAATATGGCGGCTCTGTAACGGCTGCAAATGCTAAGGAATTGGCGTCGAAACCAGATATTGACGGTTTCTTGGTAGGCGGTGCATCGCTTAAACCTGATTTTGTTACTATTGTTAACGCAAAATGCTAACAAAGGCGCTAATGATCATTTTTTATCAATCAAGAATACATATACGCAATTTATAAGCAACAAAATTGATTTTTACAAAGTTTATAAAACTATTTTGATAAATTTATATCAAATTTATATTTAAATCATGTTATTGCAATTATATTATGAAAACACTTTTGAATATATTAATAAAAGACGGATTTTATATCATTTTTGCAGTTATAAGTATTTTTAGTTCCAGAAGTATTTGATTGGTTTATATAGGTGTATCATTGGTTGCCGGTGATAAAAGACCAATTTTAATCAAAATAATTTTATTTTTCTACTTCCACCCACGAAGTGTCAATAGTTCGAGCTTTCACCTATAAAGCGCCAGTTTTCCACAGTTTTTAGACACAAAAAGTGGTACTTTATATACGGACGGCCAAGCCATGAATAATATCCATTATCTACGGGACGGAGCTTGAGCCTGCGCATTTGCAAACGGAGCAGCACTAGACCGTGTGAAATACCTTGCGACATCAATCAAATACGTCATAAACTTATATTTCCCAGTAGTGTTACACACGTGACTAAACGTTGTTACACCCTCGGCTGATTTAAGACTTGCTACGCTCGCTCGCTCTTAATCAATCTAGTGAATAAGCCCTCGTTTAGCCACTTGATACTTAAGATACTATTATAATTTAATTATTATTTTATTATTATATGTCATTTGAATTACAAGTTTGAATTACAACTTACAACTGTTTACTTTCATATGTTGGCCTAATAAAATATTTAAATAAGAAAATAGTTTTAAAAATTTCTGTTTTGGTGTATATTTGGTTGCCTATGTTGAATTTGCGTTTTAAACTACACGAAGTAGACGAAGTCAGACGAAGCGCACGAACATATGTCAGTCGACGCCATATTGTACTTCGTATCGGCTGCCGAGTGAATGTGCGCTCTTCGCTGGCTGTGAGCTGCTGCGATGTCAAAATAGTGAGCGCGTCGGGATATAGTGGAAATTCTAACGATTTGTGTGCATCGAGAACGTGCCGTCACTGCAGCCCGGCACCGGGAAATCGACGACCGATTGCATTTATGTCATAACCGTGAGTAGCGAGTTTATTTACATTTTCGCCGCGTATTCCCGAAAGCGCACCCAGAGTGAGCACGCACAACCACTCACAATGGTCTTACTAATCGCTCTGTTCATTGATATTTTTACCAAGCATAACATTTTCAAGGGTAACTCGCCGAGATTATCTTTAGCATCAACGTTTGTGCAGTTAGGTGCAGTCGTTATGGTGATTCTCGTAAAAGCTGGTACTTAAAATTATTGCGGACAATGCTCATTTTTACGCATGAGTTCGCACTGTGACATTTAACAATGCGTCCGGAGACAGGTGAATTGTTTTCGTGCGTTATTCATGCGTGAAGTTGAAAAAAGATGGTTTGGAATAAAATAAATGTCCGATTGGCATTTGTTTTTTTTGCGTAGCATTGATTAAAACGTAAAATTAGTTGCAGAACACGTCAGGGAATACATAGTAAAACATGAAATTAACATTTTACTGGTACGTCGTGTCCACGAAGCGTGTTCAAGTCTACCAGTAGTTGGGTTTCCTAGCGCTGCGCACTTTTACTCCGCATAATTGCAAGAGAAATTGTTCTTGCACCTCCAGTAGCCAACAGAACACACCAACATTAGTAACATTAAGTATTTTTACTACTGCCAGATGGATAGAATACATATAAATAGAATAGAAACAAAAGAAAGTTTGAAGACATTCACTTACAAACAAATTTTTGTTTACCTATTTTCGATCAAGTGCGTCAAAGTATACCTTTAGACACCAAATTAACAGATAATATGTACGAGCAGGAGAGAAAAAAAACTTGAAGTGGAGGCTGGAGAGGTTGGATCACTGGATTAATTACGAAATGTAATTTTAGCTCACATGCTAAGGACGGAATTAAACGCGAAACAAAATCGTTGATGGTTGTGTGCCACTTTTTGTGCTTCAGTTTAGATTACATGCTATTAAATAACGCTCATTTCGTGGCGTACGACATTTTAACTTCTTTGTGTTGCAAAACTTGCCGAACTAGTATGTATGTGGCATTATGCAGTCAGATTAATAATGTTATAAGATAGTGTAAGTGTTTGTAAGATTGTAGTACGATTTTGTATGAGATTGATCGTCTCGTTTTTGTGCGGCACAAACCCGCGACTGGAGCATGCACGCTGCCGATGACTCATTCGCAGTTAGTTAATGTGCTTTTTTTATTATTTGCTATTGTCCCATGCCGAGTCAGCGCGGATATGTCTATCAATGTGAGATTTAAATTTAAAAATTCACTTTTACTAGTTTAATAAGTAAGCAGCGGTTCGGTAAATATTGATATTATTTGATTTTCAACGGTGACACTGATAACAGTGGTTTTTAAAAATTGAATAGATAATATTTAGTGTTCTGTGTACTTTGTCGAAAGTTCTATTAGAGGACATTTACTCAAAAGGTACAATTTCTAGCTCAGGTATCTATTTATTTTTCTGTTTTTCAAGTGGCGACATTTTGAGAGATTTAAATCAGTTTTGTCGTGCTTTTCAGTTTAATAAATTATTAATTTGTTATGAACCATGTCACGTAGAAAGGTGAAAAATTCAGCACGTGCTATGCAATTTGAAAATATATCTGACTAACTGTCTGCCATGCCATATTCAGTAATGTTCTCATTCCTGTAGTCATTCGTCATAAGAAAGAATAATATAAAACAAAACATTCACCGCCTCACCACATGAGGCGCACACTCGTATAGTATTGTAAGGTGTGGTAAGCATTGGTTAATTAAATATAATTAAAGCGTTACACTGCAGTAAATTGCCTCAACGGTTATTTTCGAGCTATTGTACTTGTTATTGCCCTGCATGTATGGTTGCCTATCTTTATGATACAAAAATAAGCATTGTATGAATGTAACACGCAAAAAGTTTAAGATGCGGGTTTAAAGTTTTATGTTGGAAGTGTTACAATGAGTTGTAACTTTTTGAATTATTATTAAACCACAAATCAACGTGGTAAAATTGTTAAGGTATGCTGAGGAGCCGTAGGCGCACTTTTAAATTGGTTTGCGCACGAGTTTCGTACGAGTTGGTTAGGAAGTTCTTGCTTCTCGCCAGTCATGCACATTGCGCAAATTGGAAGAGAATTGTACGCGCTTGGAAAAGGTGTGAACGTGATTCGAAGGGATTCCTGACTGAAAACCGGATTGTGTTAAGAAGTCAACACTTTGAAACAAAAGAGGAAATAAAACTTGTTTTATAGGTGTGAAGGTTAAGGATAAAACTTTGAAGTGCTTTGTTGAGAAAATTAGTTTATATTTCCGGAAAAGTTTCGTTTTATGTATGTTTAGATTAGTTTTTGAAGTGGAGGGGAAGTAGGATGATGGCGTCATCCTGCGCACTTGTCGGCTTTTCGCCGGCGTCGCGACGCACCGAACAGCGTCAGTTCCACACAAACACGCCGCCCGAACGCAGGCGAAAGATGTGAACGGCGAAAACTCGATCAATACTTGATCGCCGAGCCGCGTCGCGTTGTTCTACTACCCCTGACAACGCCAATCACGCGCATTACAACATCACTACGACAAAATAAGGGCGTGTAAATAAATAGTTGCTTATAGCACGGCATACAACTCATCAGCATTCAAATTTGTTTGTTTACAAAATTATGTGCGTCAATTAAACGTAAATTCCGGAGCTTTTAGATTCGCGTTGCCTTAAATTTTGCGTGCGTGCGTAAAAATAAAAACAAAAGCGAAAGAAACAAAGAAGAGAAAAAAGAAAAATTGCGCTTTAGTTCTAACTGCAACGCACATAATATCGATTGTGTTTCGTTTTCCGTGTCGTGTCTCGCTGTGTTTGAGTTATATTGTGCATGTGTGTGGCGGTCGAGTGCATACGAATTTCGAATCGATTTCCTATTTTTCCACCGCCGCTACGGTTTTACGCATCAGCGTAATAAAGAGTAATAACTCTAAATGAGCGTCGTTGCAGCGCGCGCCGACGACTTGGAACAACCACGTAATAAGCTCCAATTTAGTAAAATTGAGGCACGTTCCGCCGATGCGGCAAAACCGAACCGAACGGAATATTGGATTTGTCATCCGGTCATCCATTTTATTCGCGGTGCAGTCGCTGATTAGTGTCGGCGGCGCGCAGATTACATAAAAATCCCGCACCCGTCGCGTTGAAAATTGTAACTTACGTCAACTATTTTTGTATAACTTTAAAAATAGCCGAAACAAATCGAAACAGGAAGAGACACGAATTTACTACGCGTTTGAGGAGACAAAGAGAAGTAAAAAATAATTAATCAACGCTGATTATTAAAGATATTAAAGTATTCAACAGTTGTTGTGAAACGTCGATACTCATAAAAGCTTGTGATATTTATATTTTTAACGCTAAATTTGCTACCACTACGATTTGCTACGATTTATGCATTTATTGACGGGCTCGTAATCAAATTACACTTAAATTACGCTATTTTAATAAGTACTATACTTGATACGCATTAAATAAAAGCAAAAGTTTGCTCGAGTAGCGTGCGGCGTGCTCAAAACTTAATATTTTGGAAGGAAAGCAAAGGAAATAAGATAATAAAATATTCGCTATGTCGAAAACAATAAACGCATACAGAATGTAAGCAATTTTTAAAAATTAATTAAAGACACAAAAAAGTAATAATGTTTTTGTGGTTTTCAGCAAGAAGATTGAGAGTTTTGGCAAGATGACGGCAATGAATCAGGAGGAGATAGTCCAGGCTGTGCGCACAGTTGCGCAAGGTCTGGAAGCCTTGCGCTCCGAACATGCGGGTATCCTGCATGGCCTCCATGAGGCCCCGGATCCCATCGCCAACGAGCGTGCTGGACTTGTCCAGCAAAGCGCTGAAATGATTGAACTTGGTTTAGGCGAAGCGCAGGTAGGTCTTCATTTTAATTCTCTTTTAATTCACCGTTTAAATAATGAAATGATGATGTTTAAGGTCATCATGGCGCTCGCCTCTCACCTGCAAATGGTAGAGGCCGAGAAGCAGAAACTGCGCACGCAGGTACGCCGCCTGTGCCAGGAGAACGCGTGGTTACGCGATGAGCTCGCTTCAACACAGCAGCGCCTCCAGGCCAGCGAACAAGCTGTCGCCCAATTGGAGGAAGAAAAGCGTCACTTGGAGTTTATGGCGTCTGTCAGTCGATACGATCAGGACGCGAGCGAGGACAACCAGTCTGAGCAGTCGCGCACAGAGAAGAACGATCCCGTCGTTGACTTGTTCCCTGATGACGATAATGAAGAACGCAATAGTAGGCTATATAATTAATTCATCAGTTGAATGTTTTATTTTGATGGTGTCAATTATAGATATGTCTCCAACACCGCCAAGTCAACTCGCACAACAAGTGAATGCCGGATATGAGATTCCAGCACGTTTGCGTACGCTGCACAATTTGGTGATACAGTACGCGTCGCAGGGACGTTATGAGGTGGCTGTACCATTGTGTAAACAAGCACTGGAAGACTTGGAGAAGACGAGCGGACATGATCATCCCGATGTGGCGACCATGTTGAATATTCTCGCGTTGGTTTATCGTGATCAGAATAAATATAAAGAAGCCGCTAATCTACTGAATGACGCTCTGGCAATCAGGGAAAAAACTCTCGGTGAGAATCATCCGGCTGTCGCAGCGACGCTTAACAATCTGGCTGTGTTGTACGGTAAACGCGGAAAGTACAAGGAGGCTGAACCGCTGTGTAAACGCGCGCTGGAGATCAGAGAAAAGGTTTTAGGACGCGAACATCCCGATGTCGCCAAACAATTGAACAATTTAGCTTTGTTATGCCAAAATCAGGTAAAGCATTTTTGTTTAATCGTATGTGTTTATATAACATTGGTTTTGTTGTGATTTTTAGGGAAAATACGAAGAAGTTGAGAGATATTATCAACGCGCGCTTGAAATCTACGAACAGCGACTGGGCCCTGACGATGCAAACGTGGCGAAGACGAAAAATAACCTCGCCTCATGCTACCTCAAGCAGAGCAAGTACCGCGAGGCGGAGGTGCTGTACAAGCAGATCCTCAACCGGGCGCACGAGCGTGAATTCGGCACAATTGACGGTAAGCAACCACCATCTCCCAACAAGTAAACTCTCAGTATCACCGGCGTGTACAAATCAAACGCAGTATTTATGATTTTAATTGCATGTTACTATTATTATAAGATTTTATATTATTCGACTATTGCTAACGCAGCAGTACCTGACGACGCACTTTATTGTACTTTATGTCACCTAGGAGTGTAAAATACGATCGCAGCTGAGAGATGTTGATGTAAAGTTTTGTTCTTTTTTGTTCCGCATGTTTTTTTAAACTTTTAAATGTAAAACGATGCGTACATATTGCCTTCGAAGAGATGTGATCTCACTCTCTATGTGTGTGTGAGTGTGTGCAATTAAATAAACGCAATATTTGTTTTGGGCATGTTCAATTGCTAGTGTTTTTGATTTTACGTTTTCGCATACCTTTTGTACATATATTATTTCCTTTTGTTAACTTTGATAAAACACTAGTAATACTTCGTGCCCGTTTGCGTATTGTCGTTTTATCTCGGCGTTTTGTTTTTCTGTCACACCCCGCAGGCGACAACAAGCCCATCTGGCAGGTGGCGGAGGAGCGCGAGGAGAATAAGGCGCGAAATCGGGAGAACGCACCCTACGGCGAGTATGGTGGCTGGCACAAGGCCGCCAAGGTGGACTCGCCCACCGTCACCACTACACTGAAGAATCTGGGGGCGTTGTACCGACGCCAGGGCAAGTACGAAGCAGCGGAGACCTTGGAAGATTGCGCTCTACGTTCACGAAAAGAGGTGAATTTTATAGCATGTTTTTTATACCTCATTTCTTACGCCGCTTCTTAATTTTAACCTCATTTCCTTAACATAACCAACTTTTAACAGTAATCAAGAAAAGACGTTTTCAGCTGAAGCTATTTATCTATTTCTGCTCATGCTTTGTTATTAATCCATTTTTGCGTTTATTCTTTGTTTTTACGCTACGCTACTGCAGCATGTGCAACAAGTAAGTTCATCTTGACTCACATGGGTTTCACGTAGTAATATTTGCTCTAAATTTGCGATCGTTTCGAATATAATTGGCATTCGGTTTAGGAATTTGCTTGAATTCTACGTAAAAGTTTTGATGACAGCACTTATAATAACAGAACGTTTTGTTTTGTGTTGTTTATATTTGTGTGAGTTTACACTATTAACTTGTGTATTTTTAGGCGCTAGATATAGTGAAACAATCCAGGATGGCGGCATTTATTGGCTCCGGCAGGAAACCAAGCTCAGCGAAGGAGCGGACATCGCGACGAGGATCACGAGAATCTCTAGACATGTCTTTTGATACCGACGAGGTAAGTGCATTGCCATTGCGTGCGACAAATGATAAATGTCACGAAAAATTTCGAAGGTAGCAAATCTAGGCGAAGCATTTATCAACTCTAGTCAGTCATTTGTGATTGGTTTTTATTTATTATGATTATTATTTCAATTCCATAGTATAACACGTTTTCTTTTTTGTTCAATTTTTGCTTCATTAGATTTTCGGTTTGCGACACTTTTGATCATTTCAAATGCACCCAAAAACATTTTGTATACTTTTGAAGTATGCAACATGTTTTGTTTTTGTTTTGTATACATTTTTGCGTATATGTTAATCTCTTTGTTTTCCTGTCTCTGACAAAATCCTCATTTTCGGCAGAGCAATACGTCCCGATCGCTGGACGGCGAAAAGACGGCGGGCCTCAAAACGAAACTGTTTGTTGCGCTCGGAATCCACTCACCTACGCCCAACAAACCCAGCTCTTAAGCGTTCACAATCTCTAGTTTCCGATACTACCAAACACACACGACATTTATACACTCTCACAGAGATGGATACAACACCAAAACCACCCTGACAAAGTATTAGAAAGATCTGACCCCATTCTTTCGTGATTTGAATATTTCTTTACATATTTAATAATTAATCAAAATGATGAAGCGAGTAGAGTCAAGATTTTAAACAAACAACGCGCACTTTTATCCGTTTTGTTGAGTTGTCTATTTATTATGTTTATATTTTACATATTAGTTTGCTTCAGCTCTACTCGCCTTTTAGCAATGTTTCGTTTTTGTGATCATTATCTTATTACTTATATTTGATTATTATTTTACTTAAGTTGTGCATTGCGTCGGTGTAGGTTTCTTATTTCTTTTTTTTGTGACAACAAAAGAACCTAAACGCTATCGCATTACAAAAGTACATTGAACACATTGCTCACACAACACAAACATATGTAGAAAACGAAATGATCGTAACTGCTTTCGTTTGACGAACAAATTTTTAAACGTTATTTTGTGCTTACATTCCATTTCAAAACTAGAGACACAAAACCAACGTCAAATTGCATCGAATTGCTTGAGTCTCTTTTAAAACTCGAAAACGTTTCCAGAAAATAGCAATTATATAAACATCTAAGGATAAACTGAAGAAAAACTAAAAACTAACTACACTTCCGTCAACATTAGTGCAATTACAAACGCGTAATGTTAGTGCTTCCTAATTTTTTGTAAATTGCAAGTGAGAAAAAATTTAAATAACTCGCATTATTCAATTATAAACTATTTATATAACAATAACTGCAACGATTATATCTCTTCCATAAGCGAGTGATAAATTGTTGGTGTTTCAATCATGTTACTACTTAATCCTAACCAAGTTATTAGCGATGACAGAAAGTTTTACGACGTGTTTTTAACATAACTTAAGATTTAACATAAATTGTTCCTCCTGAATGATTCGGGAGGCCAACTTTAAGCATGCACCAACTCTTTTACAGTCAATAATAATATATTTTACATTATCCTACACCACTTACACTACACACCCACATATTTGTTATTTAAATATTATTTATATCTCTATAGATAAAAATGAAAAAGAAATAAAAATGCTATTGTTTACTATAAATCTGTAATCGGCATTTTAGTTGATGTTTGCCCCTGAATCATCCTTATATTTATTTATGACTTGTATTTTGTTTGCTTTTGGTTGATTCGTTTAGTTTTTGTTTTGTTTATTAATGTGGGTATTTTGTACATAACAATTTGGAGTTGATAAATTGCTGAATTAATTTCAACTAACATTGATGATGGTGATGGTTGGTTTCAAGCATTCTTCTAAATTCTACTAATTTTTTCTATTAGCGATTATCGATTAATTATATATTCATATCTTTTCTGTTTCTGCGCTCTGCTCTGGTAATGGTGGTATGTGGATATTGGCAGCATGAGGGACGAAAGGCGCGCATGTAGAGAGTTTAAAGCGCTGCGTACGACGACCAATTAACGTTTTCCTACCGGTTATTAACTAATATTCAACATAACACTCAACCGTTCACAATAATCATGGTGCAAATGTGTAGGACACGCGAACGACGATGCTGCGACTGCAATTTTCAACTAAATCAACTAAAAAAACATTAATATGCATTTATTTTATTGTTGACTTGCGCGATCTGCAATATTGTGATTCAACATATAAACAATCGTATCAACTAATCAAATCAATGTTCAAGCAGTTGTGTCACTAATTTTGAACTATTTTAATATTTTATTACGTATTTAGAAATAATTTGCTGTTTGCAATGCAATATACATGCTTTTGCGGCGTGTGGGAAAAAGTGAACTAATGTCCACTCACAGTACACTGTTAGTGAATTATGATTATGCTTGATGGCTTGGATTTAAAGCAAATTAAATAATAAAACTGGATTGTATGATGATTTATTTTCTACCGTTTAATTGTCTATTGCTTTGCAGGAGAATTGGATTGACATTGTAATATTGTATCTGCTCTTCAGGTTGATTTTGTAGGAAATTTCAGTTTTGAAAGAGCGCATCATGCATATGCGCAGGTGCACCTGCATCAATAAATTTTCTTACCCGGCTTATCTTATTTGCATGTGAATTTTTGCGATTGTTTACTGTGAAATGTTCTAACCTAAGGAAAGGATGGCGATGAGCAATAGTAAAAATTACATTTTTGTCGCATTCTTGCGCAATATTGAATCTACCATGGTAGTATACAGAAATTCTCTATGACTCATTTTGTTGTTCGTCGAATCGAATCGTCAATCGTCTATTTGCGTCTCGTTTCTATCGTGTTTTTGCGTGTGCGGCGCCGACTTCGTCCATAACAATTTCGATCTGCCAGTCGGTTGTGGGCATTGGAGGCGTCAGCAACGAGTAAGTACACTTATATTAGCTATAATTCGCGATAAAAATTCATTGTTCAGTGTGTTTGCGACCCGTATTTGTTGTGTGTTTGCGTCGTTGGCAATTTTAACCTTATTTTGGGCGTCGCCTCATTAAATTTGCCATAATTTACCTTGAAATACATGTTGTCATCCTCACATCCTCATGCCTACACAACGATAATCAATAAACTACATTATTACCGCTTTTTACTATGCACACAATCGATTCATTGCACCATTGAAGTAGGTAGAATATTTAGCCGGTGCTAACTGTTACTGTTGATTAATAGATCCAAGGGCCTTAAGACATCTCAACGATGACTGCCTTAATCACAGAGTTTAACCACCTTGGTGGCAACAGTATTCAAGAGCATAAGAAACTATTTTGTCTCTATGGCAACAAACTTGCTGCACTTGATGTGCCTGAAAGACTGCATGTACTTAACAATTTGAGAGCAGAACATAGACAAGAAGAAATATTTCTAACTAAGTTGCTGCTAAAGTTTGAACAGACAGAGAAACTTAAGCATTTGATTCTTCAAGGCGATCGCATTTTAAACAAAGTGATCGTTTGTCACAAGCCTTTCATATTCAGGGATGATGATGTCAACTATTTCATGGATGAATTGTTTCCTAATGTTTCTTATATTGTGAGAAACAGGTGCCTTAACAATTTGGCTAAGATAATAAAGCGGGACGATGTTGGAGAAGAATTCTTCAAACAGGTCCTGGAAAGATATGGCATTAAAACCGCACAAGTTTTGCTTCCTGTTTGCAATGAGGCGTTCATCAGGGAGATAATCACTAGTTATCGTGTCGTATTTCGTGAGCGACAACTTGTTACACTTTTTCAACGTTTTGGGTCTTCGTTTATTAGTTTTTATTATGCAGAATGTTTCAAGTATGGTTTGACCAAGCAGTTTGGTGACCAACCATTCTTTTCGCAATATTTATCTACTAAAGATATTGTTACATTTTGTCAACTTCTTAAGTATGGAGAGCCCAAACTTAGTACCAGAGGATTCAAGAAGTTTTTGAATATTAAAAAGGATGAATACCTGACCGCACCAACCAAATATTCGTCATTTGTGAAGCCTAAGATTCTGTATAGATTATTAACAAAGGAAGAATTCCGAATGTATTTTTTGAATAAGTTACCAAAGAATGAGTATGACTTTTCAGTGTATTCCATGCTTGATGATCTTAAAACCTTAAAAATTGAAGATCGTGGAAATTTCCTAGCTGGTGTGTTCAAAGAAAAATATGGGTTTGAGATCTACACCAAAGAAGTTGATTATCACTTGAAATCATTACTAACTGGAGAAGATTTGCTGAAATTCGTCATGACAGAAGAAGAAACTTTAGGGTATCTTCCACCGTCAAAATCATTCCCGCTGATTAAAGAACGTATTAATTTAACATCTGATATTAATACGCGATGCCAATTAGTTCTGAAACTTTTCATCTCCGCAAAAGTCAACAATGACGATGAAGGACTCCTGGAAGCTCTGAAATATTTTAATCAGAGGCACAAAAATGATCAATCTTCGATCCGTGAAGATGTATTCACCTATATCAAAGAAAATTACAAGATGGAAAATCTTAGTGCGGACATTTGGCAATATTTGCATGAGTTGATTCTCGCTGAGCAAATGATTTCTGAATATCCGCATACACTGCGGGATATGTTTGCAGAAGTTCTAAACTACAAGTTTGTCAATGGGTTGGACTTTAATGCTGAATTCAAAAAGTACGTGAAAAATGTTGGATGTCATTATTTTGATTTAACTTCAAAAAGTAAGGATTTGAAGCGTTGGATACTGCTGCATTTGCCAGAGATGTGCAGGGAAGTTTTCACCGATGAGAATGAGAAGAAAAGCTGGCCTACAGCTTTTCTTAATGTTCTCCAGAGGTGGAACAAAGATAATCCAAAAGATATTATATCCTACTTTAACTATCCTGAGATTATTGAATCAGCCATAGAGCATCATAATGATGATCGTCATTATTATTACGACGATGTCATTGCTAGTGATATATTGACATTCAAAACCACTGATCCTAAAGAGATTAAATTAAGGAATGATCTTATGGATGCGCATATATCTAAGTTTGCAGCTAGTGAGAAGATGTGGCGATGGTTGTTGAAACACCGCATGGAAGTCGTCGTAAAACACATTGATCTCTTCTATGAAAAATACGTCAGTACTTATAGTGTGAGGAATTTGATTTATGAACTAATGAAAATGCACTACACACCACTGCCAGCTATAGTTCGTGAAAAGTCCTTGCAATTATTTAATGATTCCATGAAATCAATTGAGATGAAGGATGAAGAAAATAAAGTCAGTGCCTCCCAAAGAAATCTTGCGCTTCTTGCACTGTCATTTGAGAAGGACTTTATGAAGATGATCGATAATGACAGGTGTTATCCTTCAAGCGAGGCTGAGGCTGAAGTGAACGTACTGGATGAATCCTTTAAGGAGACACTTAGATTAAGGGAACAAGTTGTTGAATGTCTTCGTAATCGACCTTGCTCCCAAGAAGTTATGCCTATGGTAATGCGTTTCTGCTTCAAGGATTACTTCAAATGCACACTTCCAGTACTCAATGTTGTTTTGTACAACTTACCGGAGAGGGAACTTGCGGAGCCGTTGAGAATTTTGCAAGATAGATCAGTTACTGTGCGCAAACGTGCGTTGTTTTACGCTACGACACTGGGAAACGCACAAACTAGCTGTGATGCCCTGAAATATGCAGGGGAAAATGAGAAAAATAAATCTCTGCAAAAGTTTGTCTTTAACCGTACATTCAAGAATTTTTGTTTTGTTGGAAATCAAGCATCTTGGGAGCTGCTTTTGGAGCATTTCAAATTTGTCTTTGAGAAGGACACTGAAACGCACACGATGGTGTTCCAGTTTAATTTGATTTCACGCAATTACTTAGCTCTCTACGTGGAAACAGTATGGCAGTTTATTGGAAAACAATGGAAGGATAAACACACTTGTGTGTTGAATGCTATTAACGCTGACATAATGACCCTACTTTCCGACAAGTTATGCGATGATATTATTCATTTTAGTCTGGTGCATTCCAAAGGACAGCTTATTAGTTCAGACGTGGACTTTATCTATTCGTACCTGCTTTCCAGCGGCGAGAAGATTGATCATCGCTTTGATCTCGTAGCGAATAATGCTCGGATTGTCGTCGATGAGGATTCGCAATTGGATTTTAAAGAATTCAACAAGAAATCGCAGAATATTGGTTTCTTGTACAAGGACATTTGCAGGCGGTTGATGGAGAAAGATGAAGAAGAATGTACTCATCTTGCGGAGAAGAAAATGCTTGTAAATAAGCTTGCCCAGGCATTCCCCAATTTACCTCTTCCGTATAATCATCTCGATTACCAGCTTCAAATTGAAGTTTGTAGATGTTTCCTTGATGACGCCGATAAACTGCCAGAGTTGTTCATTAAGTTACAAAAAGATGTTTTGGAAAGACATGGAGCCATGATGTTGGATTATTTCAATGAGTTTGCGTCGTCACTGATTAGTATGCTTGGCGATGAAATGGAATACAGATTAAGTTTTGTGCAGAAGTTGCTGGAGAAGGAAAATTTAACCAGTGTGAAGTTATTGGCAATTCACTTAATGCCATCTGTGTATCCCAGTAGCGAAGTTTGCGCTTCAAATTTCAGAAATATAATGGAAAAGATTGAAGCTGAGTCTGCTCCTGTTGTGTTGCTTTATTTGAATCGCTACTTAAAAAATTTGTCCATTTAATTATATTTTAAAAATGCGCGTGAAGCTATCTTACCTATTTATCTCATATAATATGTACTATAAAATGTTAAATACAGTATATAATACCATTATTGTGCAATAATTCTAGAAATTACGAAAATATATGGCATGGAAATATGTAATATTTTGCACTAATATTGGTTTCTACTTGTTCTGATTATTTGTGTTGAATAAACAACTTTTTTGAAAACATTTTACGAGTGTATTTTCGTTTATTTCAGTGGCATTGTCGTTGACCGCCATCTCCCAAGTTAGATTAATTGTAAATTGCTAATCTTTAACTTTGGGGTTTAGCATAACGGAAAGCCACAAAACTTGCACTTTTGTGTGTTACAGTTGTCATATTTGGTTGTTTTAGGGATCTATCTAATGAGCATGAGCATTTTATTAATAATTTTAAAAAGATTTGTAATTAATGCATAAAGAAATCATTGAACTGGAACTATTAAGTTATTCTTGAAAATAAGTTCCCTAGAAAATCGCTAAGTTAAGTGGCAGTATGTTTTAGCAATTACAGTTTTCGACACTAGGTGCTGCACTCACAATTAGATGGCGCTACTAGGTTCATCAATCCATCTTCCTGATAATTTTTGCGCTTATTACATTTATTATTTTACTTTTTGGTTTTATCGGATTGGTCTTAACTATTTAAAAATCTCCGAACAAACCTGATAAGTTCAAAAATAATAAAAAAAAAAAGTGCACCCAGTATTATAACTACATATTTTGAAATGTAACATTTACTTGGTTTATTGTATACCGCAATTGAAATTTTGTGTTTAAAAAGTGAACTCAACTTTTTAGGATAGCCGTACTTGTATCAGATTGTATGCATTGAAATTGTTTTTCATTTATATATCAAACTTTTGTGTTTAATACAAGGAAACGCTACAAAAATTCAATTTTTGTAATTTGTTTTAGAGTTCTTACATTGATACATGATCTAGAAAGATGTGATCTTGTAGAATAGTACCGGTTGTATCAAAAGAACAGAAGAAGTTTCATTTCTTCCAAATAATAGTATTTTGTGAATTATTATTTAATATAAGAAGTAGAAAAATTCCTTAAAAAAAAACGAAAAATATAACGCTCTTAAAAAAATTCGAATTGAGAACACTGACAGTTATGCTGTCATAATCTGGTTCCAAACCAAGACATCCCTAGAAATTGTCGACCAAGCATGCGCACTGAACCCACAGAATGATTTTGACCTTCAATCATTCATTCTTCAAACAATTGAAATTGTTTGATTTTCTCTTGAATCTTGGTTGACAACAGGTATAAGTCGTGATATTTTAAAAATGAATCCAATTGATTTCGTGAAATCATCTCGAGCTTGTGAAGATGAGGTATAGTATTAATTTCTTTTTACAACACTTATTAATACGTTAAATTTATTAGATATTGCACTCGGTGAAGAAGGCAAAATTGCACAGCAATGCACTTCAACGACAAAAAGAACGCTCAGCGAAGGATGGCGTTATTAAACTGATTAAAGCTTTAACTCAAAAAGCTGAAAACGGTATTCAAATCCTTGAAATTAAAAAGAGCGGATTGAAACGCAGTATCGAACAGGAATCGTCGGGCGATCCGAAGGAAATTCACTCGTTGCGGGTGGATCTACTTAAGAGACAGCAAGAACTCATTAGAAAATATTCAAAACTCCGTCGCGATGAGGTTGATTTTATTATTAATAATACAACACAAACCGAAAAACTTAAGAAATGTATTGAAACAGCAAAAACTTTGAAAACTGAACTCTTGAAATCTAAACATTCCGCACAAGATAACGCTGAACACATTTATGAGACCAACAACAACTTGATTTCTGCCAAACAACAAACTCTCTGCCAGATTAAACAGGTAGAGGAAACTAAACGATCAAGTTTAGCAGGAGTTACTAAGGAAATAGAGGGAGTGACAAATGCTATTCTTACACATGATATTCTTATTGAATCTGTTTTGTTGGATAATCAACAAATTAATGAGATGCTCCATAGTATTAATATTCGTAACTTTACAAAAGATGATGACAATATTACAAATCTTGAACGCAAGTTATTACAAAAAGAAATTGAGTTTAACAACCTTACAAATGATCTAAATAAACTCAAAGCTGTTAATACTAAAATTTCAAAGGAAATTGCGACTGGAAAGGTAAACCTGGAAAACTTAAATCATAATCTTGCCATTCAAGGAAAAATGAAAGGTGTTAATAATGATAATACTGAAATTAAAAAACAGTTGAACTTTTATGAAGCACAAATTGCCAAAAGAGAATCCGTCGCCGCAGAATTCCAAAAAAAGCAACAAGTTCTTGAAGAACAAGAACGTTACTTGAAGACAATTGCAGTAGATCTAACTGAATTTAATCAGGAGCGTGCAACAAAGTTACAACAAATTAACATTGATATAATAAAAGTTAAAGAAGAAATGGCCAAACTGCAAACTGGGTGTAATGAAGATGAAACTGTGTTCCTGAAAGAAAAAAACTTGCTTGATCAAGATATTTCTATTGCCACCGAGAAACAAAAGCGTTTATTCAGAAATTTAGAAAAAGCTAAGAAACTTACGGAGAATCTAAAGGAAACCTACTCTAAAATGAAAGGCACTAAATCAAGTTTTAAAACTCCTGTGAAAAGTCCAGGTATTCGCAAAGTGACGTTCAATCAATATGTAACTGAACGCGAAATCACTGATGAATCATCGGATGTACCTTCTTCGCAGAATTTAAATTAATTATTTATAAATTAAATATTTAGTTATAAGATTATAGAATTACTATTGATTTTTTTTAAATTATTAATTTAAGTTTTTAAACAAGTATAATTTAGTTGACAATTTATTAATACAATTCTTAGTAGCATTTAAGCATTTGCAATGACATAATTGTTCTGGTTTTCCAAAACTGTAATATCGTCTTAGGAAAATACAAGATTCATAACATAAGCGCAGCATCGCACAAAATCAACGTAATAAAAAAAGTTGCTTATAACGAACCCCGATAAACGGGTAGAATTGAAATCGAAACATTTCTGTTATGCATCTAAATAAAATGTAATATAATGTTTCACATTACGCCAAATGAAAGCAAATCAAAATTCAAATACCTAAAGATTTACGGAAATGTATTTTCCTAGGATAAAGACTTATTTCCACAGCGTGCATGCGTGTTCGCTTCCTAAAGAAAATCAATCGCCAAAATTCATTGAAGTTTCGCTTCATTCGGTATGTATACTTTCGTGAGGTACAACGCGCGGTGTTCTACTTTTTTTCATCGAGATACAAAATTAGAACTATGGTTTCAAAAAGTAAATAAATATACAATTTGACGTATTAAGTTAATGCCAGTTTTTTTTTTGGATGCCCTTTTGGGTAATATTGTACAATATCTACTTAATACCGACCGTTTTACGACTTAAGATGGAACTTGACAATGAACAAATATACCAAAATAATGAGAATGACGATAATACCCCAAGGAAAAAAATGTCCCCCAAGCGGCGCTTTCGAGCCCTAGTTCGTCTGGTGATAGCAAACACGCCATGGATGCTGGACTTCGAAATGAAATTTGGAACAAAGATGTATGCTATGAAGCGGACAATGAAATCAAATCTGGCTCTCGAAGTATTTTTATTTTATTGGTGTTTGGTATAAATATGATCCATAATTTAATTTTAGCATAAAGCAATTTTAAACAAAAATCCCGAAGACAGAACCGATGAAGAAAATGAAGCAGTTTACAAAATAATCGGTGGTTTCAAATGTTTTCGCAAATATCCAGAGGTAAAGTTTTAAATTAAGAAAGTTATTCTCATGCTTAAGTTTAAATAATTCTAGCACGTGAAAATGTTGCTGGCGAGTTACAGCCACTTCTGTTACTTTGGTCCGGATCGCGTCATCGTCCGCGAGAATCATTATGCAACTTCGATATTTTTTATCATCAGTGGCGAGGTCAACATCATTGAAGAAAAGTATGATGTTTTCCTCAACGAAACGGAGCGCATCATAACGGAAACCTTAACGGCGGGCGATGTGTTCGGTGAAATTTGCTTGCTGCACAATTTACCACGAATGGAAACTATCGTTTCCGCCAGTGAGTATCTCCATCGATTTAACAACCCTTCCGATGGGTCATCATCGACGGAAACCACTTACGCATCGACTAAACTTCCTATTTTTATCTCCAGCGCCAGTTGAATTTCTAGTATTGAAAAGAGATGATTTCGACGTCGTATTGAAGGGCACCGTCAAAGAAGAATGGGATTTTATCTCATCACTAATGCAATCTTTCGACTATTTTCGAGAATGGGACAAGGTGCGCATCGGCGAATGTTGCATGCAGTCCGTGATCAAGAACTACAAGAAGGATGACACTATCTTGGGCGATGGATATGGACGTAAAAACTATGTTCATTTTGTAATTGAAGGCACTTGCTCATTAGTCGAGCATTTGCGCGTGGAGGAAACCAAATTTTCATCAGGAGTATCAAATTATCGGCTGTACGATGATGGGACAGAATCCGCGACAAGATTACTCGCCGGAATGCAATTAGACCGTACGGGTGATGCGACATACAAAATACAACCAGCTCCAGCTGAGCAAAAGTAAATATTAGAAATTAATAATATCGTGCTACTTATAACTAATAAAAAATACATATTTTTTTGCAGACGTGACTCAATGTACCGAGGTGGCAAAAGCCTAAATCATCCCACTCCTAGTTATATTGATATAGAAGATAGAATGAAGAGAAAGTCTGTACGGCGCAAAAGTTCTTCGCATGAACAAGATGAGGGCTGTAATTACTTTATAGACACCACCCCAGCAAGCGTCAAGAAAATTTACATGCAGGTTTATATTATTGTTTATTACTATCCTTTTCTATGTTTGTAACTCGAATGCTTCAGGTATGCGTCTTTGGGGAAAAAGCCTGCTTTTCTCTGGGTGAGCCGATGCAGAATCGTCGAGTTGTCGCGGTAACACCCGTCACCTGCTTGCAAATCCCTGGCTACCTCCTATTAGGCCGTGATGCAATTTGGTTGAGGATCAAGCAGTTTCTTACTAAGCGGATCCCCACCACGAATGCTGTATTCGCTCAGTTCGTCCGACAGAGGCAATGGCGGCAGTACAAAACTGAGTTGGTAAAACCATACCTTACCACGTATTGCAATAATTGGTATGCGAATATACCATACACGGTGCGCGTTTTCAACGATTTTGACTTCAAACCCAAAGCAACCGATCCCACCACTCGACAGGAATTAAACTAAGATATTTATTTTGCAGAAAAAAATCAGCATACATACATATTAACAGATAAAATGAGTAAAACAGCGATTTTAATTTTGTTTGACCAAACTGATCTTGAACTGAAGCAATACAATCAGATAGATTGCGATTGTTGCCAAACTCTAAAACCCAGTCATTATATTTTGCTTTTTGATCGAAAATTGGTATGGGTACTTACGGATGTAACTAGTTCTCTGTTGACGATAGTATAGCCCTGTAGGGACACCTTTGGTGGATTCATACGAATTCCGACAAGGAATAGCTCCACCTAATATTTTTAACACAAAAAATAATATGTGTTTATATAACCCAAGTGTTCCAAAGTGCAATTGATCTATTAAATTTACCTCCGCAATAGTTTTTTTATCCACCTTGTATAAATCAATCCCCATCAAAGAATTTTGCACTCGACTGGCAATGTTCAAAGAGGCATTGTGCGAGCAATCGCAGAATACATAAAACAGAACACTACAATATCCCGCATCGACCAGCAAACCCATCTGCTTGAAAGTAAAGCGGAACCCTTCATCAACAATCTCCGAAGTAAAACCATAAATCTAGGAATTGTAGTATATATTATGGTATTTATATTTTCCTGAAATTTTCTCACTCACCGCGACTGTAATATTCGTTATGATGAACAATGAATTAGCTGAATATGTTCGGGCATAAGCATTGCCCAATTTCTGTAATATTTCACTCAGTTGTAACCACAGAACACGATAGTGTTTGATGATATGCGCCGCGCAGTAATCCTTTATATCCAATTCGAAACTGTCCGCAAGAGACTTGCTCGCATTGCCTATTGCTCGGCAATTAATATACCATAAGGCACAGTTCATATTGATCATAGTGATCACATGAATATACGCAGTGGTGTGATACAAAGTAAATCCCTCCAATAACGCGCTTAGAGTTAATATAAAGACAATGGCGCAGATAAGACTTCCACAACTAATGATCACAATCAGGGTACTTAAGTAAGGAAACTCCAAACTCTTTCCAGTGATCTTATAATAATCGAGTTGGAAATAACCCCAGGAATTTTTGTATACGCACACATCACGAGCAACACTCCAACCTCCATAGGGAATCCAAAAGTGAGGGACTAGGTAAACTACGAAAATGATGGAGTAAATGTACTCATCAAATTTTTTACTCTTAGCGGTCAAAATTTCCACCCGTTCGGACCCGACCAAAATAATTTGAATGGTCAGGCATGCATAGAATACGTAAGCATAGATGCAGGTAGGGCTTAACCAGCTGAAAACAATTCGACCCTTCTTTCTTTCCACAGGCATCACCGCCAGCACCTATAAAGCAATATTAATATCAGTATCATTTACCTGTGCATTTACTCTCCTACGGTGCACAAACTATGGCACAGCTATGTATTCACACCCATACGGTGCCCAGAGTCACCTGTACCATAACCCTCGTATAGTGCACCGTATGCAATGAGAGTGAGCTGTACAATAACTAAAAATTAAAAATATCTTACGCGAAACAAATGAAGCAACAATTTATGATCACGATAGAACTGATCATGTTCGTCACACACCAACCCATCCTCAGCATCCAACTTTGATCGTTTTTTAATTTCTTCAGAACGAGCACTTTGTTTCATGCCAGCAAGCATGTCCCGAACTTTAAAATCATTTGGGAAATAGAACTGTTCCTCATCAAAGGGTTCCGCCATCTTGTTAGTACCTTCCATCTTGCTACACGGTCAAGAAGCCAATGAATTGTACCAAGCCAAAAACCATAGAGGTACCATACAAGTTTGGCTTATTAATGAAGCTATCAATCAATTGTTAACAGTTCTGACAACTTAATTGTGCCGTTCACCGTAAATTACAATTCAAATAAGACACAGGTATCGTTTCAAAGAATATAGTTTTTATTAATTAGAAACAAAGTCGTATTAAGAGTTGTTTTTAGCCTTTAAAAGTGTATAGAGTTAAGTGTGTTACGAAGTTATTCAAAATAAATATGCCATACGTGTTCAGCTACGACGGTAAACATAATTACCGAGAGCGATTGCTGAAGGGGCGTTCATTATGTTGCGGTTTACGTCTGGTTATTGTTTGCTTTGATTAAAAATTACTCGTACATTTGCTATATGCAAAGAGTTGCGGCTCGTGCACTTTTCACACGCGGTATAAAAACATCCAAGACACGCGCTCGTTTCTTCTTTTCGACAAAACAGTTTTTTAAGTTAACATAAATACTTTTCGTAATACTATATACAGTTACAGAGTTGTTTGCGCAAGATTGAAGGCGATTATTTCATGATAAAATAATGATATAAAACCGAGTTAATAACGATGATACAATTTCAAATGATTCTCGCCGTATTTTCGAAAATCGATTGCAAGAAATCAAGAGAAAAAAACAAAACATATACCAACAAAGGACTATCATTTTAAAAAGTGTTAAAACCTGGTTTATGACTAGTATTATCAGTTTGATTGTTGTCGCGGCCATGCGATCTTCGCGTCGATCCGCTTGTACGCCAGCATCACATGTTTGCCGTTGCTGGTGAAGTCCTGTGGGCACTCGTTGTCACCTAGCATTGTTTCTGCAACAAATAAACATCACAAATGGTCAGTACCACAATTATTAAATTATTTGTTTTAGTTACCTTCTCCATCAACAAGCCGATACAATGCGTAGTCTTGCGGATTTGTAATTCTCGCCTTGTGTGCGATGATTTTACAAACCTCTTTGGTTGTCATGTGCGGTCTAGCAGGCAGTGTCTTTGTCAGAATGGAACCGTGCAGTTCATCGGGAACAACGACTTTCAACACCGACTGTAAGCAATTAATTTCACAAGTAATTTCCCATATACTATACATATGATTTTCAGCTATAATATGCCTAAGTTGTTAAATCACACTCACATCTGTTTTTGGTTGGCTGTTAACGTTTTCCTCGTTGCTCTCCTTAAAGTTCTTAAGTACTTGCACAGCTGATGACAACGTGGTGAGGTAGTAACCGCCCTCCCCTGACAGAAGCGACGGGTGCAATAATCCTGCAAACAGTCATAAATAATTGGGTTTATTGTGCCATTAACCACAAGAAACATTAAATTAATAATAAAATTATCATTACCCCACATATATTCGGCCTCAATTTCAGCTGTCAGGAATTTTGTCTTAACCAGTACCCACACGAAAAGCGGAAGGAAATCATCAGCTCCCAATGTGATTGTTCTTCCGGTTCCCAATTGACTTGTTTTCACCTTTAAATAAAATAAATAATTATTTGTTGCACTGCATATTGCGATAAAACTTACAGAATTAAATATGGCAGCAATGGCGGCAAGCAAAAACTCCAACTTTTCCAATGGTGAATCTGCGTTGCATAGCCTCGTTAAGTATTCTTCGATCGTTTTGAGCGCTGTCTCGGAAGGCAGCGTAATCTTCTGTTTGATAGCCAATTCTTGTGGAGGTCGTGTACCAGCATAGTTGATATTATCAGATAGCAGTTTAATCGCGCCCGTTTTCGTAAAGTAATCGACGAACAACTTATCAAGGTGAGCTTTCAGCGGACGCACGACCAGACGGTGCAGAACGCTTTCCAAGATGGCGTCCAAATTCAAAAACTCAGTTGATTTCAACTGTTTACAAACATATAATTAAAAAATAATCCGTTTTATAATTATTATGCTATGGAAATACCTTATTGCGTTCCCGTTCGACTTCCTTGTTAAAATTCTTTTCGCCATGTTTCACAAGGTAGTTCTTCATTCCAGACATGAACTGCCGCATGTTTCGCATGACGATCTGTGGATTCGTCTCCTTGGAGTCGCACGTGCATGCGATGAAGTTGTCGATGTTTTGCGCGAATGTGGTGCTCTTGTCCTGAGCGAGATCCAGAGCATAGCTGCGAATCGACGCGCCGACCGTGGTTTTGTCACCATCACGATTCCGCAATGCGTGGAGTCGTGGTGCACCTTTAGAAAACAAAACAATTACATTAAAGCAATCATATAGTACAGCAACGCTCTAATTTTAAATAAGTAGATATTTACTGCAAATTTTCCGCCATGTTTTCTTGACCGAACACACAAACTTTTTAACTTTAGTCTTGCAAAAACAAATGGCATTCTTAAAACACCGTTTGAATTTCTCCCTGGCCTTAGCCTTCTGGATACTTTCAGTTTTAATACAACAGCACAACATTCTAAGTCGATTATGAAGCGTAAGTTTTCGACTGATGCAACTACCGGATGTTTGCAGTAAGTTTGGAATTTGTTTTGTTGACAGACCGATAATAGCAAAGTGCGATTTGGGGCAGATGCACACCACGCGTTGGTTACTTACATAGTAACGGATCTAGTCGATCTTTGAAGCTTTTAGCGCGCTTGATCGACGCCACTTTCGGTGGTGGGTGGAAGGGATTAAAAGTTTCACAGAAACTATCGTCCGTCTGTAATCAAGAACAAATATTATCCTAATGACTTCTGAAAATTGGGGATTACCTACAGATTATTATAGAAAGTGTAAAAGATTAACAGGTAGCGACAACACAGGTAAACGTTTGTTTGCTAATAAAGTAAGTATGCATTATTGCTTCTCACCTCAGTCGAGACGGCGTGACTTATATCATTCCACGGCTCCGAGAATTCGGTCAGTTCGCTGATCTCAGAGGGTGGTGCCCTGGGAACCCGTTTGTCATCAACGTTGTCATACGCAGACATACGACACATTTCGTCATCCGTCGTCGACATATCCATCGATTGTCTACAGAAAATACATTTTCAATTTTGGCTTAGACTATTTTCAATACCTGAAAATCATCTTGTTACCTTTTCGCTATCATGTCATGTAAAGCCAACCGGCTGCTATCGCCAGGTGAGAACTGCGTAATCGGAAGGTTGGGTATCGTAGCAGGCCAATCCGAATCGTAATCCGCATCACTGGATTCCATATTCACATCAGCATCATTGCCTGCACAAATACGATTCGAAAATGCAATCGACTATAAATCAATAATTCGAACATATGATTCACTATTGCAGAAAAAAAAATGAACACGCGTTTGATGATTGCTGCAAGTTGTAGATAAATTGCAACGATTGCGCCATTGCCAACACATGTTGGTACTAATCAACGCGACTAAGTAACAAAAGAACACAAATAAAGATCATTTAAAAGTTGGAATGAATCGTGCAATTGTTCATGACGTGCCAACTTGCAGAGTGCACAAATACAAAGTGGAGATTGGAGCCTTTAATGTTTTATGATAAGTTCCGTCTAGTCGTGATATTACCGTCCGTAACTAAACGCATAAAACGAAAATGATTTTCCTTGACTTGGCTTGACTTCGTCAGATGAAATGGCGCAGCATGCTGCATTTGATGGCACGCGCGTTGGGAAATTCAGATGGAAATATGCGCGCAATGTCACCGACAGAAGGAAGCACTCCAACCCGGTCGTGCAAGGCTGAATTCGACATTCTTCGCACAACGTTGAACATCAAAAGCGCCCAAGAACCGAGCGAGGAGTGCAAATATTTGCAAACTTTCGTCAGTTCTAGTTTTAGAACGTCCCGAATAACGTGCAACCAGATTTCGAGTGAGTTATTAAGTTTAGTGTTTAAAACGTGCCGCATCGGCCTCGTTTTCATCATGTTTATCATTCATTGGCGATAAATCTTTCAATTTGAAGCAAACATTTTTTTTAATATTCCCGAAACTAAATTTGAATAAAATTGCGTTTAACCCGAAGCCTTTTTCCATTTATTTTCTAACGCGATTGACAACAATGGCAGCGGCGTCAAGATGTCAACAAAGCGGTGGAAAGAAAAATTATTTGGCCGGAAGAAGTAGGCGACTGCTGAGACGGATACAAATGACTTACTGACGAATTTCCACCCGTTGTCGAGCTGCCACGTATCGTTCGTCCTTGGCTTCACCGACGGCGGCATAATCGGCTTCACGTCGGGACGCTTCAAACTCGAGAGGAGCCTCTGCGTCGGGCTCAGATTATCAACGGAGGAAGAAAACTCTGCGAAAATAATCAAGCGTGAAATTGATTGTTACTAAAAACACGACGATGGGCTTTATGGGCGATGATTTTCATTGACATGGAAGGCATTTCATATTTACCGTTGAATTCCGTTGAATGTTCGATGCGTTCAATCATCCCGGCGTGCAATGCGGCCGCGTGTGAATGCAGCGCCGGCGGATTGGAATGCCTTTGCTGTATGGGCACCGGATTCCTGAACAATCTCCGCGGGACCGACGTTTGTTGCGCTTGTGTGATGGAATCGGCTGGTTCAGCGTAGAATGGACTACCTTGCTTTGGAGATTGCATATCAGCCTGAAGCTGTTGAACACCTTTCGTCGAGTCGGGAGATTGCAAACTGAGGTTGGTCTGACTCTGGGTTGTATTTGGAAGAGGAGTAGAACACGTGGAGTTGTGCGACATTGAGTTACTAACACTCATACTTGCAGAAGACTCAGTGGGTGACAATACATTATTGTTGTTGTTATTGTTAATGACATGTTGAAGTAAATCCGGTGATTGTTGAAGATGTTGGTTCTGATTATGATTGGGTTGTAAGTGTTTAGGTTTGAAGGTATTCCCTTCATTGGTCCATACATCCTCATAGTCGCTAACTTTGTCCCCGACAGCGCTACGATAATATACTGTTGGAGAATCCAATATATCGGATTCCTGATAATGTTTGGATGTCTTGTGCTTTCTGCGGCTTTGACGTGTGGCAGTCTTAGTTATTGACAAAGGAGACAAGGTATCCGGAGAGAGAATACTCAAGTCAGAATTTGGCGACAGTACAGATGAACTTGGTGATAGGATATGATCCGGCCGGCGAAGACTACCTTTAGAAGACATTGTAGAGGTTTGACCCTCCGGTGACATTCGCTTAGGATCGCACATAAGATGATCCTGGGGTGGGGCCTCCTTTGGAGACCCATTCCCATTCGAGGTGCCATTTGCACCGTTCATGGAAAACGTAAATGTAGTGGTGACGGTAATATTATTCTGTGGCGTTGTTGGTTTGGACCATCTAGGAGGCGGTGGTGGAGGATGTTTGATCTCGTTTCTAAACGAAGGCATCTTGATCATTTGACTGTTCTCCACTGGATCGGTACGATTCAGGAGATTCAACGTATTGGGCCTAGCGGGTTTGATCTGACCATGACTGCTGCCTAACGTAGACACAGGAGTTGAAGGTTCAGCGGCTTTAAAAGTGCTCATCATAGGATTCAAGTTCAGCACCAAGTCAGTATCAGGACTAGAAGCAGTAGATGGTGGTGGGCTGTACCTCCAAAATTCTTGCCCTAGAAGAGCTAGGGAGGAGAGCTGTTGACGACTTTTAGCATCCCGGATAGATTTTGGTAAAATTAGTTGCACCGGAAGTTCGTCACAACAATTAGCATAGTGTGCAATGAGAGCCGGCATATTATCAAAGCGATTCTCGCTCGTTTCCAGCCCAAGGCGACCGCCAGTCGACTGAATCAAATAATGTTCAATATAGGGTCCCTTGTCAGGAGGCAATCTAACAGAGAGTGCCATTGTGTCAGACTGTGATGACTGACGCACCACAAAACAACCTTCTTCCTTGCCCTGAAGAAGATGAAAAGCTCCGGCGCGTTGTATGCCGGGCAGGAACCATATCGGGTGCGATCGAATCAAACGCTCGACTACACCAATATCACATGCAGCCCCATATCCTGATCGAATACAATCAGACACAACCGATCAGACCCAAGACCAATATATATTTAAAATCATTTGACTTACCAGTGTCAGCACTGTCTTCACTGCCGGCATCCGAGCCGCCGTTGGAGGAAATCAGTGATTCCCGCGACGGCGACCGAGATGGCGGGTTCGGCAGGTCGAAAGGATTTCGATGGCATTCCTGCGGCGTCGGCGATGGCACGCCGGGGCTGCGAGTGTGCGTGCGGTCGGTGAACCCGTGAAAGTACGGCTCCAGAAATTGATCGCTTCTGCAACACGCAAAACGAAAAAGAAATTAAAACACCGGTCCGGAATACAAGTGTTGCGATTAGATTATAGGTTTCGCAAGGGGTCGATATCAAAAATTAGCCTAAGCGCGCCAGATAAGGGAAGAAATTTCCGACCCCAAAAAGAGGGCGGTCACGAAAGTGCCAATCGCCAGTTAGAGCAGCAGTTCGCAGCGGAGCCCTTTAGTCCTAATTACAATCTGTCAAGTGCAACTAACTGTGAATGTCGATATCATTTAAATCCAGCCTGAGCCCGAATTAATTAAATAACATGGGATCTACTGGTTCCTACTGTGTTTACAATTGAATACCATTTTTAGAAAATTCAATTGAATAAAAATTCTAAAATTTAACTGAGACTAATTTGTTTTCTCGACATTTTGATAAAGTTGGGACATTTTCACTTTAAATAAAACCTAAATTTGTTGCAATTAATCTTTTAAACAGATTTATCAAAAAAGACGTTTTATTTTTCTTTTTTCTTTAAAAATTTAGAAAAATCAAAAAGGATTTTGTAAAAAAATTAATATTTAAGAAACCTGTTCGTTTTCACATCTTCATGTAAACAGCAAACGCATTCATTCATAAGAAATACGGATAGAAAACGATTGATGCGCAGATTTCGGACGATGACGCATTTTTATCCCCTGCATCCCCGGTTTTGCCTGGTTTAGTTTCGCATTTGCGGAACGTCTTCCGCTCGTGCGGAATCAGTACGCAAACGAATCGCACAAAGCACGAGTCGTCTTCTCAGTCCATCCCGGTAATGCCGGATGATTCAGGGACAATAGAGACGGAATGACGCCATGGCAACCCCGATAAATCCCGGCGGGGCGCTCCTCCGATCGCACGCCTGCTACTTGCACAGTGCACACATTCATTACACTCGGTTCCGCTTTACTTTGCACCGCCACCACCAACACACTCAGCGAGAGCGCAGTTTAACTCCCGCAAACAAACGCCAAGTTGAAATACGAAACTAACTTTCGTTTGGTAACTGCGTTCTGTGTTTCGGCGAACACCGGAGATTTTTCCGTTTGTGTGCAAATACAAATTCGCTCGTATTCGCACAGGTCGATAATGAAAACTTCCAATCTAGGATGTAGAGTTGCGAGTACAAATCCCGCAAATGTACGTTGTTTGATTCTAACGGTGCGCATTTGTGCTAAGAACGGTCCGAGTTAATTAAACCGTGAAATTCAATTTGCCACTTGACTAAACATTGCACAACGCACCAACGGTATTCAAATATTACCTCAACTACTTGCAATTCCACTAATAAATACCACTTTAAACATTTATCTAACTAGATTCTTCTAGATTAAACGCTTAAACGAAAGTAATAAAACTGCATCCATATTAATTTCCACCCGGTGTTCCGCGGATCTCCAGTTCTCCAGAGTTACTCAAACTCCGTGAGAGAACCTGCTGTGCGAGAATTATTCGCGGATTAGGCCGGCTTGGCGCAAAACCTCGTTAGATAATAATTAATAACAACTTTAGGTCTCGCGAATCTGTTGTGCGCGGCGAGCGGCGCTTTTGTGCTTTTGCGCGCAAAGTGAATAATCAAGTGCTAATGTTTCGACCGGATGTTTCCACGTCTCCGCAAATTAATGCGCCGTACGATAAACGCGGCGATAGCGCCCAATTGTATTGTCGTTTCAAGCTGTTTAATGCTAATGCAGACGACTTCCTTGAAGTGGAAGTTTTCGGCACGAAACTTGAATAAACTAACTTTTACTGACAAAGTTTTACATTGCAGATAATGAATGAATTAGTTCCAGTACTACTATTTGATTTTTGATAACGCATTAAATTAATATTTTCTAAAGAAAGCAATAATACAATTTAGTAATTGCATTTTCATGCATGCAATAAATATTTCAATCCCTTCTTAAACATCCCCTGATTTTAGCCTGTGACCAGGAAAATGCATTGAATCTAGTTGGTAGAATAAGTGATTTGTTCCCGGGTAGTTCCCCCTTTCTTGTCTCAGTTTGCCGTTTCTTGGGCGCACTCCGTTAAAAAGTTCTTAGAGCTCTTTATCAACGTTATAAAGGCGCGTGTAATGCGCACACGCTCGTTCATTCTCGCATACATAAAAACCGGCTCCGAGACCGTGAAAGTCGACATCCGAAGAAGTACAAGAAGACATTCGTGCGGTCATAACTCGCGCTTTTATTTCTGCTCGATAAAGCAGGATGTCGACGACTTCGGAGGAGTGCAAGAGATGCAAACGCCGTTGGTATTGCAAGGGCAATGTCAAACTAATGGCAAGTGAACGAAAAAAAATAAAAATTGTGCGCGTGTAGAACCAAAAAAATCGATGATAAAATCCAAATGAAAATGAATGCGATTTTGTTTTTGAGGAGAAAATTGAAAGCAAACATTAATATCCGGTCATTGTTTGGAATATACTAACTGATCTGATTAAAATTTGTTTTTTCTGGTTTAATTTCCCCTTTTTCGCATTTTGTGTGCGTGCATGTTTTCATGTCATCGTTATTCAAATTTAGACTCGCATTAGCATTTCACTCTTTTTGCAGTGCACAAAAGGGTTGCTGCGTTGGCAGTTCGGAGTAGTTACCTTCGCATTGCCAGCGGCATAAATCAAACAAGATGAAGCGTACACGAACTCGTGCAGCTTCCGGTACTCCTCGAGGGCTAGAAGGATTGGATACAAAGAAGCATGTTGCATGTACAGCCCGGAGGATTAGCGAGTTCCGGTGTATCCAAATACGTTTTATGAACGGATAAAAGCTTTGTGATGTACACTCGAAATGTACTCACTAGCAAACTACATTACATAACATTTGAAATTTTAAAATTTAACTTGCCACGTACAATTACCATCTGCAATGAGTGTAAAAGTATCACAAGTATCACATGTTATCAGTCGCAGCCAGCACAGGGATGAAAATGTGAATATGAATATGCGAATTTGTCTCCGAGGGGAAAACGAGTATTTCCTGTTTGTCGATGCGTGTCGCCTGCTGCGAGCACACAGTAAACAGATAATGTGCGTATCGTATGCGCACCGCCGCCATAAAAGCGACATAAATTAAATATCGTGGTGGAACAAAGCGGCAGGCAGAAGGTCTGACCGCTGACCACCGATGGCCCCTAGTCCCATATCATAATTTCGCTCATCCACAGATTGCAGACTGATACAATCAAATTATCGCACACATAATGTACATCCAACCATAAACAAACCAGAATAATCCAAAATTTTCTGAAAAAAAAATTGCGTCAATAATCTAATTTTATGCCTCGTCGCAGCGAAAATAAATGTGTTTCAATATTCCTGCCAAAAATATTTCGAAATATCCCATTAACTAAAATTCCAAGTATGATCTATTTATATTTATCTATTTTAATGGTTTTCTATTTAAGTGTACACTTTATTAGTGCTATCAAAATAATCCTCGCTTTCGTCTGATTTAACCAGATAAAAATCTGTTTGTAGAAGCGATTAATGAGCATTAATTTGTCACCGAGACGCTGAGACTTTAAACTAACATAATTAAAGTGTCACACATTTTGTTTACACTACCTAAAAATCCCATCAACCAAAATATTTTTATATTTACTTAATTATCACATCACTAGTTCAGTAGTGCACATATGGGTCTATTAATACGCTGACATGAGGACAAACACGTTGTCAGCGAATTTACGGTTCGCAACTCCATTAAACGTGGATTATTCGCGAAAGCTGCGTTGCGCTCAAATCCGCTCAACACGACAATACCTAATATTCGCTGCCTGACTGCGTGTGCTGGCGAGTATTCAATAAAATTGTAACCACGGCGAAATTAATAACACGCCCGCCGCCAGACAGTGCACAATATTGCATTTGCGTTCATTGGCAAATCCGGATTGCACCGCGTGTCCAGCGCCTCCACCACGAGACACGTCCGAATGATTTTCACCCCTATGTTGCACGCAAATGTGCGTCGCGCAACATTTTTAATCAGATCCGATTGGATTTTCGTTTTATCCGCGCGGTGCGTTCACTGGTGCACTTTTATAACGCGCAACTTTCATAATTGTTTTGCCCGCAGTGAAATAAACACGTTGGCAATATGCAAAATGAAATGTTGTGTTGTGCATGCTGCTGTGTTAATACGTTGGTAATCGTCCGTTTATCTAAAGAGAGAAATAATGAATGCGAAAGGGTTGGCGGTCGTCTGGCCAGCACTCAGGTATTTCGCAATTAAAATTCCAAACGCGCAGACATAATTTCCACACACTATGCATGCACAAACTGGAAATTTTCAGCTGTGTTAATACGTTGGTAATCGTCCGTTTATCTAAAGAGAAATAATGAATGCGAAAGGGTTGGCGGTCGTCTGGCCAACACTCAGGTATTTCGCAATTAAAATTCCAAACGCGCAGACATAATTTCCACACACTATGCATGCACAAACTGGAAATTTTCACTTTTTTCCATCCCCAACAGCCTTGGGGGATGTTTTAAAATGCAGTCAGCATAGAAAAATACACAGGAAAAAAACACTCTCAGGAATAAATCGATAAAAGAGGCATTGTGCAACACGGCCGAAACAAAATTAACCGATTTAATTATATTTGCGTGCAGTTTGTGTGCGTCCACTCATTGTGCATTCGTGAAGCACATTCGTTTGCATTTGTTTTGGTATGCACACCGCCCGAACTGCAAGCGCGACAAGAGAAACGAGCAAAACGTTTCAGTTTGTTGCTGAAACAATATTCGCGACACGTAAATCGCAACGAAACGGAATGGTTTAAATTAAAGCATATAAATTTCCGGCGGGTTAACGGCAGCACCAGCGGCACTTTATACGCAAATGTAAAAGAAGAAAGCGATTAAAACGATGCGATTAGTAATTCAGTAATTACAACTAACAGTTCCGACTTGCATCAACTTTTCATGCTGGATTAATCAACAGTTACAAAAAATGAAGATAAAACTAATGAAGAATTAATGAACTTATAAC